GAAATTTTTTCACGTGCGCGGCCGGGATCCGAACCTTGTCGTTGTCAGCGGGTGAGAGTTATCGTGTCCACATCTTAGTGTTGTATGATGTATGTCCGTGATTGGAAACACTGACCTAATGTATACCAACATTGACCTAATGTATACCAACATTGACCTACTGTATACCAACATTGACCTAATGTATACCAACATTGACCTACTGTATACCAACATTGACCTACTGATTACCAGCTATGACATTTCAGGAAATCTTCACATAGCTACACACTTACTGTACAACAGAGGCGGACAGGCCTCAATATTTTTGTTACTGTGAGAGTGGGGTTGTAGAAAGTTTGATTCTAGATACAACTGTAATGTTCCGTCATGAACATACGATATATATTCTTGAAACAGGGATCGCCTTATGTACGCCCGGTACAGTGTGGAATCAACACAAAAGGACCAATTCAATATAATACAGTTCTTTATTAACACATGACATAGACTCCTACACTAACTACGTCCTAACACATTACTGTCTACTGACACTATCGAACTACACCTAACACTAGACTTACAGCTCAGACCATTCCACCAAACTTTCTTCATCCACCAAATTCCACCGCCCTTATCCACCAAATTCCACCGCCCTTATCCACCAAACTCCCCTCATCCACCAAACTCCACCGTCCTCATCCACCAAACTCCACCGTCCTCATCCACCAAACTCCCCTCATCCACCAAACTCCCCTCATCCACCAAACTCCCCTCATCCACCAAACTCCCCTCATCCACCAAACTCCCCTCATCCACCAAACTCCCCTCATCCACCAAACTCCCCTCATCCATCAAACTCCCCTCATCCACCAAACTCCCCTCATCCACCAAACTCCCCTCATCCACCAAACTCCCCTCATCCACCAAACTCCCCTCATCCACCAAACTCCCCTCATCCACCAAACTCCACCGTCCTCATCCACCAAACTCCACCGTCCTCATCCACCAAACTCCCCTCATCCACCAAACTCCCCTCATCCACCAAACTCCCCTCATCCACCAAACTCCCCTCATCCACCAAACTCCCCTCATCCATCAAACTCCCCTCATCCACCAAACTCCCCTCATCCACCAAACTCCCCTCATCCACCAAACTCCCCTCATCCACCAAACTCCCCTCATCCACCAAACTCCCCTCATCCACCAAACTCCCCTCATCCACCAAACTCCACCGTCCTCATCCACCAAACTCCCCTCATCCACCAAACTCCCCTCATCCACCAAACTCCCCTCATCCACCAAACTCCCCTCATCCACCAAACTCCCCTCATCCACCAAACTCCACCGTCCTCATCCACCAAACTCCCCTCATCCACCAAACTCCCCTCATCCACCAAACTCCCCTCATCCACCAAACTCCCCTCATCCACCAAACTCCCCTCATCCATCAAACTCCCCTCATCCACCAAACTCCCCTCATCCACCAAACTCCCCTCATCCACCAAACTCCCCTCATCCACCAAACTCCCCTCATCCACCAAACTCCCCTCATCCACCAAACTCCCCTCATCCATCAAACTCCACCGCCCTAATCCACCTACTCCACCGCCCTAATCCACCTACTCCACTAACACCACCGTCCTCACTCTATCCCCTGACCTCCTACATCCCATTTTCACCCCCCCCCCCCCCCCCCCCCCTCCGCAGCATGTGTTATGTAAATGATTCCCTCCCATTTATTGGGGTTGTGACCCCGGGATTGAAGCAGAAGTGGACTGTCACGTGACTGCGCGAGCTACACGCACATCACAAGATGGCGACAGCGAGATGCCACACTGCTCTAACTCATCTCAATAATCTTAATGAAGTTGGATCATTTTGCTCCAGACGTAAAACATTTTTAAAGCGGTGTTTAACAAAGTGGCAATGATGAGCCGAGAGGGGGTGGGGGTGGAATATATGGGGTGGGGTGGAAGGTGTGGGGGTGGGGTGGGAGATGTGGGGTGTTGGTGATGGTGAGATTTGTGGGGAGTCGAAGATTTGCTAGTACGACTTCCTGTTGTGCTGTACACGTCATTCAGTATTTGTACAATGTTGGGGGGGGGGGGGGGGGGGGGGGAGAAACAAACATACAAACATACAGACAAACATACATAGAGTGAGTCAAGTAAACAAAGACAGATTCAAGTTTCCTTCACAAGAGAGCGCCCTATACAACTTAAAGGGTGGAAGTGGTGTGTGAGTTTGTGTAGGGGTTATGGGGGTATTTTTAGGGGGGTGGGGGTGGGGTGGAGAGGGGTAAAGTATAGAAGTATAGAGTCAAGATCGTCTTAAGAATAAAATATTCCAGCTACAATTGGACGGGGGAGGGGTGGGGGTTGTGAACACTTGAGTTATTTCAGTCCAGACGTGTGGGTGGGGGGGGGGTGAGACCACGTGACAAGAGGAGACCCTCGATGCGAGCCTCGATGTGAACTGTTGATTGGGTGAAACGAATCTTCAGACGCCGCTCCTTCAAATAAAAAAAAAAGATCTCACTCCGCTATTTAATAGAGCTTGCATGCGCGAGGGGGGAGGGGGTGGGGGGCGGCCTTTCACTGGTCGGCCTTGCAAGGATCGTGTTGGGTAATTGAGTTACAGGCCGTAATTGATGTTTCCTAGTCATTTGCCTGGCCATTCACTCTTTCAATTAGGGCTTTTGTAAATAGCTTTATTACAGCCAGCAGTCCAGGCTTGTTGGCTGCAGCTATGGTGGGAGTCATAGCTGCAGCTATAGAGGTAGTGATGGTTGGGATTATATAGGTAGTGATGGCTGGAGCTATAGAGATGGCTGATGTTATAGAGGTAGTGATGGCTGATGTTATAGAGGTAGTGATGGCTGATGTTATAGAGGTAGTGATGGCTGTTACGCAATGGAATGGTTTTAAAATGTCTGAGAATTATGGACCTCTACCTCAGACATACAAACCGACATGTCATCAATCTGTCATCTGACATACATGTGTCATTTGACACGCATCTGTCACCAGTCTCTATCTGTCATCTGACATACATGTGTCATTTGACACCCATCTGTCACCAGTCTCTATCTGTCATCTGACATACATGTGTCATTTGACACGCATCTGTCACCAGTCTCTATCTGTCATCTGACATACATGTGTCATTTGACACCCATCTGTCACCAGTCTCTATCTGTCATCTGACATACATGTGTCATTTGACACGCATCTGTCACCAGTCTCTATCTGTCATCTGACATACATGTGTCATTTGACACCCATCTGTCACCAGTCTCTATCTGTCATCTGACATACATGTGTCATTTGACACGCATCTGTCACCAGTCTCTATCTGTCATCTGACATACATGTGTCATTTGACACGCATCTGTCACCAGTCTCTATCTGTCATCTGACATACATGTGTCATTTGACACCCATCTGTCACCAGTCTCTATCTGTCATCTGTGTCTGTCACACGACACATTCGTGTGTTAATATTCCCCACATCAGCGCTAGCGTTGACCTGTGGTCAAGCCACCAATGTCAGACCCGATCAATACCCGATAGCGTGTGGTCAGTGCTGGCTGGACGCCACCAGTGCTCAATCGACCAGCAGGCCACACAAGATGGCGGCCAGAAGTGTTCTTCCCCCCCCCCCCCCCACATAACCTAAGAGTAATCTCCCCAGATTTAGAAAGGTTTTAAAACGTCGTTTGTTGTAAACCTTGGACAAATATGGCGCGCTACCCCCCCCCCCTTATCTCAGGTCTTTTATCGTCACGGTGTGTCATAGTGTCGTGTCGTAATGCTGTGTCGTGGTGTGTCATGTGTCGTGGTGTGTCGTGGTGTGTCATGTGTCGTGGTGTGTCATGTGTCGTGGTGTGTCATGTGTCGTGGTGTGTCATGTTTCGTGGTGTGTCATTAGTCGTGGTGTGTCATGTGTCGTGGTGTGTCATGTGTCGTGGTGTGTCATGTGTCGTGGTGTGTCATTAGTCGTGGTGTGTCATGTGTCGTGGTGTGTCATGTGTCGTGGTGTGTCATGTGTCGTGATGTGTCGTGGTGTGTCATGTGTCGTGGTGTGTCATGTGTCGTGGTGTGTCATGTGTCGTGGTGTGTCATGTTTCGTGGTGTGTCATTAGTCGTGGTGTCATGTGTCGTGGTGTGTCATGTGTCGTGGTGTGTCATGTGTCGTGGTGTGTCATTAGTCGTGGTGTGTCATGTGTCGTGGTGTGTCATGTGTCGTGGTGTGTCATGTGTCGTGATGTGTCGTGGTGTGTCATGTGCCGTGGTGTGTCATGTGTCGTGGTGTGTCATGTGTCGTGGTGTCTCATGTGTCGTGGTGTGTCATGTGTCGTGGTGTGTCATGTGTCGTGGTGTGTCATGTGTCGTGGTGTGTCATGTGTCGTGGTGTGTCATGTGTCGTGATGTGTCGTGGTGTGTCATGTGTCGTGATGTGTCGTGTGTCGTGGTGTGTCATGTGTCGTGGTGTGTCATGTGTCGTGGTGTGTCATGTGTCGTGGTGTGTCATGTGTCGTGGTGTGTCATGTGTCGTGGTGTGTCATGTGTCGTGATGTGTCGTGGTGTGTCATGTGTCGTGATGTGTCGTGTGTCGTGGTGTGTCATGTGTCGTGGTGTGTCATGTGTCGTGGTGTGTCATGTGTCATGTGTCATAATGGTGTGCCATGCTGTCATGTTATGATTACAGCGTATATTCTCTTCCTATAGTTACACTTACAATGTGTATAAATTACACGTGTAAACAAATATCAATGTGTTGACTTGATGATTGGAAAGCTACTATAAACACACTGATGACGTCATTTATTTATAACTTGTCGTAACCCGTCACTTTCCAACGTCAATCGAATATAAATTTTAAATCAAAAAACATGTTTTAAACCCAACATTAGTTGACTCAGGAAATAAACTTGACCTTTCTTGTTGAGAATCAAGATATCTAACTTCCGGTTGTTGTATCAAGATTTCTAACATGCGGTTGTTTGATTGTTGCAGGTGTGGTTCCAAAACCGCCGGGCCAAATACCGTAAACAAGAGAAACAGTTGGCCAAGTCACTGAGCCCAGTCATCCCCACCTGTAACGGCATGATGCGCAACATCTACCCCACCAACGCCCGGGGGTACCACTACCCCAGCGCCGCCAACATGAACAACATGGCGGCCAGATACGGGGAGTTTGTGTAAGTTTTTTTTAAACATTTCTGTCGTCTGCTACTTGAGGTTAGTGGTGAAAGTTGAGTCTGTGAGATGTGTCACCATTGTAATTTTTTGTGTGCTGGTAAGTGAGGCATCTGCCACCATTAGAATTTTTATTGATAACTATACCGATCTACAAATCTATCGGCCAAAGTTTCGAGGCGAAACTTGAGTGTCAGATTGTGGCGCCAAATGTCACATTAGTCTACGTGTCATGTTGCAGGTACCCCCAGATGAACTCGACCTACCCCCCGTCCATGGGCGGCATGCACCAGTTCTCCCACATGGGCGGTATGACCGGATCCAATATGGCAGCCAGCATGAGCATGCCCAGACAAGTCCAACAATTTCCCATGGCGTCAGACTACGGCCTGGTAGGTGCTACATTTCAGCTTTAGGTGCTAGTTTACAGTTTTGGTTCAATGCAACTTGTACCAATAGTTAATTAAGATTTGTAACCTTAATTGGTATCATCAGTGACTCATTAGCTACATATGTGGCATTATAACTAGTAAAAGCCGGAGTTCTCTTCCCTAAATTCTCTCCCTTATTTCCTATATCACAGGGTTGGGATCAGTGTTCTAGACTTTTTTCTCCGGTGTGTGTGCGTGGGGGCAGGGGGGGGGTACGATAATGCCGAAGAGATGCCTCGAAGAAACTCTGGTTGGGATTGCAGTGGAATCGGGCTAAAGAAATATACAAATTTGTGACAAGTCCGCTAACATTTATAGAAAACAGAATCGAAAAGTTCTTAGAGTATACTTTAAGCAAATAGGATATAAAGTTATCAAGTTCTGAAGGGGTTTGAGAATTCGAAATTACAGTCAAGTATCCCCTCCGGGTACCGGAAATTCAAACATTATATAAATGACGTTATACGTCACACATACACAGAGTTTCTTCCAGGCATCTCTTCGGTCTACCGCCCCCCCCCCCCCCGAAGAAATTCTACCGCCCCCCCCCCCGAACGAAGTGAAATTTATATAGAAAATATATACTTTTAACAGTGTCCGCCCCCCGAAAAAAGTTTACCCCCCCCCCCCCCCCCCGAAGAAATTCTACCCCCCCCCCCCCCCCCCCGAACGAAGTGAAATTTATATAGAAAATATATAGTTTTAACAGTGTCCGCCCCCCGAAAAAAGTTTACCCCCCCCCCGAAGAAATTCTACCGCCCCCCCCCCCCTCCCCCAGAACGAAGTGAAATTTATATAGAAAATATATAGTTTTAACAGTGTCCGCCCCCCGAAAAAAGTCTACCGCAGCCCCCGAAAATTTCAAGTGCCCCCCCCCCCCCCCCCCCCGGAGAAAAAAGTCTGGAAGAAGCACTGCACATTCATCATTGCCGGTTTTCCGACTCAGTATGGCGTAAACGTCAAGATTTGCTCATCTAAATTTTTGCACGATTACAATACTTGCTCCATACGTAGTTTAGGAGAAAGTTAAAGCATGAATAAATAGATCAGGTATCGTCTTGGTCTACATGAAGAACTGACTGGTGGCTACTCGCAGTGTTTCTTTCAGACTTTTTTCACCGGGGTGGGAGGGGGGGATACTTGAAATTTTATATATTTTCCATATAAATTCTATTACGTACGGGGGAGCGATCGCCTCCCCCCCCCCTCCCCGAATACCGAAGAGATGCCTGAAAGAAACTCTGGGTACATCTAATGGTCCTTAACAGGCTAGCCATGTAGCAGACTAGTTAGCGTGTTTGTAATGTGGTGTTTGTAATGTGGTGTTTGTAATGTGGTGTTTGTAATGTGGTGTTTGCAGCGTGTCGTATGGGTAACGTAAACGTGAACCACTTCACCGCACGAGATGGCTCAACCCGCCTGGATATAGAAACTAAGGTCAACTGACCAGACGAATCAAAAACAAGCCCCAACTAACAAAATCTAAACAACCACAAAATGTAAACAAAGGGGTCGTCCATAAATGACTGTTTTAATAAATTATAATAGTAAATGATTAAAATACACTATGTTGATAGAGTTCAGACAAGATTTTGGAAAAATATATCGTAATAAAGAAAAATTCAACTGCATTTTTTTGTGTTGCGTTATTTTGGGGGGGCGGGGTCTGGCTTTTTGTGACGATGTGTGACGGAGGGGAGGGGAGGGGGGAGGTAAAATTCGTCAAAAAAGCGTGACGTCATTTAAGGATGACCCCAAAGCAAGTCCGAAGTCCTTGCAAAACAAATTACCTCTCAGTTATTCAAAAGTCGTAATTTGATTGTTTCATTGTTGATGTAGATCATTCTAAAACTGGGATGGCGTTAATTCTAGTACACCAATCTCAGTTCATCAAAGTGTACTTTACCCTCGGTCATTAACATGTGCTTTATATTTGCAGGAGTCAGCCGAGGATGACTGGTACAACAAGAGTTTAACAGCTCTACGCATGAATAACTCGCATCCCGGGCCCTTATCCAATCAAATTCTACCGTATCAGACTCAAGTCTAATCAAGCCAATCACAAACGACGTTGCAAGCAGCTAAAACTTATTTCCTCTGTGCCACAAACTCTCCGCCAATGAAATCGATCGTCTCATGTCGGTTTCCATTACAGCCAGACGCACGAGCGAACAGAGCCGAAGCTTCGAGTGTCGGCTAACACATTCAAGGGAAAACTTGGACGTAAAATTTGTTTTTCCCTTCAAGGCGGGGCATAATTTGACATAAACCAAAACTATTTACACAACTTTTATCTGGATAGAGTACACGGTTTCACAACACAGCCGTGACCTTGTCCTCAGCTCCGACAGACGTGTCAACACGCGGCTACACGTCTCTTTTAAATCTAGGTCAAACAAACATCGTGTGTTGTGAGCGGATTGGTTCATCTTGTTTACACATTTTAATGACTCGGCACAATGCATCACACATAGCTGTCTAAACATTCGACTCGTGTTAATTGAGGGTGGTTTGTTTATTTATGGCTCGTTCTGATAATTAGTGGTTTTAATTATGTGCCGCCGAAGTCCGCAATAATATCTGTGGCTTGTACACACATGACCTCCGTGACTGACCAGTGGTCAATTTAATTATTAAATCACTTTTTTTTCTTGGTCAACATAATACAATGATGTGTTGTTGCATGACTGAGACTATTGGATGTATGACTGACACAATGTTGGGTGTATGACTGACAAAATGTTGGATGTATGACTGACAAAATGTTGGATGTATGACTGACACAATGTTGGGTGTATGACTGACACTATCGTGTGACTGACACAATGTTGGGTGTATGACTGACAAAATGTTGGATGTATGACTGACACAATGTTGGGTGTATGACTGACACAATGTTGGGTGTATGACTGACACAATGTTGGGTGTATGACTGAGACTATTGTATGACTGACACAATGTTGGGTGTATGATATCTTGTCTGGAAGAAGCGAAAATATTTTTTTTAAATAAATGTGTTGTTTAAATATGTATTCAATATTTATTAGTATGCTGATTCTGTGTACGTGTGTAAAATATCTGAGATACACGAGGTAAATGTTGTGTTGATGTTTGAGACGAAAAACTGATTGTTTTTTTTTATAATAAAATGTGTACATCTGAGTACCCAGGGTGGGGCTAATTAGGGCTGGGATATGGGGGGGGGGGGGGGGTGAGCCCTCTATGAACGGTGTTACCAGATGAGAGGGGGTTGCTACAATTTTTTGGATGTTGTAAATATTTTTATCGATAATGACGTCATTCACGTGTAGGATAGCAATAATAAGCTGTGTGTGTGTGTGCAAGCAGAGTATGTGTGTGTATATTTGTGTGTATGTGTGTGAAGCTGCTTTATTAAAGTGATTTATATTTCACTGATTGAGTTTATGCTGATTTTTATTTTTTTATTTTAAAATGAAGTCAGCTGAGGGGTCAGTCAAGTCCCAAAGTTAGCTGACTGAGGGGTCAGTCAAGTCCCAAAGTTAGCTGAGGGGTCAGTCAAGTCCCAAAGTTAGCTGACTGAGGGGTCAGTCAAGTCCCAAAGTTAGCTGACTGAGGGGTCAGTCAAGTCCCAGCCCTGTCGTAGTTGTGCGGTGACCAACTGCCGGCAATGGCCCCCAAAATCCCGCCACAGTTCACCATTCATGTACCCAGGGTCGTGTGTTATGATACGAGTGGTCGGGCTGGGTGTGATAGGATGGGGACGGGGGGCGAACTTATTTGATGAGCAACTAGAGGAGGAAGCTCTGTGGTGTGGGTATTTGAGGGGGCGGCAGACATTTTTTTTATTGGTGCGTCTTGGTGGGAAGGGATGACTGCTACCTCATGAGTGTGTATGTATGTGTGTGACAGTATGTCAGTGTGTTTGTGTGTGCTAAATCGCGTGTGTCTTTGAGAAGCTATTTAGTGCCAATCGTAGTGTTAATCGTTTAATTAATTATTCTCAATTTTATTCTTTTGATTCTAAATTGACATTTTGCAAAGAAATAAAATAAAAGAAGTTTCAAAAGGAATATTTTTATCCAATTATTTAACCATTATTGGCCATCAGACAGAAGAAACAATCTCCGCTCAAATTAAAGGGTTTGGCCAGGTTGGGACCTAGCGAGCTGTCTGAAAAGTTTGCTGAATGTTGACCAAACACTTCCGTCAACCCAGGAATTAGTGACCACAAATTCCGTCAACCCAGGAATTAGAGACCACAAATTCCGTCAACCCAGGAATTAGTGACCACAAATTCCGTCAACCCAGGAATAAGAGATTACAAATTCCGTCAACCCAGGAATTAGAAATTACAAATTCCGTCAACCCAGGAATTAGTGACCACAAATTCCGTCAAACCAGGAATTAGTGACCACAAATTCCGTCAACCCAGGAATAAGAGATTATAAATTCCGTCAACCCAGGAATTAGAAATTACAAATTCCGTCAACCCAGGAATTAGAAATTACAAATTCCGTCAACCCAGGAATTAGTGACCACAAATTCCGTCAACCCAGGAATTAGTGACCACAAATTCCGTCAACCCAGGAATAAGAGATTACAAATTCCGTCAACCCAGGAATTAGAAATTACAAATTCCGTCAACCCAGGAATTAGAAATTACAAATTCCGTCAACCCAGGAATTAGTGACCACAAATTCCGTCAACCCAGGAATTAGTGACCACAAATTCCGTCAACCCAGGAATAAGAGATTACAAATTCCGTCAACCCAGGAATTAGAAATTACAAATTCCGTCAACCCAGGAATTAGAAATTACAAATTCCGTCAACCCAGGAATTAGTGACCACAAATTCCGTCAACCCAGGAATTAGTGACCACAAATTCCGTCAACCCAGGAATTAGTGACCACAAATTCCGTCAACCCAGGAATAAGAGATTACAAATTCCGTCAACCCAGGAATTAGAAATTACAAATTCCGTCAACCCAGGAATTAGAAATTACAAATTCCGTCAACCCAGGAATTAGTGACCACAAATTCCTGGGTTGACCCAGGAATTAGAGACCAAAATTCCGCCAACCCAGGAATTAGAGACCACAAACACAAATATTGGATTTTATTTCATGAGCCAACAGAAGCAACGTCAACATCTATTTGTGTGGACTAAACTCACCATTAACACCACACTATGACACACTACACCATGTGACACACCACACCATGTGACACACTACACCATGTGACACACTACACCATGTGATATATAAATACTAGAGGTATAAACATCAACACAACAGGTATAAATAACAACACTACACACATCACACAGATACACACATCACACAGATACACACATCACACAGATACACACATCACACTGATACATCATACAGATACACACATCACACATATACATACATCACACAGATATACACATCACACAGATACACACATCATACAGATATAGATATCACACAGATTATCCCTTATGAAAACATGACTACATTGCCCGTAGGTGTAAAATATATTAAGATAAATACAATAGCATTTAGATCAAATGCACCTGATTCGTTGTCGTTATTTACTGTTTGTTAATCAGTACACAGTCGATAGGTTAAGCAGTAGATAGAGGATAGGTTAAGGTTATAATAAAAGGAAATGGTAAGGTTAGATTTTGTATTAAAGATTCTAACGGAAATAAGAACGTGTGGTTGGTTTACCCAGAGGATTAGAGATTTTAACAGAAATATTGTCTACCCACAAATACTTTCTACCCAGAAATATTGTCTACCCAGAAATACTGTCTACCCAGAAATATTGTCTACCCAGAAATATTGTCTTCCCAGAAATATCGCAGAGTTAAGTGTGAGATGGGTAACTGTGGTCAACTTTATCTGGCAACTCTACTAGGCGCCAGGTGGCCTTGGCCCGTCCTCCTCCCTATGGCCCGGTGGCCCGTCCTCCTCCATGAGACCCTCAACGTGTCGCATCCTGGCCATGGCCGTCATAAACTCGGGGTATTCCACATAGCCGTCCCCGTCCAGGTCTTCAGAGGTCAAGGTCGAATCTATGATGGCGGCGATCTCGTCGTCTGTGTAAGTCCCAGTGTCAAAGCTATCTTTAGCGCCTTCGTCTTCTGAGGGATATATATATATATATATATATATATATATATATATATATATATATATATATATATATATATATATATATATATGTTTATATTTATATGTATATATATATATATACATATATATATATACGTATATATATGCATATATATACATATATATATGCATATATATATATATATATATATATATATATATATATATATATATATATATATATATATATATATATATATATATATATATATATATATATATATATATATATATATACATATAAATATAAACATATATATATATATATATTTATATATATATATATATATATATATATATATATATATATATATATATATATATATAGACATATAAATAAATACACACGGATATATAGCCAGACACAATAACTCTCCCTTACCAAAGACCGATGCTGTTGTTCCCGGCACCCACAGATAGATATAGAAGTCAGGTCAAGTTTAATGGATGTTTACATGCATGGTATGCTGCAGCTGGGGGAGGGAGTAGAAACCTGGCAGCAGCCCACGGGTCTGGCACCAGAGAGAACCGTTTGTTTCTTGCTGTCTGCGGTAACATAATTTATAACCAGTGTTGTAGGCCCACGGTGCAGGCCACACCTGTGTAACAGGTAGGCCTATAAGTGAGACCAAATACAACTATCCTGGTCATCCCAATCAGCAGAGTTGTGTCAAGCTCAGCTGATATCAGTGACCAACCTACTCATCAGTTATCTGGCAACAGCTTCAACTACTAGAGCAGCTTTTTTAATTGTGTATGTTATATATATATATATATATGGGTGTGTGTGTAAGTAAATAGACTCAATTCTAAAAACAAATTTGAGCTTCGTGTACTACTAACACTGCCTTTGTGTGAAAATAACTCAAGGGAGGCAACTAGAAAAATATTGCTTTTACACTTTGAAAGATGGTTACTCCCCATAGCAGATTGGGATTAGTTCGTTTTTCTATATTAGAGAACTGATCAAGGTTGATAAATGGAGAACAGTATCGTTAAGGTTTCAGCACGTCCACCCCGACTAGAGAGATAAAATAAATACTTTGTACAAAATCCCTATAAAAAGTATTAAGTTGAGCCCCCCTCCCCCATTTTAAAAAAATCTGAAACTGGTCAAGTTAAAAGAAAATCTGACCCATACTATGACGGGAAGAAAAAACATGAGCAAAGTTCCATCACCAGTTTTAATGTGAATCAAATCCAGTGCAATAATATCTTTCAACATGAGAATACAAATTCAATACACAACATTTGCTGACGTAATACACTTGATTTTCTTAAAACAAGGTACACATGAATCAATGATGTCATAACACACAAATAGGAATGTTCGTACACAGAAACCACCCATCAACTCTTGTAAACAGAATATGGAAACTTTTTCCATTCAGTCAACCATTCAAATCATTGAAGGCAACTCAATATGTTGGGAACTTAATACATAGGGAACTCTATGTGGGGGAACATGAACTTTGGAACTAATTTATGTAGGGAACAGTAAATTTGGACAACAGTATATGTAGACATAAAAAAACTGAGAATATTTCTCTAAAGCTTTGTAACAAATCATTCTGGTTCAAAACATACATGTGTGTAATGTAAGTTGACTGGATGTGTGTAATGTAAGTTGACTGGATGTGTGTAATGTAAGCTGACTCGATGTGTGTAATGTAAGTTGACTGGATGTGTGTAATGTAAGTTGACTGGATGTGTGTAATGTAAGCTGACTCGATGTGTGTAATGTAAGTTGACTGGATGTGTGTAATGTAAGTTGACTGGATGTGTGTAATGTAAGCTGACTGGATGTGTGTAATGTAAGTTTACTGGATGTGTGTAATGTAAGTTTACTGGATGTGTGTAATGTAAGTTTACTGGATGTGTGTAATGTAAGTTGACTCGATGTGTGTAATGTAAGTTGACTCGATGTGTGTAATGTAAGTTTACTGGATGTGTGTAATGTAAGTTTACTGGATGTGTGTAATGTAAGTTTACTGGATGTGTGTAATGTAAGTTTACTGGATGTGTGTAATGTAAGTTTACTGGATGTGTGTAATGTAAGTTTACTGGATGTGTGTAATGTAAGCTGACTGGATATGTGTAATGTAAGCTGACTCGATGTGTGTAATGTAAGCTGACTGGATATGTGTAATGTAAGCTGACTCGATGTGTGTAATGTAAGTTGACTCGATGTGTGTAATGTACGTTTACTGGATGTGTGTAATGTAAGCTGACTCGATGTGTGTAATGTAAGTTGACTGGATGTGTGTAATGTAAGTTGACTGGATGTGTGTAATGTAAGCTGACTCGATGTGTGTAATGTAAGTTGACTGGATGTGTGTAATGTAAGTTGACTGGATGTGTGTAATGTAAGCTGACTCGATGTGTGTAATGTAAGTTGACTGGATGTGTGTAATGTAAGTTGACTGGATGTGTGTAATGTAAGCTGACTGGATGTGTGTAATGTAAGTTTACTGGATGTGTGTAATGTAAGTTTACTGGATGTGTGTAATGTAAGTTGACTCGATGTGTGTAATGTAAGTTGACTCGATGTGTGTAATGTAAGTTTACTGGATGTGTGTAATGTAAGTTGACTGGATGTGTGTAATGTAAGTTTACTGGATGTGTGTAATGTAAGTTTACTGGATGTGTGTAATGTAAGTTTACTGGATGTGTGTAATGTAAGTTTACTGGATGTGTGTAATGTAAGCTGACTGGATATGTGTAATGTAAGCTGACTCGATGTGTGTAATGTAAGCTGACTGGATATGTGTAATGTAAGCTGACTCGATGTGTGTAATGTAAGTTGACTCGATGTGTGTAATGTACGTTTACTGGATGTGTGTAATGTAAGCTGACTCGATGTGTGTAATGTAAGTTGACTCGATGTGTGTAATGTAAGTTGACTGGATGTGTGTAATGTAAGCTGACTCGATGTGTGTAATGTAAGTTGACTCGATGTGTGTAATGTAAGTTGACTGGATGTGTGTAATGTAAGTTGACTGGATGTGTGTAAGTTTGATAACTTACGCCCAGAATGAGATATCCAACAAAAAGATGATAAAAAAAAAAGCATGAGAAGAATAAAAAATGTCATGGATGTTTTGTAGCTGCTGGCTCAGTCAGCCTTGCATGCTGTGAGCATGGTAGACACCATATGGTGTCACGCTGGACATCGTCACATGATGGTGTCAGGATAGACACCTTTAAGTAATACACATGTAACTTCAGTTGAAGAAAGTGTTTGGTTGCCTGGTGTGTAGTTTGACTGGTGTAGTTGTGTGGTGTTTAGCTGAGTAGTGTGTAATTAAGTGGTGTGTAGTTTAGTGGTGTTTGGTTGAGTGGTGTTTCATTGACTGATGTGTAGTTAAGTGGTGTGTAGTTGAATGGTGTTTAGCTGAGTGGTGTGTAGTTGAGTGGTGTTTGGTTGAGTGGAGCCAGAGATCAACACAATTATTTTCTCCTACAGCCCACACAAGTCTTCAATGCTTGTTTCACAACTTTTTAAATGCAAATCTCAACAAGGTACTGGGAGGCAAGCAACAGCTTATAGAAGCTGATAAAAAAATTAAAGCTTAGATGTATTAAGTTTTGGTATTTAAACACTTTATCTGGCAACCCTCTGTGTCCCAGGTTTGATCTATCAAAGAATTCAATTATTGCTTTTTACAATTTTGTAGCTCTTTAAAAATACTTTTCAAAACATGTGAACCAAAAAGGATTTCTACAAGAATAACTTGTTTGGTAAATACATAAATAAGTTTTAAAATGCCAATTTGGCACATCTGTTTACATTAAAAAAAAAAAGAGATGAATATAAATTAAGTTGAGAAAAAATATACAGCCAGGGGAGTAAACTTGGATTGTGTTAATGTTCTGGGGGTGGCGGACTCTTGGAGCGCTCCTCCTTCTGTGTGGCCTGTCTGCGCTTGAACTCAAAGTACTCGATGTAGCCATCTTTGTTCTCGTCATTCTCCTGGATCACAGAGTCCACAATGTTGGAGATCTCTGAGTCTTCAAAGATTTTCTTGTTCTCATCACTGCCCTTGTCATTCTCTGCAACAGTGGGGGAGTGGGGCTGTTAGCAATGCAGGGAACAACTTGTGTACATGCTAAAGGTTTGGAGAACTTACACAGCTTGACATCACACTAGTTTACACTATGCAGGATGGGGGGGATTCTAACTAGGCTAAATATCTTGCCTTGACCCTATGGACATTCATTGACCCTATTAACGTAATCTGACCATGTGGATATTCCCTGACCCTATGGACATTCATTGACCCTGTTAACATAATCTGACCATGTGGATATTCCCTGACCCTATGGACATTCATTGACCCTATTAACATAATCTGACCATATGGATATTCCCTGACCCTATGGACATTCATTGACCCTGTTAACATAATCTGACCATGTGGATATTCCCTGACCCTATGGACATTCATTGACCCTATTAACATAATCTGACCATGTGGATATTCCCTGACCCTATGGACATTCATTGACCCTGTTAACATAATCTGACCATGTGGATATTCCCTGACCCTATGGACATTCATTGACTCTATTAACATAATCTGACCATATGGATATTCCCTGACCCTATGGGCATTCATTGACCCTGTTAACATAATCTGACCATATGGATATTCCCTGACCCTATGGGCATTCTTGACCCTGTTAACATAATCTGACCATGTGGATATTCCCTGACCCTATGGACATCCCCTGACCCTACAGACATACATGACCCTACCGGTACAGCCAGTGTTAACAAAGTGCTGCTGTTAGTTTATCATGCTCAGATGCTAAAAGCTCCTGTGTAAAACATGCAGGATAATGGGGGGGGGGGGGCATTCAAAGGGTTAGGAGTTAAATGTACTACATGCAGGGAGGGTGTCAAGAGGGGTGCGCTACATGCAGAGAGTTGTTTAAAGGTGATCAGAATAGAATAACTACAACAAACAAACAAACAAGACCCACCTTGTGCACTTGTGATAAAGTCCTAACAGCTAATCAAGTCCTCTCACCTGAAAGTCCTGATGGCTAAACATGTCCTATCAAAGTCCTGATGTCCTATCACCAAACACTGTGTCTCACCATCTCACCAGCATTGTTTACTTCTATGGACTACACTTTTCCTGGCATGCCAATAAGCCAAAACAATAAGCCACACTCTCATGCCTATATGGCACACAATACCATATGCCCCACGTCAGTAGCTTGTCCAGTAGTCCCAAACAAAGATGACAGTTTCTGATTGCTCTGTACTTCTGCCAGTGCTGCAGTGTCAACACAACACCAATCAAACCGACATAGTCTACAATCATACGATCATGATGACGTAACCTTGATACCAGTGGTAGAGTTGTTGGAACTTAAGGGAATTCATACAGACCAGTCACCTCACTGACAACTGACGCTGTCATGTGACAACTGTCATGTGACAAACTTGGTCACCTCAGTGGTTGCCCAGTCATTTGCAACTGACTCTGTCATGTGACAACTGTCATGTGACAAACTTGGTCACATCAGTGGTTGCCCAGTCATTTGCAACTGACTCATGTGACAACTAGACTATGACACCCCAGGGAAATATCAAGTTATGTCAAAATATTTTGTTTTTTATTATATTTTCAATGAATATTAATTCACATCACAACTGATAAGGAGTAGCCATACCACATTCCAGAATTGAGCACAATCTATTGAAACTCTTATAGCTTTTTAACAAATTTTTAACTAATGTCTATCTAACTAATAGAATTTGGATTTGACCATCCAGTCGGTAGTAACCAGTTGATCTGGCTCATTTCATTGTAGCCAATCAAACTCTACCCCACCCCTGGCTGTCAACCAATCAAACTCCACCCCCGCCTGTCAACCAACCAATCAAACTCCACCCCTGCCTGTAAGCCAATTACATAAAATTGATGTGAAGACAGGAAAAAAATATGTCAACAAATTGAACAGTGTACATTTCTTTCAATAAATTGATAGCACAAATGTCTAGTCTAACAAAACTTAGGATCTGACCTGACTGAATATTTTAACATAGCTAAAGCTTGATGGACACTTCAATATTTTGGTTAAAGCTTTAATGATAGTTAATGGATATCTATTAAGGTTAATGAACATTTTATTAAGGTTAATGGACATCTATTAAGGTTAATGGGCATCTATTGAGATGGACACTTCAATATGTTGGTTAAAGCTTTAATGATGGTTAATGAACATTTTATTAAGGACAATGTAACATTTGAGTAGAGCTAATAAACAGTATCAACATTAAAGCATGGATGTAAAAAAACAATTCAGTGTTAATAATAAGGTAATTTATAAGATGCTGCTCCAAGAATGCCAATAGCACCATCAAACTAAACCTTCAACTAATCTGTGTTGTTTGAAACAAACTTTTGATTTTCTTATAGAACAAAATGTGCCACAATAAGGCTGGACCAGCAAGTGCTGGGTGACCCCTGGGGTCAATACACAAACAACCCTCCACCACGCTGGAACAAAATGTGCCACAATAAGGTTGGACCAGCAAGTGCTGGGTGACCCCAGGGGTCAATACACAAACAACCCTCCACCACGCTGGAACAAAATGTGCCACAATAAGGTTGGAGCAGCAAGACAAGTGCTGGGTGACCCCTGCGGTCAATACACAAACAACCCTCCACCACGCTGGAACAAAATGTGCCACAATAAGGTTGGACCAGCAAGTGCTGGGTGACCCCTGGGGTCAATACACAAACAACCCTCCACCACGCTGGAACAAAATGTGCCACAATAAGGTTGGACCAGCAAGTGCTGGGTGACCCCAGGGGTCAATACACAAACAACCCTCCACCACGCTGGAACAAAATGTGCCACAATAAGGTTGGACCAGCAAGTGCTGGGTGACCCCAGGGGTCAATACACAAACAACCCTCCACCACGCTGGAACAAAATGTGCCACAATAAGGCTGGACCAGCAAGTGCTGGGTGACCCCAGGGGTCAATACACAAACAACCCTCCACCACGCTGGAACAAAATGTGCCACAATAAGGTTGGACCAGCAAGTGCTGGGTGACCCCAGGGGTCAATACACAAACAACCCTCCACCACGCTGGAACAAAATGTGCCACAATAAGGTTGGACCAGCAAGTGCTGGGTGACCCCAGGGGTCAATACACAAACAACCCTCCACCACGCTGGAACAAAATGTGCCACAATAAGGCTGGACCAGCAAGTGCTGGGTGACCCCAGGGGTCAATACACAAACAACCCTCCACCACGCTGGAACAAAATGTGCCACAATAAGGCTGGACCAGCAAGTGCTGGGTGACCCCAGGGGTCAATACACAAACAACCCTCCACCACGCTGGAACAAAATGTGCCACAATAAGGTTGGACCAGCAAGTGCTGGGTGACCCCAGGGGTCAATACACAAACAACCCTCCACCACGCTGGAACAAAATGTGCCACAATAAGGTTGGACCAGCAAGTGCTGGGTGACCCCAGGGGTCAATACACAAACAACCCTCCACCACGCTGGAACAAAAGGTGCAAACAAGGAAGAACTGGGGGACATTCAAAAACAAAATTACACTGACAGACACACAAATGTCAGGGTTTTTTGTTGACTGGTGATAGGCCTGACTGGTCAGCTCTAGAAGAAAGATGTCAAGATGTCAACACAACCAGAGGTCCTGAGTCAAGAAGGTTGTGGCCTCATGTGGTCATTTCAAACATGCACGCATCATTTCTACAGCAAACTCAACTCACAGCAATGATCTATCATGTCTTCATGTATCACTACCATATTCAATCATCTAAAAAAAGTCTTTCTTTCATCCTTCTATTTCTCTCATGAATTGTCTGGCTGTGGACATGACTGAAAGGATTCTATGGCATCTACACACACAGGACTAGCATCTGACAACCTGAGGCTATACAGGACATCTGCCTGGCTGTGGACATGACTGAAAGGATTCTATGGCATCTACACACACAGGACTAGCATCTGACAACCTGAGGCTATACAGGACATCTGTCTGGCTGTGGACATGACCTAAAGGATTCTATGGCATCTACACACACAGGACTAGCATCTGACAACCTGAGGCTATACAGGACATCTGCCTGGCTGTGGACATGACTGAAAGGATTCTATGGCATCTACACACACAGGACTAGCATCTGACAACCTGAGGCTATACAGGACATCTGCCTGGCTGTGGACATGACTGAAAGGATTCTATGGCATCTACACACACAGGACTAGCATCTGACAACCTGAGGCTATACAGGACATCTGTCTGGAACAGGACAAACTAATAGAAACTGACCAGTGGTCAAATAGTTTGACTTAACTCTTACAGAAACTGACCAGTGGTCAAGTAGTTTGACTTAACTCTTATAGAAACTGATCAGTGGTCAAGTAGTTTGACTTAACTCTTACAGAAACTGACCAGTGGTCAAGTAGTTTGACTTAACTCTTATAGAAACTGATCAGTGGTCAAGTAGTTTGACTTAACTCTTACAGAAAACTGACCAGTGGTCAAGTAATTCAAGTTAACTCACACAGAAAACTGACCAGTGGTCAAAAGCAGGCAAATAAAAATTTGAAAAAGCCCCTATAAATCAAGCCAAACTCAAATAAAAGCAAATGTCCACGCAACTGAAGCCAAACAAAAGTGACTGCTGAGCACCACAAATAAGTCTTTAACTTTCCTTATTTTTCTGAAGCCGGTTCACTTTCTTAAACTCAAAGTACTCAATATATCCATCAAGGTTAGCATCAAAGGTCTTAAGAATTGAGTCTATAGAGGTGGACAAAGCATCATCTGGCATGGAAGCATCCTCCTCACTAGTGCTGTTGTTCTGCTCTGAAAACATTGAAAACTTTCAGCTGTCTGCTGGGGCTCATCATGTGGGGCTCATCATGTGGGGCTCATCATGTGGGGCTCATCATGTGGGGCTCATCATGTGCTGCCACAGCCTGACGTGTGCTGGTCATCACATACACCAAACACTGATTTACCAAACACCCTGCCACCCTTACACCAAACACCCTGCCACCCTTACACCAAACACCCTGCCACCCTTACACCAAACACCCTGCCACCCTTACACCAAACACCCTGCCACCCTTACACCAAACACCCTGCCACCCTTACACCAAACACCCTGCCACCCTTACACCAAACACCCTGCCACCCATCCACCAAATACACTGTCACCCATTCTACAAACACCAATCAAGCTGCCACCCATCCACCAAACACCCTGCCACCCTTACACCAAACACACTGTCACCCATTCTACAAACACAAATCAAGCTGCCACCCATCCACCAAACACCCTGCCACCCTTACACCAATCAAGCTGCCACCCATCCACCAAATGCCCTGCCACCCATCCACCAAATGCCCTGCCACCCATCCTACAAACACCCTGCCACCCATCCTACAAACACCAATCAAGCTGCCACCCATCCACCAAATACCCTGCCACCCATCCACCAAATACCCTGCCACCCATCCTACAAACACCCTGCCACCCATCCACCCATCCTACAACACCCTGCCACCTATCCACCCATCCACCAATCAAGCTGCCACCAATCCACCAATCAAGCTGCCACCCATCCACCATTAATTATTCCTTCTGACTGGAGCGTTGAGAGCTGAGTTTCATCTCAAAATATTCAATCAATCCGTTCTGATCCAGGTCAAAGGCAGCAAGGACTGGGTCAATCATTAGGACAAGATCTTCGTCAGAACGGACAGCCATGTCGGAACCCTCACCAGCCTTGCCGCTAGCATCTACAGTCATGTGATCAAAAGAGTTGCTGCCATCAACTTACAGACCAGACAATGCAAGGGAGACAACAGACTAAAAATCAGAGTTATCACCAAGTTATCTTCTCTTTCAAGCACCAACTACAAGCAGAGAGAATGTATCAGCCGCGTAGAAGCTTCTAGAATCTATGGCATGTATATGGGTGTATTGTTATTTGGGTGTTAGGGGTTTGGTTATATGGTGTTGAGGGTTCGGTTATATGGGTGTTAAGGGTTTTGTTAAATGGGTGTTGGCGGTTTGGTTATATGGGTGTTGGGGGTTTGGTTATATGGGTGTTGGGGGTTTGGTTATATGGGTGTTGGGGGTTTGGTTATATGGGTGTTGGGGGTTTGGTTATATGGGTGTTGGGGGTTTGGTTATATGGGTGTTGGGGGTTTGGTTATATGGGTGTTGGGGGTTTGGTTATATGGGTGTTGGGGGTTTGGTTATATGGGTGTTGGGGGTTGGTTATATGGGTGTTGGGGGTTTGGTTATATGGGTGTTGGGGGTTTGGTTATATGGGTGTTGGGGGTTTGGTTATATGGGTGTTGGGGGTTTTGTTATATGGGTGCTGGGGGTTTGGTTATATGGGTGTTGGGGGTTTTGTTATATGGGTGTTGGGGGTTTGGTTATATGGGTGTTGGGGGTTGGTTATATGGGTGTTGGGGGTTTGGTTATATGGGTGTTGGGGGTTTGGTTATATGGGTGTTGGGGGTTTGGTTATATGGGTGTTGGGGGTTTGGTTATATGGGTGTTGGGGGTTTGGTTATATGGGTGTTGGGGGTTTGGTTATATGGGTGTTGGGGGTTTGGTTATATGGGTGTTGGGGGTTTGGTTATATGGGTGTTGGGGGTTTGGTTATATGGGTGTTGGGGGTTTGGTTTTATGGGTGTTGGGGGTTTTGTTACATGGGTGTTGGGGGTTTGGTTATATGGGTGTTGGGGGTTTGGTTATATGGTGATGGGGGTTTGGTTATATGGGTGTTGGGGTTTGGTTATATGGGTGTTGGGGGTTTGGTTATATGGGTGTTGGGGGTTTGGTTATATGGGTGTTGGGGGTTTGGTTATATGGGTGTTGGGGGTTTGGTTATATGGGTGTTGGGGGTTTGGTTATATGGGTGTTGGGGGTTGGTTATATGGGTGTTGGGGGTTTGGTTATATGGGTGTTGGGGGTTTGGTTATATGGGTGTTGGGGGTTTGGTTATATGGGTGTTGGGGGTTTGGTTATATGGGTGTTGGGGGTTTGGTTATATGGGTGTTGGGGGTTGGTTATATGGGTGTTGGGGGTTTGGTTATATGGGTGTTGGGGGTTTGGTTATATGGGTGTTGGGGGTTTGGTTATATGGGTGTTGGGGGTTTGGTTATATGGGTGTTGGGGGTTTGGTTATATGGGTGTTGGGGGTTTGGTTATATGGGTGTTGGGGGTTTGGTTATATGGGTGTTGGGGGTTTGGTTTTATGGGTGTTGGGGGTTTTGTTACATGGGTGTTGGGGGTTTGGTTATATGGGTGTTGGGGGTTTGGTTATATGGTGATGGGGGTTTGGTTATATGGGTGTTGGGGTTTGGTTATATGGGTGTTGGGGGTTTGGTTATATGGGTGTTGGGGGTTTGGTTATATGGGTGTTGGGGGTTTGGTTATATGGGTGTTGGGGGTTTGGTTATATGGGTGTTGGGGGTTTGGTTATATGGGTGTTGGGGTTTGGTTTTATGGGTGTAGAAGTACTGAAGACTACAGCTGTTGAAGCTACCTATACACAGCCAAAACATCAGACCAACTACTGTCAGAGTCGAGAACCTAGGGAACAGTTTCCCAGTAAACAAAACACACCAAGCAGCATTGGGTGTAGTGACACTTAGATTGGATCAAGTTGAGACACAACAGTTAGAGCACAGGTAAAATAATCAAACAATCCTGCAAGTATTAACTCTTAGATATGGGGAGATTTGGGATGGGGGGGGGATATTGGAGATGGAGTGGGATAGAAAGTGGGGGTGTGGTGGGGAAGATAGTGGGAAAGGGGAAAGATATTGGGGGTTGGGGAGATAGGAAAGCAAAAAAGAAATTAGTTATGTTAACCACACCTACATTAGGAAAGGGGGCGACTTTAAAAAACATCCGTACTACTTTTAAAAACATGTTAGGATTTATTTTTGGCTTTTTCCTTCTGGACTACTGCCTTGAACTCAAAATACTCAATCATGCCATTGTCATCTGTGTCATACATGCTCAGCACTATATCTATGGTTTGGGTCAGCACCTCGTCAGACTTGATGCGCACGTCCTTGCCCTCAGAATCTAGATAGTCTGCATCTGTGCGGTTGGACTCTACAAGGAACAAGTGGATGGTCAAGATCAATGTCCAGCTCTTGACACTGGCCCATCACCAGAGGGTGGGGTGGGGTGAAGAAGGGAGGGAGGAGTTTTGGACATTAGCAGGGGAACTGCAGGCTCAGCAGGGAGATAACCATTACAATATGGACATTGTCACATGATCTGCCTTTGTTTACCACAAGAAAAAATGTAGCTATTTACATAAAAATTGTGTGTAAAGTGTAGGTCCTGTAGCTATTTACACAGAAAAACTGTGTGTAAAGTGTAGGTCCTGTAGCTATTTACACAGAAAAACTGTGTGTAAAGTGTAGGTCCTGTAGCTATTTACACAGAGAAATTGTGGGTAAAGAGTAAGTCCTGTAGCTATTTACACAGAAATTGTGAGGAAGATACCAGAAACACAGACCAAGCGTCTATCTATACAACTTGTACATCTGTCTAGACAACTAAATGGTCTTGACAGATCTTAGACAACTATATACACTGATCCAAAGCTGACCAGATATATTGCACACAAGAAACTACCCAGCTGCATGGGTCACCCCACACACGGGTCACCCCACACATGGGTCACCCCACACTAACGTGGGCTCTTTGTATCTCTCATCCCAAAATTTTTATTCCTCCTGAACTCCACATAATCCACGTATCCGTCAGTGCTAGTGTCTAACTGATTGAGGGCGCCATCCACAGAGACAGACAACTGCCTATCCGACACTATCCTGCGCTCATCCTTCTCCAATCTTTGGTCCTCTGTTGGCAGAAATGACAAGGTTACATCCCTTACACAACCCCTTGTCCTGCCACTAGATGACAAGGTTACATCCCTTACACAACCCCCTTGTCCTGCCACTAGATGACAAGGTTACATCCCTTACACAACCCCCTTGTCCTGCCACTTAGCTTGTTCAGTTAAAAAAATTTGAAAGCTTTAGGTATATGGGTGATAACTGCAAGCCATGCTAATCATGCCAGATATTTTGGGTGGAAAATAAAAGTTACATTTATAAGCCATGCAAGATTTTTGTCAAATTAATTTGGGCACATCAAATATTTTAAAACATTACACTTTTAAGAAAAAAAATGATAAAATAACTGCTACTTAATACAACAAGTAGAATAAAAAAACTTCTTTGACAAAATAATAAATACGGCTGATCATGTTAGCATACTTTACAGGGTGAAGAAAAAAAAGTACCACAACCAGTTGAGCTAGCTGATACCAACGATTTATGTGTGGTGTAGTGAGGGTGTGGGGTGGCATTGGTCAACATTTCTACTGAGGTTCTCACATGTGTTGCTACGTCTGATATTGGAGGGGGGGGGGGGGGGGGACACACACACAACAGTTAAAACTGGGGCAGTCAGACAGTAGTTTAAACATGTTTCTAAATAAATTTATTAATTATTTATTTTATTTTGTCCAGGGGCGGGAAGGAAGGAAAAGATGCAGTGTAAGGGGGGAGGGAGAGAGAGAGAAGACACACCTCACTACACCATCAAGCAAATATTGGTTGAAAGAGAAGAAATTCAATAGAGATACCAACAACCTAATAAAGTTTTACAATTAATTAATTATAAAAAATCTATGTAAAACAATTGATCATTGATAATGAATTAATCTTTAACAAAAATTTATAGCACTGAATAATAATGAACTAATTAACAAAGAGAGTATTACAATAGTGGTTAACAATGTCTAGCCAACATACTAGTTACTAAAAATAAATCAAACAACAGCAACAGTTTGTCTAATTAAGCCAGCTTACAATGTATATGTAGGATTATAGCCAGCTTACAATGTATATGTAGGATTGTAGCCAGCTTACTCTTACAATGTATAGCAGGCTGGTTGAATCAGTATACACACGCTGCAGTGCTCAGGTTAGATAACTCATACTTTGAGAGACTCTTAATACATCAAGTATTACCTCCCCTAGTATATTTTTTTAAATCTACAAAAAATTGTTAATTGTTCATGATTTTTTATATTATTTTCCAACTTACCCAATTTTTTATTTTTTTGCCAAGCACCAAGAATGGAGAGAAAACAAAGACTTACCTTAGGGAAGAAATAAATCAGTAAAATGCCCCAAAGGTAAACAAAAGGATGACAGTGCCAACAGCCAGCTGACAGTGCCAACAGCCAGCTGACAGTGCCAGCTGACAATGCCATGAACCATGCCAGTACACCAAGAGTAGAGCAAGAAGACAATATTGGACTCACCATCGTGAAAATGTGTCAAAGCCTTGCCAATCTCCACCCCATCCAGTTTGTTGTTGTTGTCGTAGTCGTGCAGCTTGAAGTAGTGGAACTCCAGCTCCTCTTCTGTCATCTGGTCCTTGGACTTGGTGGCCACAACCTTCTCTAGGTGCTCCAGGATGTGGCTGAAACATACACACATAGGATGTGGCTCAGACATACACACATAGGATGTGGCTCAGACATACACATGTGGTTAGTATGGGGCTCAGACATACACACGGGGTTAGTATGGGGCTCAGACATACACACATAGGATGTGGCTGAAACATACACATGGGTTAGTATGGGGCTCAGACATACACACATAGGATGTGGCTGAAACATACACACGGGGTTAGTATGGGGCTCAGACATACACACATAGGATGTGGCTGAAACATACACACATAGTATGGGGCTCAGACATACACACATAGGATGTGGCTGAAACATACACACATAGGATGTGGCTGAAACATACACACATAGGATGTGGCTGAAACATACACACGGGGTTAGTATGGGGCTCAGACATACACACATAGGATGTGGCTGAAACATACACACATAGTATGGGGCTCAGACATACACACATAGGATGTGGCTGAAACATACACACAGGGTTAAGGTGGGGCTGAAACATACACACGGGGTTAGTATGGGGCTCAGACATACACGGGGTTAGTATGGGGCTCAGACATACACACATAGTATGGGGCTCAGACATACACTAGGGTTAGTATGTGGCTCAGACATACACTAGGGTTAGTATGTGGCTCAAACATACACTAGGGTTAGTATGTGGCTCAAACATACACTAGGGTTAGTATGTGGCTCAAACATACACACATAGTATGGGGCTCAAACATACACACATAGTATGGGGCTCAAACATACACACATAGTATGGGGCTCAGACATACACACATAGGATGTGGTTGAAACATACACACATAGGATGTGGCTGAAACATACACACATAGGATGTGGCTGAAACATACACACATAGGATGTGGCTCAGACATACACACAGGGTTAGTATGTGGCTCAAACATACACATAGGGTTAGAAAATATTTTTTAAAATCTATATGTATTGCTTCCTCTTGCCCATCATCTAGATCTAATTCTAGATCTTAGTATATCTTGCCGATCGACATAACAAAAAATTTTGGTTGGTTTTTCACGATTCAGGAAATTTCAAGATCTTAAAAAATTTCATGAGAATTCCAGGACCTCCTGTAATTTTAGGAGGTCACATGAGCCCTGTAATATACACAGGCAGTTTAGACTCATAACATACACACAGATGGTTAAGCTGGTGGCTCAAACATACACAGATGTTTTTATAGGTAACTGTGGTGGGGTGAAATTGTTGGCTTTTTGAACCTAGCAGTCTAAGGGGTAGTAGAGTTATCTATGTCTGTGACTTTGGCATGTGAAGGGAAGGTCTCAGCTCTATGCCTAAATGCTTCTAGTTTTCCTAACTTGAGTCAGATACCCATTAGTGCTGGGTGGACTCATGGACGTCCTAGGGACCTCAAGACTTGTGGATAAGAAGTCGTATGCCCTAGCATCTGCCCAGCCTGCCCCAGGGTGGGGTGGCTAAACAAAACTTGATGTACTCACTCAGCATTGTGGACCTCTGATGCAAACTGTAAAGGTTTCCCATGGTGGCCGTGTTCTTCATGGGCCTGGGGTTGTTGTTGGTGCTGCTGCTGTTGCTGGTGGTGCTGCTGCTGCTGTTGGTGATGCTGTGGGGGCTGGTTGTGCTGCTGTGGGGGCTGGTTGTGTTGTTTTGGTGGGACACCAGGAGGTTGCTGTGTGGTCAGCTGGACCAGGGCCAACAAGAGGACTGCGACAGCAGGATGTATCATCGTGACCACGTGATAGAGAGCTGGGAGGAGAAAAAAACATCTTATTGTCTGACTTGAATCTTTGTATCTATTCTAATGAAAGGACAAGATATAAACAACATCTTATTGTCTGACTTGAATCTTTGTATCTATTCTAATGAAAGGACAAGATATAAACAACATCTTATTGTCTGACTTGAATCTTTGTATCTATTCTAATGAAAGGACAAGATATAAACAACATCTTATTGTCTGACTTGAATCTTCCCATCTATTCTAATGAAAGGACAATGAATGGACGCATGTCCATTTCTAAATATATCCAGGTCAAATTCTTTTGTTTTCTCCTTGTGGAAGACAAGTTTTTAAATTTATAAGTTGAGGTATGACGTCAGCCGGTGATCCCAGTTCACCCCGGATGAAAACACTAGGTCCAGGATGAGACGAATAAAACCAATCAAAGCTGTTTATAATTAGGTTAACAATAAATAGCTTCTACATATGTGCGGGACAATGTAAATACTATAGCTAAGGCTACTAAAGCAACCTGAGAGGTCAAATGGGGGTGACCGCAGACTGGCTGACGATTTGGGTCGTTTTCCTTGCTGTGTTGTGTAACCAATGACTTGAGCTAGACTAGCCTAGATCTAGATGCTCTATATTTCAAGCTAAGTCTAGAATCTGTACAGTTTATACATTTTTCTGTTGTTTTAAATTATTTTGATCATCTACTACTTCTAGAACTAGTTTGTGTCTCCACATACAAGCATGTCTAAGCAAATGTTAGGTTTTGTCTTGTTAGTAATTGTTACATCCCTTTGTTATGGTTATTAAAGTTGCGTCCCTTGAGTTATCATTGGGTCATCTGTGATGTGTAGTTAATAAATTTAATTTGAGTGTTTTTTATTTGGTTTTGCAATCTATTAATTAATAATACAATCAACAACACGTTTAAAGGTGTAAATTATTTATTTTAGCTATTAAAATTAAATTAAGACGTATAAAATACGATCGTTACGCAAGCAGGAACTGGTTTCCGCGGGCAAGGAAAAAAGGGGGAAAAAATATCGCAAAAAGGCTTGTCACTAAAACAATACATGAATATCTCAAATACTGTATGTAGGAATACAATATGACTCATACATATTAGAGTAGAATGGCAGCGGAATAATACGATACTTTCAGTTTGTTTCTGTGTGAAACGGTTACAAAATAGCGCCTGATGAAAATCTGAGGTTTGGAATTTTTTTGCTAGATCTACTCTAGATCTAGATCTAGATGTGACTGCGATAGGGGAGAATGTTTACACCGGTGTCTGATAATGGAATCTTCTTTTAAAAAGGGGTGTTAGGCTACTGGTAGTTAACTAAATACACACATGGCTGGCTATTGTCAATGCTAACCCTGTCCCTAACCCTAACCCCAACCCTGGTCCAACCATACGCCTAACCCTAATTTCTATTCATAAAATTAGTCGAGATTACAATACTACTAACAACCCAACACCCCTTTTTTAAAGAAGATTCCATTATCGGACACTGGTATCTATACTATAAGTCTATAAGTATATATTAGTATAATTGGTAATCTATCGTTTTGGGTACGTAAAATCGCCCGCGGCTATTAATGTACGAAAACGTTACCTCATTGTCAAGGCTGTAATAGAAGTATATTGTGATATGTTTGTGTTAAATATTATAGATAAATGAATAATAAACCTAAATCAATGGCTAAATATATCAATATAGGTCCGACATTAACTTTAAACAGCAGTGTCTGCAAGCAAGATTTGCTATAATTCTATAAAACAGCAGCCATTTGTAAAATAGAGTGACTTCCGCCTGAATCTTGCGCTATAAGTCTATAAAAATAAAACTTTAACAAGATGGCTGCTATAGTAAATGAGCATGGTTGCATCTGTTGGAAACATCGCTGGTGTTCATTTATTACTGAAAAGTTTTAATTCAATTGTTTAGAAACAGGTACATAAATGAAACAAGGAAACATTTTTGTATTTTTTAAAACATAAATCCTCCTCAAAATGTGAAATAATTATTAAAATGTAAGGAGTCACCTGTTTTTCACATTACTAGTCGCGGGCGATTTTACGTACCTAAAACGATAGATTACCGTATAATTTAGATCTAGATCTAGATCTATATACTATAATACTATATTTATAAAATAATCATCCGAGATTTTTTTTTAATTCAGTAGTTTAGATTTTTATTAGGCCTATGCCTAAATTTAATAATTAATATAGACTAGATCTAGGCCTAAACTTTAAGATTATGTTTCTACCAAACAATTTACAAAATACCTTTCAATATGTTAGAATTTGCGCCTGTCTCTCTGCTTGTCACTTTGCCGTATGGTGGGAATCTGCCGATTGGTTTCTGCCGCTAATGTCAACATATGATGAGGTGTCCTAAGTGTAAGTGAAATCAATAGAGCAATAAAATATGAGCAACTGTTATACTTGGTGGCATAAACCGCATCGACAGGAAATCTGGTAGGCTAGGCTAAAGACTACTAAAGAGCTCAAAATAATGAAGGAATTATATTATACAAATGTTTCTATTTGAAACAAAAAGTAAACTTAATTCTTGATTAATGTTATTGTTGAATAAACTCTATCAATTACTAAAATACCAAGCAAGATAATTATTGATGTGATTATGCGTGTTTACTATGGTTTTCTTTTGGCTTTTGTCGAAAATACTATAGATATTTAAATATTTAGATATCTTTATCTAGAGTCTAGATCTAGAGCTAGTAGATTTTCATTTTTTAAATCTTTTAAATTGAGTTAGATCTAGATCTATCTAGATCTAGATTGTATGGATCGTGCAAATTTTTATTTACTTATTAATATATAAGTAAAGGCTATGTAGAATATATATAGGCTAAATTTATTCTAGCCTATAATACAAATCTAAATCTATAATGGGCCACGTTCGCACATCTCTCTCTCTCTCTCTCTCTCTGTCCGCAAAAATTTTTCGCCGGACATCACGTCAGAAACGGCAGCGATATATGGAGAACTTTATACGGACTTTTGTTGAAAATAATATGTTAGATGTTTTAAATGTATAACCACAATTTTATTTAAAGAAGAAAAATATAAAATAAAAGCGTATTCGAATGTAGAGAAACAGTATTATTTATGCAACCGGAAAAGCATTAATAGATGTGTAAAAGAACGCATAAAACTGTGACGACACTATTGCTTACTAATGACGTCATCTGCCGTGTTTAGAATAAAAAAGAAATGAACTATTTCATTCAAATTTGATTTAGATCTACGTACACAATGAAATTTATACAATACAATTTTTCCGGCCTAAACTCATAACATTTATTTATACAAAATCTTTGTTTGGAACTGGCTAATTTGGGATAAAAAAATTAATTTGAAAGAATAGGCATATTCGCGTAAGTTAAGATTTTAAAATACGTCTTTCATTCTCTGTATTTTATAAGGTGCCTAAATAGCGGAGATGTTAGTGTACTATAAACCATGCAGGTGGTGCGAGTTCGAGACCCACCAAGTCAACTTGGTTAATGTATTTTTTTTTTATTTTGCTCGGACTAAACTTAAAAAAAAAAATTCAATTAGGATTCTAGATCTAGATCTAGATTGTCGGGTGTCCGATAAGGCACTTCCCGGCGCCGCAGGCGCTTCAAATTTGTCAGGATCTTGCCTTGGGGCGACAGAACACGGGGGCCGGTTGGCCGAAAAGTCTACGATGAGGGGGTCAAAACTGACCTCGACTGACCGGTACCTTATATGAGCTATAAATCGAAAAAAAATGTCCACGGAGGAACCTCTTCATAACTCTTGAGGTCGTAGACCGACCCTCGGGCGAATTAATTAAGCATTCAAATTCTCAATGTTTTCGAAAGCCTAAGCGAAGCTGGGCAGCATGCCTAGTATATAAATGAAATACGTAGAGGTGGTTAGATTGTTTATCATTTTATTATATTGTGCAGTAGCTTCATATGTTATGGTTGCGGCATCTAACGTTGTATGTTATATATTTTCTTGTTTTCTAATATTGGCTTTTTTTTTAATTTTAACCTAGAATCGTTTGATTTATAAATTACAAACTGGTTTAGGCTATAATCCTTTCCTTAAAATGTTTAAATCTGTATATGATTTATTCGTTGTTTATTTTTCAATGAACGATTTTTTTTCTCTCTAAAAATTATATTGCAAAGTTATAATGTATTTTAAAAATGGTTAACTTTTGGGTCTTCCGTATAGGACCTTACGCTTTTTACCAAAACCCATCCTCAAACATCGTCACGTAAAAAGCTAGACCTCCCCGGCCCTTTCCCTATAATGACGTCACATCTCAAGCTTACTACCCCCCCCCCCCCCATTAAAAAAATCGATTTCTTTGCAAAATATTTACTGAGATCGAGCATCAATGTGTCTATTGTTTAATTGTATTGCTATTTTTTTAATGACCTTTAAAAATGCTAAATAACGGCTTAGTGCAAAAGTGTGTCGTCACACTTACTAACCCCCCCCCCCCCTCCTCCCCCCCCCCCCCCCGCCCTTCATCCAGTTTTTCTTCAACACTGTTTTCTCCTGGGGAGATGGACGGACTTGATATTTGGCGGGGCGGACTGCGGACACTAGTAAAAAGTATGTTTTCTACACAATTTCCGTTTCGCTCGGTGGGGGGGGGGGGTGACTTTCTTCTGGCCCCCCCCCCCCCCCCCCCCCCCGGAAGAGATGCCCGGAAGAAACTCTGCTTTCATCACAAATCGTCCAAAAATCCTGACCCCTTAGCCCATTTTGTGTTGTCTACCTTGAGTTCTAATTCTTAATTAATGCGCCTTTTTATTATAAAATGTTGTTTTTTTTTGTTTTTTTTTTTTTGGGGGGGGGGGGTTAACACTCATGCATTGCCGGTTTAGAAACTTATTTGCCAAGCTGGCAAGCCTACACGAGAAGTAATCTTAACAGGTGTGTTTGTAGTGTGTTGAAGTACTATAATTGGCTGAGAGACACCATATGCTTATATTAAATCCAGAATTCTGATTGGCTGATAAATTTAACTGCAACCAACGTGGCATTACACGTGTCTTATCAAACGCAAACAACAGCATGCCCCTTTTTATTGTTTTGTTTTTTTAAATTAGTTAACGAATTGCTCGAGTATCAAATAATATTCATCATTGTAGAAACACATTATAAATTTTGAATGGTTTTTATTGTGATAAAATATGTAAATAATACTAAGCGTGACATATTGGCTTCACTAAATAAAATGCGTAGGCCTACATAGCTTCATAAACACACAACACTAGATCTAGTGCAACAGATGCATATTTTCCTGGTCACTCGTGTATCTTAACACCTCTATGTCGTACTACGCCATACCATGTAATAAAATTATTAGTTGTTACAAAAGCCAACACATTACTATTTAAATTCATAGCAAATAGGCCGAGTTCTACGCGTCGTCAGCTGTTATAATGTGAGACAGTGGCGTCACTAGGGGGTGGAAGGGGGCGGCACCGGGTGACAGTATCTTAAGGAGGAAAAATTGAAAATTAACATACACTGACAAATTCAGTTAAAACAGGTGCAGAGAATGTTTCAGGTTTTTACATAAAACTAGGCCCACTTTTCTGCCTACAAATTTATTTTGTTTTCTTTCTTTACCCTGATTTACTAGATTTTGACCTTAATTTTCTTAAATAAATGTATCCAACAATCAAATGTAACCCTCTATAGGCTACATTGGTGTGCTTTTATACATATCCATTGAGACAATATTTTGTAAAGATACATGCTATAAAATATCATTAAAGAACAATAATAAATAAGACATAGATTTATTATCCTGTGACGTCATCAATATACGGGTGGGGGCTTGGCGCGTGTGTAGGCGGCGCTGTTCTTGGCGGTGAATAGATATGGGCGGTCCTGTGGTCAGAGAGAGGATGTCGTTAGGTGCTTTCAGTGATGACCACATACAGCAGCAACAATACACATTCACACATACATGAACATATACACAGTTTCATAAAAACTGACATACATATACTCGTAAATATATACACTAATATACGTACATTTGCTCAAATACACTAACATACGTGCAAATACACAGACACACCGAAATACGTAAAAATACACAAACTTTCGAACATGTATATCAATATATACGAACATAAATGATAAACACGGGTACTTTTATATACGAACACAAATTATTTGCGCCCATACAAGTCAACGCAGAAGAAACCCTGTACTTCGGTCAGGTAAAGTCACCTAACACATTGCAGCTATGTTTAAATACAGACCAGCCATACGTGATGTCAACTCAAAGCCCCCCCCCCCCCCCCAACAATCACATACAGATTATGAACACGAGATTTCACACACAGACCCCCCCCTCCGACACACACACAAACTAACCCCCACGTGATGTCAACACGCAGACTACCACCCTCCCCCCACACACACCCGCACACAGGCGAGCCCCACGTGATGTCAACACGCAGACCACCACCCTCCCCCCGCACACAGACGAGCCCCACGTGATGTCAACACGCAGACCACCACCCTCCCCCCACACACACCCGCACACAGACGAGCCCCACGTGATGTCAACACGCAGACCACCACCCTCCCCCCCCCACACACACACCCGCACACAGACGAGCCCCACGTGATGTCAACACGCAGACCACCACCCTCCCCCCACACACACCCGCACACAGACGAGCCCCACGTGATGTCAACAAGACAAGATGACCTGACCTCTGTGGGACACTCTAGCGGCTCTCCTGGCATCCAGTTCAATCTTTTAGATCCCACTGGCTCCACCTGGAGAATACATGACATGTGTAAGTCATAAGACCTAACAGGTTATACTTTTGACCTTGACCTAACCTACCTGATTGTGCTGTATATCCCAAACTTGACCTGACCTACCATATCACACTACAGGTCCTGACCTTGACCTGACCTACCAAAACACACTACAGGTCCTGACCTGACCTACCAAATCACACTACAGGACCTGACCTTGACCTAACCTACCATGTTGTTCCACAGAGCCTCAGCTGCGGCCTGCTGACCTTTCTTGCTGTGGTGGAAACAATCACTGGCGAAAAACGACATGTCTGGTTCCCCGTCAGCCTGTAAGACACGAGACACAGACAGGTGAGACAAGACACGAGACACAGACAGGTGAGACACGAGACACAGACAGGTGAGACAAGACACAGACAGGTGAGACACGAGACACAGACAGGTGAGACAAGACACGAGACACAGACAGGTGAGACAAGACACGAGACACAGACAGGTGAGACACGAGACACAGACAGGTGAGACAAGACACGAGACACAGACAGGTGAGACACGAGACACAGACAGGTCAGACAAGACACGAGACACAGACAGGTGAGACACGAGACACAGACAGGTGAGACACGAGACACAGACAGGTGAGACACGAGACACAGACAGGTGAGACGAGACACGAGACACAGACAGGTGAGACAAGACACGAGACACAGACAGGTGAGACACGAGACACAGACAGGTGAGACAAGACACAGACAGGTGACACGAGACACGAGAAACAGACAGGTGAGACAAGACACAGACAGGTGAGACAAGACACAGACAGGTGAGACACGAGACACAGACAGGTGAGACAAGACACGAGACACAGACAGGTGAGACAAGACACGAGACACAGACAGGTGAGACAAGACACAGACAGGTGAGACAAGACACAGACAGGTGAGACAAGACACAGACAGGTGAGACAAGACACGAGACCCAGACAGGTGAGACAAGACACGAGACACAGACAGGTGAGACAAGACACGAGACACAGACAGGTGAGACACGAGACACAGACAGGTGAGACACGAGACACAGACATGTGAGACACGAGACACAGACAGGTGAGACACGAGACACAGACAGGTGAGACAAGAGACACAGACAGGTGAGACAAGACACGAGACACAGACAGGTGAGACAAGACACGAGACACAGACAGGTGAGACACGAGACACAGACAGGTGAGACAAGACACAGACAGGTGACACGAGACACGAGACACAGACAGGTGAGACAAGACACAGACAGGTGAGACAAGACACAGACAGGTGAGACACGAGACACAGACAGGTGAGACAAGACACGAGACACAGACAGGTGAGACAAGACACGAGACACAGACAGGTGAGACAAGACACGAGACACAGACAGGTGAGACAAGACACAGACAGGTGAGACAAGACACAGACAGGTGAGACAAGACACGAGACACAGACAGGTGAGACAAGACACGAGACACAGACAGGTGAGACAAGACACGAGACACAGACAGGTGAGACAAGACACAGACAGGTGAGACGAGACACGAGACACAGACAGGTGAGACACGAGACACAGACAGGTGAGACGAGACACAGACAGGTGAGACAAGACACCAACAGACTGGTCAAGACATCTATTTCCAAACCTTTCTCAAAGACATGCAAATTTGTCAGAATTGCCACAGTGCTACAAACATCTTTTTAAGTTCTGGCAAAAAAAATTGTCGGCTCAAAATCAATTTTTAAAAATAAAAATAATCGAGACGAGTTACCGTTCTTGGCAGGAAAGTCTCGCGGTAAAATGGCTGCAGGACGACGGTGAAGTCGTCCCGTGTGTCGTACCGTCCAGACGCCACCAGGTCACGTGACGCCTGCTGGTAGCCCTGACGTAACGCGATCAGCTCGTTCAGGTCAGCCTGACCGTCAGGGTTGGCTGCACAATCACAGGCGAAGCTGGAAGTGTGGGGTAGTGTGGGGTAGTGTGGGGTAGTGTGGGGTAGTGCGGGGTAGTGCGGGGTAGTGCGGGGTAGTGTGGGGTAGTGTGGGGTAGTGTGGGGTAGTGCGGGGTAGTGCGGGGTAGTGTGGGGTAGTGTGGGGTAGTGCGGGTTAGTTGGGTGTTTGTGCAGGCTCCCTACAGCAATCAGTGCACCCTAACACCCCCCCCCCCCCCTGAATCGTTCTACCATAATGCACAAAACATGTAAATCAATCTATTTAAAAAATTGTAGGGATTTCTATCTTCCCCGAAAGAAACATTTAGTTTTGTATGGAGCTTTTTAAAAATCAAACCCATCTCCAACTGAGGCATACAATCCTAAAGACACATCAGCACAACAAACACCCCTCTAACCCCCTCCCCACACACCCCCACACCCCACACAGAACAAGTGACGATTGTCCGCTAGGTCCCGCACCATCTCAATGTTGAGCACTTCCACCCCCACACACCCCCACACACCCCCACACACACCCACACACACCCACACCCCACACACACACCCCACACACAGAACAAGTGACGTACAAATGTACAGCAGCACACAGCAGATTGTCCGCTAGATCCCGCACCATCTCAATGTTGAGCACCTCCACCCCCACACACCACCACACACCCCCACACACACCCACACACACCCACACCCCACACACACACCCCACACACAGAACAAGTGACGTACAAATGTACAGCAGCACACAGAAGATTATCCGCCAGATCCCGCACCATCTCAATGTTGAGCACCTCCACCCCCACACACCCCCACACACCCCACACACACCCCCACACACCCCCACACACCCACACACACCCCCACACACCCCCACACAGAACAAGTGACGTACAAATGTACAGCAGCACACAGCAGATTATCCGCTAGATCCCGCACCATCTCAATGTTGAGCACCTCCACCCCCACACACCCCCACACACCCCACACACACCCCCCACACACCCCCACACACCCACACACACCCCCACACACCCCCACACACCCACACACCCCAAACACCCACACAGAACAAGTGACGTACAAATGTACAGCAGCACACAGAAGATTGTCCGCTAGATCCCGCACCATCTCAATGTTGAGCACCTCCACCCCCACACACCCCCACACACCCCCACACACACCCCACACACAACAAGTGACGTACAAATGTACAGCAGCACACAGAAGATTATCCGCTAGATCCCGCACCATCTCAATGTTGAGCACCTCCACCCCCACACACACCCCCACACACCCCCACACACACCCACACACACCCACACACACCCACACACCCCCACACACACCCCCACACACCCCCACACACACCCACACACCCCCACACACCCACACACACACCCACACACACCCCCACACACCCACACACAGAACAAGTGACGTACAAATGTACAGCAGCACACAGAAGATTATCCGCTAGATCCCGCACCATCTCAATGTTGAGCACCTCCACCCCCACACACCCACACACACACCCACACACACCCCCACACACACCCCACACACAACAAGTGACGTACAAATGTACAGCAGCACACAGAAGATTGTCCGCTAGATCCCGCACCATCTCAATGTTGAGCACCTCCACCCCCACACACCCCCACACACCCCCACACACACCCCACACACAACAAGTGACGTACAAATGTACAGCAGCACACAGAAGATTGTCCGCTAGATCCCGCACCATCTCAATGTTGAGCACCTCCACCCCCACACACACCCCCACACACCCCCACACACCCCCACACACCCCCACACACCCCCACACACACCCCACACACAACAAGTGACGTACAAATGTACAGCAGCACACAGAAGATTGTCCGCTAGATCCCGCACCATCTCAATGTTGAGCACCTCCACCCCCACACACCCACACACACCCCCACACACACCCCACACACAACAAGTGACGTACAAATGTACAGCAGCACACAGAAGATTGTCCGCTAGATCCCGCACCATCTCAATGTTGAGCACCTCCACCCCCACACACCCCCACACACCCCCACACACACCCCACACACAACAAGTGACGTACAAATGTACAGCAGCACACAGAAGATTGTCCGCTAGATCCCGCACCATCTCAATGTTGAGCACCTCCACCCCCACACACCCCCACACACCCCCACACACACCCCACACACAACAAGTGACGTACAAATGTACAGCAGCACACAGAAGATTGTCCGCTAGATCCCGCACCATCTCAATGTTGAGCACCTCCACCCCCACACACACCCCCACACACCCCCACACACCCCCACACACCCCCACACACCCCCACACACACCCCACACACAACAAGTGACGTACAAATGTACAGCAGCACACAGAAGATTGACCTCTAGATCCCGCACCATCTCAATGTTGAGCACCTCCACCCCCACACACCCCCACACACCCCCACACACACCCCACACACAACAAGTGACGTACAAATGTACAGCAGCACACAGAAGATTGTCCGCTAGATCCCGCACCATCTCAATGTTGAGCACCTCGACCAAGTTGACGAAGGCCCGGGGGACGTTGGCGTGCAGGTAGTCCAGGGTCTGCTGCAGGTGGCTGGCGTACGTCTTGGCGCTGTACGCTTGCTGGGGAGGGGGGGGGTCAGCTCGATGACGTCAGTAAATTAAATTCTATTGACTCTATCCTATTTACCATACACTCATAATCTAATCACACAGTTACCAGCTTACCCTGTCACAAAGTTACCACCTTACCCTATCACAAGTTACCATCTTACCCTATTACAAAGTTACCACCTTACCCTATCACAAGTTACCAGCTTACCCTATCACAAAGTTACCACCTTACCCTATCACAAGTTACCAGCTTACCCTATCACCAAGTTACCACCTTACCCTATCACAAAGTTACCATCTTACCCTATCACAAAATTACCAGCTTACCCTATCACAAGTTACCTGCTTACCCTATCACAAGTTACCAGCTTACCCTATCACAAGTTACCACCTTACCCTATCACAAGTTACCAGCTTACCCTTTCATAAAGTTACCAGCTTACCCTATCACAAAGTTACCAGCTTACCCTATCACAAGTTACCAGCTTACCCTATCATTAAGTTACCCCCTTACCCTATCACAAGTTACCAGCTTACCCTATCATAAAGTTACCAGCTTACCCTATCACAAGTTACCAGCTTACCCTATCACACAGTTACCAGCTTACTCTATCATAAAGTTACCAGCTTACCCTATCACAAGTTACCAGCTTACCCTATCATAAAGTTACCAGCTTACCCTATCACAAAGTTACCACCTTTCCCTAACACAAGTTACCAGCTTACCCTATCATTAAGTTACCAGCTTACCCTATCACAAAGTTACCAGCTTACCCTATCACAAGTTACCAGCTTACCCTATCATTAAGTTACCAGCTTACCCTAGCACAAGTTACCAGCTTACCCTATCACAAGTTACCAACTTACCCTATCATAAAGTTACCAGCTTACCCTATCACAAGTTACCAACTTACCCTATCATAAAGTTACCAGCTTACCCTATCACAAGTTACCAACTTACCCTATCATAAAGTTACCAACTTACCCTATCATCGCACCAGTCGCACAAATCGTTGCCGCCGATGAAGAGGGTGATGACCTTCCAGTCGTTGATGAAGTCGATGTTGCTGCTAGCCTTCATCAGGTTCACGAGGTTCTGGGCCTGTCCCAGCACGTCCCTGGGGGTCAGGGGTGGGGGGGAATCATGCACGACTCGAACATAATCATGTAACATGAGACACCATTATATTGAGAAAACCAAATCATGTAACATGAGACACCATTATATTGAGAAAACCAAATCATGTAACATGAGACACCATTATATTGAGAAAACCAAATAAGACCCCCACCATGAGACCGCACTATCAGGCCCCTCTAGCAAACCACACCCAACACACAGTATTCACACACACGCACTCTCTCTCTCTCTCTCTCTCTCACACACACACACACATACACATACACGTAAAATTCAAGAGTTACCCCGCTTTGGCGCCACTGACGGCCACATTAAAACGAGACTTGGAGTCTCCTTTTCCCTCTGAGTAGCCATACAGATCTGGCCTGTATTGACGTAAAATATCTGGCAATAGAAGAATCAACTAGCTCTTACTCTACCGCGTTTACACTTGCGACATGTATACTATACATGTCTAGAAAAAAAAACTTCGCAATAAGTGAGTAGGCTCCCCTATTATCTTAGGCCCTACAGCAAAGTGTTTTTTTCTTAGAAATGTATAGTGTACATGTCGCAAGTGTAAACGCTGTATAATAATTATTATTTCAAATATCGCAACAGTGAATGCTAGAAATGTTTACTTAAGCTACAAATCACGTGAAAAAGGTGAGCACTAGGGATGTAAAAATAAAAACTGTTACGAAACAAAAAGTCTGTGTACACATATCCTCCCCCCCCCCATCAGCCTCGACTCCCACTTACTTGGCACTGAGTGGTAATCCGCATACGAGTCATCCCCGCCAATACTGCAAGCAGAAGTCAACAGGTAGAATCAGCTGATTACATTTTACACTATTTCTTAAGACTAATATTAATTAGATTCAACCATCCCACCCGCGACGAAGAAAAAATATAATTATAATTTATTTAGAAAATATATACCAGTGTTCCCTCCAACCCTCGGAAATGTCAAGTGCCACCCCCCAACACCACCGAGAAAAATATGTGAAAGAAGCCCATAAAAGAAGCGAGCCTATGTTGACATGAAGCCCACATGGCCTTACCTCCAGGACAAGCCCCTGTAGTCAATGAGTAGACCAATGATAACCTTACCTCCAGGACAAGCCCCTGTAGTCAATGAGTAGACCAATGATAAACTTACCTCCAGGATAAGCCCCTGTAGTCAATGAGTAGACCAATGATCCCTTACCTCCAGGACAAGCCCCTGTAGTCAATGAGTAGACCAATGATAAACTTACCTCCAGGACAAGCCCCTGTAGTCAATGAGTAGACCAATGATAAACTTACCTCCAGGACAAGCCCCTGTAGTCAATGAGTAGACCAATGATAAACTTACCTCCAGGACAAGCCCCTGTAGTCAATGAGTAGACCAATGATAAACTTACCTCCAGGATAAGCCCCTGTAGTCAATGAGTAGACCAATGATAACCTTACCTCCAGGACAAGCCCCTGTAGTCAATGAGTAGACCAATGATAAACTTACCTCCAGGACAAGCCCCTGTAGTCAATGAGTAGACCAATGATAACCTTACCTCCAGGACAAGCCCCTGTAGTCAATGAGTAGACCAATGATAAACTTACCTCCAGGACAAGCCCCTGTAGTCAATGAGTAGACCAATGATAAACTTACCTCCAGGACAAGCCCCTGTAGTCAATGAGTAGACCAATGATCCCTTACCTCCAGGATAAGCCCCTGTAGTCAATGAGTAGACCAATGATAAACTTACCTCCAGGACAAGCCCCTGTAGTCAATGAGTAGACCAATGATCCCTTACCTCCAGGACAAGCCCCTGTAGTCAATGAGTAGACCAATGATAAACTTACCTCCAGGACAAGCCCCTGTAGTCAATGAGTAGACCAATGATAACCTTACCTCCAGGACAAGCCCCTGTAGTCAATGAGTAGACCAATGATAACCTTACCTCCAGGACAAGCCCCTGTAGTCAATGAGTAGACCAATGATCCCTTACCTCCAGGATAAGCCCCTGTAGTCAATGAGTAGTCCAATGATAACCTTACCTCCAGGACAAGCCCCTGTAGTCAATGAGTAGTCCAATGATAACCTTACCTCCAGGACAAGCCCCTGTAGTCAATGAGTAGACCAATGATCCCTTACCTCCAGGACAAGCCCCTGTAGTCAATGAGTAGACCAATGATAAACTTACCTCCAGGACAAGCCCCTGTAGTCAATGAGTAGACCAATGATAAACTTACCTCCAGGACAAGCCCCTGTAGTCAATGAGTAGACCAATGATAAACTTACCTCCAGGACAAGCCCCTGTAGTCAATGAGTAGACCAATGATAAACTTACCTCCAGGACAAGCCCCTGTAGTCAATGAGTAGACCAATGATCCCTTACCTCCAGGACAAGCCCCTGTAGTCAATGAGTAGACCAATGATAAACTTACCTCCAGGACAAGCCCCTGTAGTCAATGAGTAGACCAATGACCCCTTACCTCCAGGACAACCTCCAGGACAAGCCCCTGTAGTCAATGAGTAGACCAATGATCCCTTACCTCCAGGACAAGCCCCTGTAGTCAATGAGTAGACCAATGATAAACTTACCTCCATGGACAATAAAAAAGCCCCTTGATAAAAAGCCCCAAACAAAAAGCCCCTGTAGTCAATGAGTAGACCAATGATAAACTTACCTCCAGGACAAGCCCCTGTAGTCAATGAGTAGACCAATGATCCCTTACCTCCAGGACAAGCCCCTGTAGTCAATGAGTAGACCAATGATAAACTTACCTCCAGGACAAGCCCCTGTAGTCAATGAGTAGACCAATGATAACCTTACCTCCAGGACAAGCCCCTGTAGTCAATGAGTAGACCAATGATAACCTTACCTCCAGGACAAGCCCCTGTAGTCAATGAGTAGACCAATGATCCCTTACCTCCAGGATAAGCCCCTGTAGTCAATGAGTAGTCCAATGATAACCTTACCTCCAGGACAAGCCCCTGTAGTCAATGAGTAGACCAATGATCCCTTACCTCCAGGACAAGCCCCTGTAGTCAATGAGTAGTCCAATGATAACCTTACCTCCAGGACAAGCCCCTGTAGTCAATGAGTAGTCCAATGATCCCTTACCTCCAGGACAAGCCCCTGTAGTCAATGAGTAGACCAATGATAAACTTACCTCCAGGACAAGCCCCTGTAGTCAATGAGTAGACCAATGATAAACTTACCTCCAGGACAAGCCCCTGTAGTCAATGAGTAGACCAATGATAAACTTACCTCCAGGACAAGCCCCTGTAGTCAATGAGTAGACCAATGATAAACTTACCTCCAGGACAAGCCCCTGTAGTCAATGAGTAGACCAATGATAAACTTACCTCCAGGACAAGCCCCTGTAGTCAATGAGTAGACCAATGATAACCTTACCTCCAGGACAAGCCCCTGTAGTCAATGAGTAGACCAATGATCCCTTACCTCCAGGATAAGCCCCTGTAGTCAATGAGTAGTCCAATGATAACCTTACCTCCAGGACAAGCCCCTGTAGTCAATGAGTAGACCAATGATCCCTTACCTCCAGGACAAGCCCCTGTAGTCAATGAGTAGACCAATGATAACCTTACCTCCAGGACAAGCCCCTGTAGTCAATGAGTAGACCAATGATCCCTTACCTCCAGGATAAGCCCCTGTAGTCAATGAGTAGTCCAATGATAACCTTACCTCCAGGACAAGCCCCTGTAGTCAATGAGTAGTCCAATGATAACCTTACCTCCAGGACAAGCCCCTGTAGTCAATGAGTAGACCAATGATCCCTTACCTCCAGGACAAGCCCCTGTAGTCAATGAGTAGACCAATGATAAACTTACCTCCAGGACAAGCCCCTGTAGTCAATGAGTAGACCAATGATAAACTTACCTCCAGGACAAGCCCCTGTAGTCAATGAGTAGACCAATGATAAACTTACCTCCAGGACAAGCCCCTGTAGTCAATGAGTAGACCAATGATAAACTTACCTCCAGGACAAGCCCCTGTAGTCAATGAGTAGACCAATGATAAACTTACCTCCAGGACAAGCCCCTGTAGTCAATGAGTAGACCAATGATAACCTTACCTCCAGGACAAGCCCCTGTAGTCAATGAGTAGACCAATGATCCCTTACCTCCAGGATAAGCCCCTGTAGTCAATGAGTAGTCCAATGATAACCTTACCTCCAGGACAAGCCCCTGTAGTCAATGAGTAGTCCAATGATAACCTTACCTCCAGGACAAGCCCCTGTAGTCAATGAGTAGACCAATGATCCCTTACCTCCAGGACAAGCCCCTGTAGTCAATGAGTAGACCAATGATAAACTTACCTCCAGGACAAGCCCCTGTAGTCAATGAGTAGACCAATGATAAACTTACCTCCAGGACAAGCCCCTGTAGTCAATGAGTAGACCAATGATAACCTTACCTCCAGGACAAGCCCCTGTAGTCAATGAGTAGACCAATGATAACCTTACCTCCAGGACAAGCCCCTGTAGTCAATGAGTAGACCAATGATACCTTACCTCCAGGACAAGCCCCTGTAGTCAATGAGTAGACCAATGATCCCTTACCTCCAGGACAAGCCCCTGTAGTCAATGAGTAGACCAATGATAACCTTACCTCCAGGACAAGCCCCTGTAGTCAATGAGTAGACCAATGATAACCTTACCTCCAGGACAAGCCCCTGTAGTCAATGAGTAGACCAATGATAACCTTACCTCCAGGACAAGCCCCTGTAGTCAATGAGTAGACCAATGATAAACTTACCTCCAGGACAAGCCCCTGTAGTCAATGAGTAGACCAATGATCCCTTACCTCCAGGACAAGCCCCTGTAGTCAATGAGTAGACCAATGATAAACTTACCTCCAGGACAAGCCCCTGTAGTCAATGAGTAGACCAATGATAACCTTACCTCCAGGACAAGCCCCTGTAGTCAATGAGTAGACCAATGATAACCTTACCTCCAGGACAAGCCCCTGTAGTCAATGAGTAGACCAATGATCCCTTACCTCCAGGATAAGCCCCTGTAGTCAATGAGTAGACCAATGATAACCTTACCTCCAGGACAAGCCCCTGTAGTCAATGAGTAGACCAATGATAACCTTACCTCCAGGACAAGCCCCTGTAGTAGATGAGTAGACCAATGATAAACTTACCTCCAGGATAAGCCCCTGTAGTCAATGAGTAGACCAATGATAAACTTACCTCCAGGACAAGCCCCTGTAGTCAATGAGTAGACCAATGATAAACTTACCTCCAGGACAAGCCCCTGTAGTCAATGAGTAGACCAATGATAAACTTACCTCCAGGACAAGCCCCTGTAGTCAATGAGTAGACCAATGATAAACTTACCTCCAGGACAAGCCCCTGTAGTCAATGAGTAGACCAATGATAAACTTACCTCCAGGACAAGCCCCTGTAGTCAATGAGTAGACCAATGATAAACTTACCTCCAGGACAAGCCCCTGTAGTCAATGAGTAGACCAATGATAAACTTACCTCCAGGACAAGCCCCTGTAGTCAATGAGTAGACCAATGATAAACTTACCTCCAGGACAAGCCCCTGTAGTCAATGAGTAGACCAATGATAAACTTACCTCCAGGATAAGCCCCTGTAGTCAATGAGTAGTCCAATGATAACCTTACCTCCAGGACAAGCCCCTGTAGTCAATGAGTAGACCAATGATCCCTTACCTCCAGGACAAGCCCCTGTAGTCAATGAGTAGACCAATGATAACCTTACCTCCAGGACAAGCCCCTGTAGTCAATGAGTAGACCAATGATAAACTTACCTCCAGGACAAGCCCCTGTAGTCAATGAGTAGACCAATGATAAACTTACCTCCAGGACAAGCCCCTGTAGTCAATGAGTAGACCAATGATAAACTTACCTCCAGGACAAGCCCCTGTAGTCAATGAGTAGACCAATGATCCCTTACCTCCAGGACAAGCCCCTGTAGTCAATGAGTAGACCAATGATAACCTTACCTCCAGGACAAGCCCCTGTAGTCAATGAGTAGACCAATGATAAACTTACCTCCAGGACAAGCCCCTGTAGTCAATGAGTAGACCAATGATAAACTTACCTCCAGGACAAGCCCCTGTAGTCAATGAGTAGACCAATGATAACCTTACCTCAAGCCCCTGTAGTCAATGAGTAGACCAATGATAACCTTACCTCCAGGACAAGCCCCTGTAGTCAATGAGTAGACCAATGATCCCTTACCTCCAGGACAAGCCCCTGTAGTCAATGAGTAGACCAATGATAACCTTACCTCCAGGACAAGCCCCTGTAGTCAATGAGTAGACCAATGATAAACTTACCTCCAGGACAAGCCCCTGTAGTCAATGAGTAGACCAATGATAAACTTACCTCCAGGACAAGCCCCTGTAGTCAATGAGTAGACCAATGATAAACTTACCTCCAGGACAAGCCCCTGTAGTCAATGAGTAGACCAATGATCCCTTACCTCCAGGACAAGCCCCTGTAGTCAATGAGTAGACCAATGATAACCTTACCTCCAGGACAAGCCCCTGTAGTCAATGAGTAGACCAATGATAAACTTACCTCCAGGACAAGCCCCTGTAGTCAATGAGTAGACCAATGATAAACTTACCTCCAGGACAAGCCCCTGTAGTCAATGAGTAGACCAATGATCCCACAGTCGGCCCCGCGGCCTGCCTGATACAGAGAGGGGAGTGGCAAGTTCGTTATATAGTGGCAAGTGTTATATAGTGGCAAGTCCGTTATATAAGTGGCAAGTTTGTTATATGGTGACAAGTTCGTTATATGGTGGCAAGTCCTATATATGGTGGCAAGTTTGTTATATGGTGACAAGTTCGTTATATGGTGGCAAGTTCGTTATATGGTGGCAAGTTTGTTACATGGTGGCAAGTTTGTTACATGGTGGCAAGTTTGTTACATGGTGGCAAGTTTGTTACATGGTGGCAAGTTTGTTACATGGTGGCAAGTTCGTTATATGGTGGCAAGTTCGTTATATAAGTGGCAAGTTTGTTATATGGTGACAAGTTCGTTATATGGTGGCAAGTTTGTTATATGGTGGCAAGTTCGTTATATGGTGGCAAGTTCGTTATATGGTGGCAAGTTCGTTATATGGTGGCAAGTTTGTTACATGGTGGCAAGTTTGTTACATGGTGGCAAGTTCGTTATATGGTGGCAAGTTCGTTACATAAGTGGCAAGTTTGTTATATGGTGGCAAGTTCGTTACATAAGTGGCAAGTTTGTTACATGGTGGTAAGTCCGATACATGTGGGTGTTTGTTGAATAAAAAAAAAGGCCACATTTAAAGTGACCACTGAACGATGATGACGACAGAGAATTGTGTGGTAAAACGTGAGAGTGGCTCGTGGCTTTAACAACACGAAACTCATTCTTGGATTAAAGTATGTGGGGGGGGGGGGGGGGGGGGAGACATGTGGTGGGAGTGTTGTATATGTGTGGTGGGGGTGTTGTTTATGTGGGGTGGGGGGTGTTGTATATGTGGGGTGGGGGTGTTGTATATGTGGGGTGGGGGTGTTGTTTATGTGGGGTGGGGGTGTTGTATATGTGGGGTGGGGGTGTTGTATATGTGGGGTGGGGGGTGTTGTATATGTGGGGTGGAGGTGTTGTATATGTGGGGTGGAGGTGTTGTATATATGCGGTGGGGGTGTTGTTTATGTGGGGTGGGGGTGTTGTATATATGGGGTGGGGGTGTTGTTTATGTGGGGTGGGGGGTGTTGTATATGTGTGGTGGGGGTGTTGTTTATGTGGGGTGGGGGTGTTGTATATGTGGGGTGGGGGTGTTGTATATGTGGGGTGGGGGTGTTGTTTATGTGGGGTGGAGGTGTTGTATATGTGGGGTGGGGGGTGTTGTATATGTAGGGTGGGGGTGTTGTATATGTGGGGTGGGGGTGTTGTATATGTAGGGTGGGGGTGTTGTATATGTGGGGTGGGGGTGTTGCATATGTGGGTCGGGGGTGTTGTATATGTGGGGTGGGGGTGTTGTATATGTGGGGTGGGGTGTTGTATATGTGGGGTGGGGGTGTTGTATATGTGGGGTGGGGGTGTTGTATATGTGGGGTGGGGGTGTTGTTTATGTGGGGGTGGGGGTGTTGTATATGTGGGGTGGGGGTGTTGTATATGTGGGGTGGGGTGTTGTATATGTGGGGTGGGGGTGTATATGTGGGGGTGGGGGTGTTGTATATGTGGGGTGGGGGTGTTGTATATGTGGGGTGGGGGTGTTGTATATGTGGGGTGGGGGTGTTGTATATGTGGGGTGGGGTGTTGTATATGTGGGGTGGGGGTGTTGTATATGTGGGGTGGGGGTGTTGTATATGTAGGGTGGGGGTGTTGTATATGTGGGGTGGGGGTGTTGTATATGTGGGTCGGGGGTGTTGTATATGTGGGGTGGGGGTGTTGTATATGTGGGGTGGGGTGTTGTATATGTGGGGTGGGGGTGTTGTATATGTGGGGTGGGGTGTTGTATATGTGGGGTGGGGGTGTATATGTGGGGGTGGGGGTGTTGTATATGTGGGGTGGGGGTGTTGTATATGTGGGGTGGGGGTGTTGTATATGTGGGGTGGGGTGTTGTATATGTGGGGTGGGGGTGTTGTATATGTGGGGTGGGGTGTTGTATATGTGGGGTGGGGGTGTATATGTGGGGGTGGGGGTGTTGTATATGTGGGGTGGGGGTGTTGTATATGTGGGGTGGGGGTGTTGTATATGTGGGGTGGGGTGTTGTATATGTGGGGTGGGGGTGTTGTATATGTGGGGTGGGGGTGTATATGTGGGGGTGGGGGTGTTGTATATGTGGGGTGGGGGTGTTGTATATGTGGGGTGGGGGTGTTGTATATGTGGGGTGGGGTGTTGTATATGTGGGGTGGGGGTGTTGTATATGTGGGGTGGGGGTGTTGTATATGTGGGGTGGGGGTGTTGTTTATGTGGGGGTGGGGGTGTTGTATATGTGGGGTGGGGGTGTTGTATATGTGGGGTGGGGGTGTTGTATATGTGGGGTGGGGGTGTTGTTTATGTGGGGGTGGGGGTGTTGTATATGTGGGGGTGGGGGTGTTGTATATGTGGGGTGGGGGTGTTGTATATGTGGGGTGGGGGTGTTGTTTATGTGGGGGTGGGGGTGTTGTATGTCTTACCGACAAAGAATCCCCCAGGGCTGCGATGACCTTGACGTCTGAGGGTCTCAGGCTGTGGACTAAAGACAAGCAGTTTTAGTTTGACCTTGGTAGGCTCGTCAGCTTTAGTCATTAGTAACCAGAGAGATGCGCAATGGAAAACTGCGCACAAAAAAAAGTGCGCAAGGGAATCTATTTTCTCTAAAGCGAGATGACAAAAAAATATGACAAAATAAAAGTGTATTATAGTTTATTGTTGCGCATTTTTTGCGCATTTTCCGGTTTCGCAGTTTTCCGTTTGCGCATGTTTCTGAGAACCATAATTCAATTCTCTAAGTTAGATCTAAATCTAGGCCTATCAATTACTTCAGTTAGGTTTAGGCCAATACAATATAAAACTAGGGCTAGCTTTATACAAATGTTCATGTTTTATACAGCAGCGTGCAGAGGCGTAGCGACCCTTCCCGGCGCCCGGGGACAAACTTTTCGATTTGCACCCCCCCCCTCGAGATTTCGATTTGCACCCCCCCCCCCCTCGAGATTTTGATTTGCAACCCCCCCTCAAACTTTCAATTTTCACCCCCCTCAACCTTTCAATTTATTTTTCCAACCCATTTTGGCGCCCCCTAAGCTCGGCGCCCGGGGACATATGTCCCCCCCCCCCCCCGCCCCCCCCCCCCCCCCCTCGCTACGCTACTGCCAGTGTGTGCTATCTTTTGTCTCACTTAAGAAAATAATTGTAATATCAAGATAGGCAAACAGTATAAATACCCGTTCGATTTGTTTGTTTAGGGGTTCTAGTGATTAAACAAGCAATTAACGTTAATTAATGAATACATTAATGAAAAGAGAGACGTACCTGATGTGGGGACGGCTGGGGACGGTGGCAGGGGCGGGCAGGGGAACGGGGACCCGTCGGTCTGTGGGAAGAGAAGGGAAACAATTCAAACATGCTGGGGTCTATGGGGGTCTAGGGGGTCTAGGGGGTCTATGGGGGTCTATGGGGTCTAGGGGGTCTAGGGGGTCTAGGGTGTCTAGGGGGTCTAGGGGGGTCTATGGGGTCCAGGGGGTCTAGGGGGTCTAGGGGGTCTAGGGGGTCTATGGGGTCTAGGGGGTCTATGGGGGTCTATGGGCATTAGGAAAACGTTGGGGCTGTCGTTAGTCGTGTTAAGAGATGCCTGGAAGAAACTCTGGTCATGGGGTAGTCGCCGTATTGTGGTAGTCATAGGGTAGTTACTGTCTTTAGTCGTTTAGTCGCCATCTTTAGTCATTAGTCGTGTAGTCGTCGTCCACACAATTTAACACTCAGTCCACTGTCAACCCAATCTTGCCATGAAGCATCGTTAGTTTATAGACACTTCAGGCCAACTAACGTCATCGAAAAATTATTTCCAAATATAGAAGGATGACATCACCCGCCTTGCTGACCTTTAGAAGAAAAGGTCACACTGTGACCCTTGAACTTACCACACGTGAGCTATGAGCTGCCTGGGGATCTATGGGACCGAAAGTTTTATTGTACAAAGCGGCATATGTGCTGTTGGTCTCCAGAAGATGTAAAATCCTGGCCACAATCACTCGTTCTCTTTCTTCCAGGGCTGCAGATTTTTAAAAATAATATAAGACAATTTTGGTTGAAGAATATGTATAATTTAAATGTGTAAATTTTGTAACAGATTTTAAGTTTGGATTTTACGGACACAAGAAACAGCTCTAATTAATGCAACGGTCACACCAGAGGTGATTAGCGACCCTATAATGAAGAAATTTATGATTAAAAAATGTAAGTCGTCATGACCACAATATTTCAACGGCTTGCTTTTGTTGATTTTTTTTTGTATTTCCTTCAACGGTTCGACTGATCTGACGAAGGCCTGTGGTCGAATCGTTCCTCTGATTTAGTCACGTGACTTTGGCCTAGATATAGATGTGCAGGCGGTCCAGGAGATCGCGGTCAAGAATTCAGGTCACCTCAACTCTCATGTGACATCAGCTGACATCAGGCACCTGACATCTGACATCAGGACATCTGACATCAGGCGACTGACATCAGGACATTTGACATCAGGACATCTGACATCATGACACCTGACATCAGGACATCTGACATCAGGACATCTGACATCAGGACACCTGACATCAGGAACCTGACATCAGGACATCAGACACCTGACATCATGACACCTGACATCAGGACATCTGACATCAGGACATCTGACATCAGGACATCTGACATCAGGACATCAGACACCTTACATCATGACACCTGACATCAGGACATCTGACATCAGGCACCTGACATCAGGACATCTGACATCAGGACATCTGACATCAGGACATATGACATCAGGACATCAGACACCTGACATCATGACACCTAACATCAGGACATCAGGACATCAGGCGACTGACATCAGGACATCTGACATCATGACACCTGACATCAGGACATCTGACATCAGGACATCTGACATCAGACACCTGACATCAGGACATCTGACATCAGGACATCTGACATCAGACACCTGACATCAGGACACCTGACATCAGGACATCAGGACATCTGACATCAGGACATCTGACATCAGGACATCTGACATCAGGACATCTGACATCAGGACATCAGACACGACATCATGACACATGACATCAGGACACAGGACATCTGACATCAGGCACCTGACATCAGGACATCTGACATCAGGACATCTGACATCAGGACATCTGACATCAGGACATCAGACATCTGACATCATGACACCTGACATCAGGACATCTGACATCAGGCACCTGACATCAGGACATCTGACATCAGGACATCTGACATCATGACACCTGACATCATGACACCTGACATCAGGACATCTGACATCAGGCACCTGACATCAGGACATCTGACATCAGGACATCTGACATCAGGACATCTGACATCAGGACATCTGACATCAGGACATCAGAACATCTGACATCAGGCACCTGACATCAGGACATCTGACATCAGGACATCTGACATCAGGACATCTGACATCATGACACCTGACATCATGACACCTGACATCAGGACATCTGACATCAGGACATCTGACATCAGGACATCTGACATCATGACACCTGACATCATGACACCTGACATCAGGACATCTGACATCAGGCACCTGACATCAGGACATCTGACATCAGGACATCTGACATCAGGACATCTGACATCAGGACATCAGGACATCAGGCACCTGACATCTGACATCAGGACATCTGACATCAGGACATCTGACATCATGACACCTGACATCAGGACATCTGACATCAGGACATCTGACATCAGGACATCTGACATCATGACACCTGACATCAGGACATCTGACATCAGGACATCTGACATCAGACACCTGACATCAGGACATATGACATCAGGACATCAGGCACCTGACATCAGGACATCTGACATCAGGACATCTGACATCAGACACCTGACATCAGGACATCAGGACATCAGGCGACTGACATCACACACTTAAATGTCATCATGGGTCACTTAACAAAGGGGTAACCTAACACACAGGTCACCTAACACACAGGTCACCTAACACACGGGTCACCTAACACACAGGTCACCTAACACACAGGTCACCAAATTCACGGGTCACCAAACACACGGGACACCTAATACACGGGTCACCAAATTCACGGGTCACCAAACACACGGGACACCTAATACACGGGTTACCTGTTCTTCCAGAGACTGGTGTGAGCAGTGCCAGAGCACAGAGACACAGAGCTGCCAACATCGTCATGCCAGGTAAGCACAGGTGTTGTCAGGTAGCTGGTCGCTAGAAACAGCACAAGTCTAGCACCAGGTAATCACAGGTGTTGTCAGGTAGCTGGTCGCTAGAAACAGCACAAGTCTGACACTGGCTTCTGCTATCATCTGCTCCTATGATGGGGATGACCCAGATATTTCGTTATCCGTGACGTCATCGGCGAAAGTGTATCTTGCATGTGGCAGACAGTCACGGATATGAGACAGGTTTAGGGCGTCTTGGGGCGCCGACATGATAGGGCAACTGTCTTGGGGCGCCGACATGATAGGGCAACTGTCTTGGGGCGCCGACATTATAGGGCAACTGTCTTTGGGCGCCGACATGATAGGGCAACTGTCTTAACTGTCTTGGGGCGCCGACATGATAGGGCAACTGTCTTGGGGCGCCGACGTTATAGGGCAACTGTCTTAACTGTCTTGGGGCGCCGACATGATAGGGCAACTGTCTTAACTGTCTTGGGGCGCCGACATGATAGGGCAACTGTCTTGGGGCGCCGACATGATAGGGCAACTGTCTTGGGGCGCCGACAAGATAGGGCCGCTTTCTTGAGGGGGGGGGGTGTAAAGCATTCTCCCCGATTATTATATTTCGATTGCCACGCTTCGTCACTAAATGAACTGGCAGAGCCACACCCCACCCACCCCCTCGCAGATTTACTGTTTTCCAATAAAAAAAATATTTGTTACATTACTTTTCTTAAACCTCTCCATCAAGTGTAAGCGTCGTTTGGAGTGGGGAGCTTTATAAAAAATTTTTTTTATCAAATCGGTCGCGAAAATGTTTTTGACTCCAGTGAAATCGTACCTAAATATTTGTCTAAAATTGGAATAAAAACAAAAACTGCCGCCCCTTCATCTTAAAAATTGGGCGATCAACATTTTTTTGCCGGAGGTTTTGGATTAGAGGCTTATCTCTAAAAATAGATCTTATTGTTTATCTCGCCACGCTTCGTTGGTGTCATGCCCTATTTATAGTAAGGATCATCCGTTGTCTGCTGCTGTCATACTCAGATCTGTGTCGTCGTATCAAACCACGTGACCACGCTACTGTCACATTTACTGGACCAGATGACCGGCGTTGTTGTCATCGAAAAGTTGGAAAGCTAAACTAGAAATAATCGGTGACCTTGATTTGATGGGAATTAAGCAGGTGCGACCTTGAAGATCTGTTACACTTGTACACTTTAACTTGGATTATATAATATAGTCAGTGATTGATCAGCCATTACGCAAAATAATCACAGACTAAAAATTTTGTAAAATCCATTTCAAACATCAACACACACACACACACACACACACACACACACACACACACACACACACACACACACACACACACACACACACACACACACACACACACACACACACACACACACACACACACACACACACACACACACACACACACACACACACACACACACACACACACACACACACACACACACACACACACACACACACACACACACACACACACACACACACACACACACACATATATACATATATATATATATATATATATATATATATATATTTATATATTTATATATATATATATTTATATAGGCCTATATTTATATCCATTTATATCTTTATATATTATATATATATATATATATATATATATATATATATATATATATATATATTATATATGGGTGTGTGTGGGTGTCTTTATATGAATATTCTTTAAGAATTAATAATTTAAATAGTAAAAAAAGCGTTTTCTTCTAAGATCTATTTTAAAAATAAATTAATTATTATATCGGATTTTTAGTTAGTACCGGAAAACCTTCAATCACGTGACTACTAGCCGCCAGCGTCTTTCCAACACAAACACAAAATAAAATACAAAGAAGATGAGCAAGAAAAAGAGAGTTGGACCGAATGATTTTCTGAATTCGCTCAAAGATGCGCAGAGTTGCTTTGAACAGAGGTGTAAATCGTAGTCTGTAGAGTCAAATTAAATCTAGTCATACACTTTTACTTTTCTTCTTTTTTTTTTAGTAATTCACTCTCTTTAAATTTTAAATTACACACTTATTTATTATACTATTTTACTGTCACTACTGCTCTTCAGTTCACTGTACTAGTTTAGTAGTACTCTACTGTTACAACAGTTACAGTACTGTAGTCTGTAAGCTACACACTACACTGCTCAGAACGATGTGAATGATCTGTGATTCTCATTTATTAGATTTTTAGAATTAGATCGTTACCAGATCTATTCTAGAGTAATTACTAGATCTAAATCTAAATTAGGCCTAAATTAATTTTAATAATTTAGCCTACAAAATTATAATTAAATGTTTCTAAAAATACATTAAACATTTAGCCGTTAGCCTAGATCTATTTAATTTCATTAGATTCATTTGTTGAATCAAGCAGATAATTAAGTTTGTAGGCCTAAAGGCCTAAAGAAACAAATTAACTTTATTAACTAAACTATAGAAGGCAAAAACCACCAGTCACATGACATTTTTAACTCGCAACTTGAGTTTAATTAAAATAATGTGAAGATGCCTGCAAAAAATTCCATACCCCCCTCCCCAATTTCCAACCCTGCTGATGATTTACAATGAATTTTGATGAAGACTTTAAAATTTAAATGTTTACTTTAGCAAAATAATGATACTTAAAGCAAGTAGGGCCCTACTTTATTCTAAGTTTGGAAGAAAGAGGTCATCCGTTATGGCGTTTGCAGGAATTTTGAAGGCAAAGTGTTAATTACTTTTGGGTGTGTAGAGAAAAAAAGTTTTAAAAGTATTATTCTCTGTCTGCCCACTCGTAGGATTTATATTAATAATTAATTTATGCAATTATAAGAAAATAAGTTGTGACGGGAGGAGGAGGTAAATATCGTGACGTTGCTTATAGAAATGATGACACCGTCATCATTTCTGTGGGCCCATGGTGGAGCAACCACACCTCTCCATCTTACTCGGTTTTTTGCGATTCCTCCAAGCCAAGTAGGGTCCACGCAATTTCCAGCTGCTTCTCCTACAGCTGACCTTTACCTAGTTTGTATTGCCCTGCCCTCTTCCCTTGGGGATTACAATCTAGTGCCTGTCTAGTAATGTTGCTAGTTAGCTTATGCAAGGTGTGTCCAATCCATCCCCATTTGCATTTTTCATTTGTATTTCTTTGTCAAGAGGGATGGATGACCCTAGCGTAGATATAAATACTGTGATTGATTTACTTGTTGAACTATTTTTTTTAACACATGCACTGTCATGTTAATTTTACATTTTACCTGCAGTATATGAGTTTTATGTTTGTTTTAAAATATAAATACTATGTTAAGTTCAATAAGAGGACACAAACCTCCATTCCCCTCCCTCCCCCTCAATGCACAAAATTCTCTTGTCTTTACCCTCCCTCTCCATGTGATAGTCATAAATAAATGAGCCCATGTATGATTTGTCCAGGTTCAACTGTATAGTGTGCATTTTGTCCAGGTTCAACTGTATAGTGTGCATTTTGTCCAGGTTCAACTGTATAGTGTGCATGGAACCCAAGCTGGAGATGGTTTATGGATGGTGTCAGCATCGCCTGTGTGCTGACTGCCTGTACAACCAAGATTCCACCCTGAGAACCAACCTGCAGAGGTGTCCTATCTGTGCCAAGTTGGGCAGTTTTCCAACCACTAGGTGATGGCCTACTCTATATTTTATGGGATGGTGCGCTTGGGTGGTAGAGGGCTCAACAGCTAACCCAGGGTTAAGTCTCTAGGACATGTAATGGGCATCTGGCTCATGTTAGAGAACATTCATATGCAACACTGAAGAAAAGATTTGCTCTACCTCATCTGTCCTATTGTCCATTAGGAAAATCTACATTTTTATAATATATTTGTTGTTATTGTATTCACCAGTTACTGTATCATTTTTTAAACTTATTGTGTGGGTTCTCTAGGCCTGATATTCCGGAGGATTCTGTGGAGTTGCAGAAATGTTTGGGTGTGCGAGTATGTCCCAACAGTGTCAGAGGTTGTAAGACAAATATCTGGGACTGGGAGATGGATGAACACCTCAGGTATGTCTAGGTTCAGGTTGTAAGACAAATATCTGGGAGATGGATGAACACCTCAGGTATGTCTAGGTTCAGGTTGTAAGACAAATATCTGGGAGATGGATGAACACCTCAGGTATGTCTAGGTTCAGGTTGTAAGACAAATATCTGGGAGATGGATGAACACCTCAGGTATGTCTAGGTTTAGGTTGTAAGACAAATATCTGGGAGATGGATGAACACCTCAGGTATGTCTAGGTTTAGGTTGTAAGACAAATATCTGGGAGATGGATGAACACCTCAGGTATGTCTAGGTTCAGGTTGTAAGACAAATATCTGGGACTGGGAGATGGATGAACACCTCAGGTATGTCTAGGTTCAGGTTGTAAGACAAATATCTGGGACTGGGAGATGGATGAACACCTCAGGTATGTCTAGGTTCAGGTTGTAAGACAAATATCTGGGACTGGGAGATGGATGAACACCTCAGGTATGTCTAGGTTCAGGTTGTAAGACAAATATCTGGGACTGGGAGATGGATGAACACCTCAGGTATGTTCGGGTTCAGAACTAACCTGAAAATCTCAAGTTCAAATCTGAGTTCAAGTCTGTAGAAAATCCCTGAGTCCCCCCAACAAAATGGTGGCTGGGCATAGTACTGACCACACTATCCTTTCATATGGGCAAGAACTAGAAAAGAGGATGGTCTGTGTATGGCTCTGCAGAAAAAATGTTTTTATAGCCATATGCCAAGGGACACAACTGTAGAACAAACCCACTACAAAGAAAAGAGAATAGGCACATTTTAAATTACCTGATGTTATCAAGTCTTGTGCTTTAACACAATTTTTCACTCCTTAAATATTTTTAAATGAATGATTTGAGTCTTTGTTTGACATCTGCCTGTTTCTTTTGATCTTGGAGCATTGAGTGTTGGTTAGCCCAACTTGACTTATCCCTTTGGGGCCACTGAGGATCATGAGCTGCAGCTCCACCTCTCCACTGACTCTGTTTTGGGCAACTCTCTTCAGCTGAGCCCACATAAGCCCCCTCCCCTGGCTTCCCTTCCACTGTCCTTCTCCAGGATTACTTAAGTAAGCCTAGGGGTTACTGTCCAACACTTGCCATCAGCTGACTATTATAGCTCTGTCAGTTTGATGTTTCTTTGTTGTTAGCTATAGGTCTTAGTTGGTTATTTTGTATGGCTATCTTATCATAAGATTTGGTTGTAGACCTCTATTTGGCCTTAAGATTTGTGTTGACAAGTGTGATGTTGGTTGGAGGCCTTGAGATTTGTGTTGACAATTGTGATCTTGGTTGGAGGCCTTGTTGCCAGCTGTTATAAAACTATTCTTCTATTGGTTGGAGGCCTTGTTGCCAGCTGTTATAAAACTATTCTTCTACTTTCCAGCACCTGTCAGTTTGAAGAGAAGAAGAAAAGAGTGCCAGCCAAAAGGCCAAGGTTGTGTGACAAGAGTGAGCAAGTTACAACACGCAGCATGAAGCGCAAACCCAACAAGTCTGCTGACAGTCTGACCGGCAAAGCCAGTGATCAAAGAAGACGCTCAGCACGTTTGTTGAATAATAGTTCTCATTAGTTTTTTCATTTATTTTGGCTCCCTGAAATGATGTGAAGGTTTAAACACCTTGTGAGTAGAAAGAGTAAAAAATGTCAAGAACAAATAGACAAAGAAGGAATTCACACAAAAATAGAAAGACAAAATTTTGTTGAAACTAGTTCAGTTGGAAAATAGATACAATTTTAAATCATATTTATTTATAAATTAATATAATAGTAAAATATTATTTTTATCTATGAAAGTAACCGTAAACCATAAGATTAAAAAAATATAAAAATCAATGTTTATAAAAAAAATTTCAGTAATTTTACCTACAGTTTAGTAAAACATTTTCACCTATAAACTGCAAACAATGCTGGACAATACTTCCTGACAGTAAATTGTACAGTTTCAACTGGCTCTAACATTAGGAATCAAACCTTCTATGAGCCTGTTTTTCATTAACACTTCCATTTCAATTTTTTTAAAGAAATTTTGACGCAGTATATTTTTCATTGTTTTAAAAATTAATATACATATAAACAAATTTTAAAATCAAAATAATTTAATGTTAGTATTTGCGCCCAAGATATTTTGTTATCAGCTCGTAATCAAGCAATCCATTATTTTTTTGGGTAATGCTTAGTCTGATACACATATTAATTTAATTGCATATTTAATCATGCTTCAAAAAAAAAAATTAAAAATTCAGAGGAAAGATATTTCTCAAAGTGGATAGCCCTCATTATAATCACACCTAATGTTTCAATACATTGCTTATTATTAAACCACTTAGCTAAAGACAGATCTATTGCTTACATGTTCAAATGTAAGTTATTTATAGAAGTCACTGTGTTCCAATCACCAGAATGTATTTCTTATGTAAAGTTGTACATACGTCATTTACACAAGGGTTAAACCTCTTCCATTGAAATCTCATGTTTCTTATGTAAAGTTGTATATACATCATTTAGTCAAGAGTTAAACCTCTTGCATTGAAATCTCAGTAATCTGGGCTATTAAATATTTTGAAGGAAGTGCTTTCATTTAGCCAGATGGTGGCATTGGGTTGTGATAGCCTTGAATGTAACATAGGTGTGCAAGCTGTTTGTCTGAGCTTTTGACCTGTATAGTGCAGTCTGGGTGGCTTATGTTTATATGATGTACATGAGCTTATAAACAAGTAGGATATCTTGTGTGCAGTTTATAACATGCATATAGGGGGCGGTATACGTATAACAAAGTTGACATACGAACCATTACAGTATTATTTTTTTTATGGCATTAATAAGGCCCATACAACATAATGATGATAAAATTAATGCTGTTGCAACATAATGTTAAAAGAAAGGGGTGGTACAACTTAATGTTGATAAAATTATGGCAGTACAACATAAAGTACAGGGTAAACTAACAAGCACATATGAGACCAGCAGATGTTTGAGTCTACGTGTGTCCATTTATTATCCCATGCAACATAATCTCCACACTGAAACTCTTTCTGCATCTGTCTTTGAAACTACATACTTAAAGCAGTGTACTATTGAAACCACATACTTTAAGCAGTGTACTATTGAAACCACATACTTAAAGCAGCGTACTATTGAAACCACATACTTAAAGCAGTGTACCATTGAAACCGCATACTTAAAGCAGTGTACTATTGAAACCACATACTTAAAGCAGTGTACTATTGAAACCACATACTTAAAGCGTTGTACTATTGAATCTGGGGTTGTTTTTTTGTTTAGTTTTTTTTTTTTTGTTGATTTTTCACCTGTTTAAATATTAATTTATTTTGTCCAATGCATACCAATGATTTTTTCTTTATTTACCTTGTTCTCAGATTGAACCATGAATAAATTATTATTACCATAATGCAATGGATTCTTGATTCTCTTTTTGTGAGACTTGGTTGTATGAACTTGGGTTATCATCTGTCACTTCAGGACAATATGACTAACTCAAAAAATAATTCTTATAAAACTGAATTATTTATGAAACAAGTGCTAAGACTTCAACCAGATTGAGTATACTTCAGTGTTTTTATTAAATTTGTTGGAGTTTATTACCAAATTTTTACCCACTGATGGAGCCTACATTCATTTAACGAAGTAGGGGTCGGCGTGGTCGAGTCGGTAAAGCTCATGGTTGCTAAACCGAGAAATCTCGAGTTCGAACCCTCGGGTAGATGAGGCTCGTTAGCTGGAGACAGCCACTCTTCTAGGAGAGACAACTCCAAAATTAAACAACTGCTGCCTTGTAGTTTGTTCTTGGTTGGACAAAGGCTATGGAAGCAAATCCAAAAAGAAAAGCAGGCTTAAATCGGAGTCAATGGCGCATAACCAGTTGACACTTAACGCTTAATTGTGTTGGAGGCGTGGTCGAGTCGGCAAAAAGCTCATGGTTGATAAATTCGAACAAAGTCTCGAGTTCAAACGCACTGGCAGATAAATCTCGATCCCCTTCAACACTAATAATTAAGAACGAAGAAGAAGAAGATTTAACAAAGTGCACCATATGATAGGGGAAAATATTAGAAAGCCATTACCATTTTAATGGAATACAGATGCTTGACTTTATCTTATGCAAACAGTTGCTCCACATATGAATGATAACTCTAGGAGATGGTCAAATCAAAATTTTGAAAGGATGGGTATTAAGAAAAATGATGTCACACTTTGGTATTAGAAAATATTATATTTAAAAATACTTTCACAACACCCCCTCATGATAAAATAAAAGTGTGAAATACTTTCACAACACCCTCTCATGATAAAATAAAAGTGTGACATACTTTCATAACCCCCCCCCCCCTCATGATAAAATAAAAGTGAAATACTTTCACAACACCCCCTCATGATAAAATAAAAGTGTGACATACTTTCACAACACCCCCTCATGATAAAATGAAAATGTGACATTCTGTAGTAATGTGGGTAGTGGTAAAGACAGGTTTTTTAAATGGGAGTTTTTCAAAAACATGATTATATATATATATTTATTTATTTACTTATATATATATATATATATATATATATATATATATATATATATATATATATATATATATATATATATATATATATATATATTTAAATATATATTCATATAAATACATACATATACAATATAAAGAGCCAAGATATTTCTTAAAATAATGACACTACTGTGACGTACATGGCCAAACAAAATATCAAACAAAGACCTGTGGCAAATTTTAAAGCAACAGCCAATAGAGAAAGATATCAAGGCCCGTAAATGGGGATGGATCGGACACACGTTAAGAAAAGAAAAAGAAAACATCGCAAAACATGCATTGGACTGGAATCCCCAGGGGAAAAGGAAGGTGGGCCGGCCAAGGAAAACATGGAAGAGAACGGTTGAGGAGGAGGCGAAAACAGCTGGGCTCTCATGGGCACAGATTAGAGGAGCAGCCCAAAACCGAGTCTGCTGGAGATGTGTGGTTGCGGCCCTTTGCTCCCCAGGGGCCACAAAGGAGTGATGATGACTGTGACGTACACATATATACCTATATATATATATATATATATATATATATATATATATAGAGAGAGAGAGAGAGAGAGAGAGATAGATATGTGTGTGTGTGTAATATAAAATAACGCCACAATACAACCTACAACCCTACCCTCAAAATTTGTTTTATTTTTAATAAAGGTTTCTTTCTAAAAGATTTTCTGAGTTAGATCAACATGGAGTTTATTAATTAATTTCTGTTACAATTTACAATTCGGTTTTGGTAAATTTATAATTGTGTTATTGGCCAATTTTGCAAATAATAAATTGAATAAAAAGCTTCCGTATCGTTCCTGACATCTGCCCATAACCATAAACAAAAAAGTTTTATACAAAATATAAAAATTACAATTATTCAAAATATCTAGCATTTTTTAGTCCAACTCAAATTAAATCTTTATCCGCGTATGATAAAGTGAATTTCACCTAGATCTATTAATCAATAACGATGTCATCTTATTTTTACGTTAATTCCACAATGTCTGCCTTTAACTTTTTACCTAATAAATTGTAGCTAGTTATAAATATTATTTTTATAGTTGTTTTTTTTTTAAGTTGGTACAATACTTTGCCCAAAAAAACATAGTTTAAATGTAGGCCTACAATTTAAAATTTACAAAGATTAAATGCTACTAAACAATTAAAAATGTTTTCTTAATGGGCATGGAAATATTTTTTCAAACATATACAACCGACGCAAAAATTAAAACAACTATTTTGGCTCAAAGCCCAAAATCAAAAACTGGCCCACGTTTGCGCATGCGCAAACAACATTTTGCAATTTTGCCCTTTAGGTTGTCAGGGCGATCGTGTTTAACTACACAAAAGAAATGTACCTAATTTAATAACAAAATGTCAAATTCAAGTGATATATGATAAATTAAGTGTTATAGCTGCTATTAAGTTGCGTATTTATAAAATTCGAAGCAATTAAATTGGAAATCATACAGATATATTTTGACATGCGGATTTTATTATTTGGCATGCTGCTGTAATTTATGTGGCAACCCTGCCTGATTTCCGCATCACGCTCGTCCTTTTACTTTGGCCGCCCTGTTTGGGTCACTTTGTACACAAAATTTACAATCAAATTTAGCAAAAATCCTGGATAAGGTACTTGTTATTCAATGTTTTTTTGTTTAACATTATCATTATTTATTGTATGATGATTAGAATAACTGTAATTTCTTCTCCCACTGCAAGGGAATAATGAGTTAATGTGTTTTCTAGCCTAGCAAATTTTCTAAATCAAGTAGGCCACCTACAATCACTTCGCGCTCATCACGCCATTACTCCCGACCACCGCCCATTACTTAAAATGAAACAGACCAGGAACGTGTTGTTATTTGCCGAATTGCATAGAGGCGCCAAAAGAATTAATTGAAACTAATTAAATCTTCTTTATTTTTCCGCTAGTGCTTCTTAAAGAAAAACACCAGCTTCAAGATCTAAATCTAACTAGATCTGGATTAGGTTAAGAGCTTAAGAAGGCCCTCTCCAAGCATGCAACTCATTAATAATAGATCTAGAATCTAGATCTAAATATTAAATATCAATATCCTCAGCTCAGAGCCGGTATTTTGAGATTTTAAGTTTAAGACTTAAGTAAAGTAGTATCTCTAGATTTACTTTAGGGGAATTTTTTTTAACCGGTGTCCGATAATAGAATCTTCTTTTAAAAAAGGGGAGTTAGGTTACCGGTAGTAGTATGCACACTTGGCCTTGGTTGAATGTCAAGACTCAATGCTAACCCCAACCGTAGTCCTACCATTGGTACCATAAGCATAATCCTAATTTCTAACTATAGGCCTAGGCCTATTTATTTATAATTAGTCAAGATTACAATACTACTAACAACCCAACACACCTCTTTAATGGAGGAAGAGTCTATTATGATATTATCGGTATCTAACAAATTACTTTATTCATTTCACTAGTTAGTAACTTATTCACTTAAACTTGTTAGTATTAGTCAGACCCTACAAAATTATAAATATTAGATATATAAGTAAGTTTAGACTGATACTATACCCTGAATTATAGTCACAACTTTAGTGCATTGATTTCTTAACAATACTTAGACTAACTTGTTGCTGAGAATTTAATTTGTCTGCAAATTTTGACAGAAAAATGTTAAATTAATGAGTACTCTTAGGTCTCTTCAAGATACCCACAGAAAGTAGTAGTAAATAATTGCTATGACTACTTCTGATGTCTGGTATGAATGAACAAAATCACTGTTGAGGTCTCAATAAGATATTTTTAGAAAGTATCAATTCTGACAGTATACTGATAATTTTTCCATTTAAAACCTTAACTCATAGTCCTTATTGTGAGCCTGTAATCTTCACTGTTTTAATTCTTTGAATTTTTGTAGGCTAATTGTTGTTAGAAAATAATTTTAGAAATAACTTTATGCCACAGGTGTATAATTATTAGCTTAGTATATCAGAATTTCATCACTTGATTATTTGAAGTGATTTATTTTGTCTCATTTTAATGAATTTTTTTTGTTTACAGCGATGCTGTCAACGCACTTCCAGTAGACTGTGAATCCTATTTTGCAACGTACTGTAGTCACGCATCAGGCTAACACAATGAATCCTGTTGCACCTAATAGTATTACAATATGCCTTCCGCCCTCACTAAGTCTGTCTGAGATAAATGCTGACAATCTGAGAAATGTTGTGGAAGCTGCGTGTCAGGGCTCACATGATGCATTCAACCAAGATGGAGAGATCATTCTCTACGTCAAGGAGCAGGATATGGACCTGGACCCTCAGTACATTTATGAGCAAGTGGGCCCTGAGTTTCCAGAGAAACTGGAACAAGGTATGTTAATTGATCCAATGAGTGACATCTCAGAGTCTACTCTAATTCAGCTTCAGGAGACGGGCTTGCTACCCCAGGAGACAATAATGCTGCCAGCTCAGGATAGTGTCATGAGCACTGGTTTACTCCCCCAACCAGACACGAACATTATACCTGTCCACTCCAGCGACCAACCTGTTGAAATACAAGAAAAAAACTATGTTTTCCCCCCAACCAATTTTGTCAAGGCCAGTGTTTCCCCAAAGCTAGAGACTAAAACTTCTGGTGTGACCAAATTGCCCTTTGCCCCCAAGAATCCCGTCACTCCTAAAATAGAAGTGGAGGATGAGGATGATGAAGAGGCTGAACCAATCAAAAGTGGACCTGTCAAGTTTGATTATGAAAAGTTAAAAAAACAAAAGTTGACGGGACCCCAGGGTTCAAAGATATTTGGCTGTAATGTGTGCACCTACAGGTCTGCCACAAGAACCCTGCTGAGACAGCACATGATCATCCATGCTGACAAGAAGTTCCAGTGCAAAGAGTGCAAGTACCGGTGCCACACTGCCAGCCATTTGAAGCGCCACATGTTCACACATTCTGAGAGCAAGCCCATCCTCTGCTCCCAGTGTGGCTACTCCTGCACCCAAAACTTCCAGATGAAAGCTCACCTGATCCAGCATGAAACAGACACTCCTTTTGTCTGTAAAATCTGCAGTGCTGTCTACAAAAAGGAAGAAAGCCTGAAGGTACACATGCTGGGACATGAGAACGTGACCAAATTTCGTTGTGCCCAGTGTAACTATGCAGGCAATCGCTATGGTGATTTCAAGAGACATGTGCTGACCCATTCCAGTGAGAAACCTTTGAAATGTACAGTTTGCAGCTACACGTGTATACGTCAGTGGAGGCTCAAAGCTCATATGAAAATTCATTCCCAGGATAAACCACTGCTGCGGTGTGATTTATGTGACTTTACATGCCTGAGTGCACCTCGTCTTAAAGACCACAAAGTTGCACATACAAATGAAGGGGTCATCAGGTGTGAAGAGTGCAACTATGTCTGTACCCAGCCCTCGCGTTTGAGGCGCCACATGAAGACCCACACAGCAGCCCCACAGAAGACCTACACTGGCACCACATTTCCTCCGGCATACCAGCAGAAAATGGAGCTGGAGCAGGCAGAAGCTGAGGCCGAGGCTAATAACCCAACTTCCTATCTGAGCATTCCCACTGGCCAGGCTCTAGAGATGGAGGCTGACTGGGGTACAGAGCAGCTGGACGAGGATCAGTTCAGCGCATTTGCTGCGTTTGCTGGCAAACAACTGGGAGAGACCTACACCATCACCACCACAGATGGTGGCCAGACATACATCATTCAGACAGATTCGCCAGAACAGTTTGCTCAGCAGCTTGCCCAGGCACAATTTGAGCAGGTCCAGCAGATAGACAACTTACAAGAATCCGTTCCAGATTTCCATGAAATTCAGGAAGATGTCAAACCAAGCCCCTCCAAATTAAAACTGTTCAGTACACCGGATGCGCCTCCAGTCAACAAGCCCCCCATCAATCATTCAAAGTCCAAAAGGTTCCACTGTGAGCTGTGTGACTTCTCATGTGACTATAAATCTACATTTTCAGCTCACCAGAAGAAACATTCTACCGTCAAGAAATACAAGTGTGCCCACTGTGAGTACATGTGTAATGACACGTCACGCATGAAGGATCATCTGCTGTGTCACACTACTGATAAAATGTTTACTTGTACGCTGTGTGATTTCTCCTGTAAGCGTAAAATGGGCCTGAAAGATCACATGAAAGTGCACACAGGAGAGAAGCCATACCAGTGTAAAGAATGTGAATATACCTGTCGTTCATCTGAAGGGCTCAAATCTCACATGTCCAAGCACTTTGGTGTCAAGCCTTACACCTGTGAACTGTGTGGTCAAGGATGTTCCTCCGCTTACCTCCTGAAGAAACACAAGTTTATCCATGGAGAAAAACCCCTCCAGTGTACATACTGTGAGTACAAGTGTATCCAGAAAAAACAGCTGACAAACCATTTGCTGCAGCACAAGTATCAGCACCCCTTCTGTTGTAGTCTGTGCAGCGCCACCTACAAGAAGGAAGAAAGTCTGAAGATTCACATGATGTCCCACCAGAACATCAAGAAATTTGCCTGCAACTTGTGCAACTACGCAGGCAACCGCGCAGCAGATTTCCGCAGGCACATGTTGACACACTCCAGCTCTAAGCCCCTCCAGTGCCCACAGTGCTCCTACTCCTGTATTCGCCAGTCACGATTGAAGGCCCACATGCTTATTCACTCACAAGACAGGTGCCTTAATCGCAAGCCTGGAGTCCCCCAACCTAAGGCATATCGCTGTGCATTCTGTGATTTCTGTTGTACTCGTACATCCAGGCTAAAGTCTCACTTATCAAAGGTGCACCTTGATTTGCCGGACAATGTCATCTTCAGCATAGACTTTAAACAAATTGAAACTCAGTAATTTTCTCTCTTCTATGTAGTAGTTTTTGACCACTTATTACGTGATACCCATTTTTTTTCTTTTCTTTCTTTATTTTGTTAATGAATGTACATTTTTTTTCTGTTACATTATATCAATAAAAGCAATGTTACTAAACTTACGTTAAATAATCACACACGTTTCTAAATAAATGCATTTTTCAACATTGTTCTCAATTTTATTTTTGTGTGAGAATGGTTAAGCTTTAAGGAGTTGCCTATTGTTCAGATGAAATATTCTGATACCTATTTCTAGTGGTGAAAGCCTACTTAACAAATACCTTTGACTGGATTGTTAAAGTTTGGCAATATGGTAAGCTGTAGTTTATGAATAAATGACTGATTACCAATGTTGGTTTTCTATCAATGGCCAGCAGAAGAACTGAACCGTCAGTTACCTGTCAGGTCCAGTAACTCTCCCTAGGCCCAATGGTTAGTGTGCAAACAATCATCGGGTTTCCTACACATTCCTATGTTAGTATTGTTAGACTAGCCTGACATTTCTGTTCTGACTCAGCAGGACATGCCTACATAAATCAAGCCATGAAATGCCATGGTTTTTTTTTTTACTTCTCCAGGCCTACATATATAAATCCATTGGTTTTTTCTTAATACATGTACAGCAGCAACCATCGAGTGTGTGTATGTGTGCATGATAAAGTTTTAGCTACATTAGTAATTAGTGTGTACAGTTGTAGCTGGGGATAGTTTAATAGATGATCCTTTGGCATTGAAATAGTGCCCGCTTTGTGTAACTTTAAGAAAATTGTTGGTACTTTAAGTCCGGGGGGTGATAACAGATAATTTATTTTTGTGATTTGTCTTAGCAACTCTATTTACTGCTGGGGGGGGGGGGGGGTGAACCTGAAAGAAACACTACACATGATAATCTGATGTGTAGACTTATCCAAATTTTACTTTAAAATAAAAGATAGGGCATAACATAGGGCGTAACATGTCCTAATCGATGGACAAGATGATGACGTCAAAGACAAGCGTAGAAAACGACAACACTTTGGAAAAGTTGGATGGTGTGAGATTCCTGACCCGGGTGGGTCATAACGACATTTTGTAATAGAGTTTTACAGTACAAACTAGAAGCAACATATAACTCGCTTTATGTGATTGTCTGTAGGGGAGCGATAAATAGACTTGTAAGTTATAACATATTCCGTTTATCCTGTAATCACGGAATTACCATAATAAATGACGTCACACTTGTAAAGGGGGATTCAAGTAGTGTGAAGTCACACTTTTGTATTTAAAAGTGATGCTGGAAACTGAATTGTAACAGTAATTTCACATTTTTTTGGAAACATTTTCTGTAAATTGTACATTGATTAATATGCTCTGTTGACTAAGCTCGGTCAATATTTTAGAAAGAAATCGATGTTTTAAAAAAATACGCAATTTTGAAAGGGTTTGTGGGCTGACGTCTGACGTCATTTTAGTGGGTGGGGGTCTGATATTTTGTGACGATCTATGACAGGAGGGGGGTGTAAAAAATCATCGTAATGGGGATGACTCCTAAAGACTAAAGAGCATTTATTATTAAATTTATATAGAATAAAATTTTAATGTGTACTTCTAAAAGACATTAATTACCAAAGGAAGTGTAGAGAACAATAAACTATAGATAAAATTATTAAAACTGAGTGTTTATCAATAGCTAAAATACTTTTCAACGGTTAGATCTAGATATATTTTTCTGTTTTACGAAGTAATTTATTGTTTATGTGTTGGTCGACAAAACACCATTAATATTTTATTCAGCTTATTACTTTGAAATGTTTCGTTGGCAATTTTCCAAAGATTTAACCTGGCAATTCAATGTTGGCATACTTTCGAGTGCTCTTATCTGGCAAATGTTCCCAACCTCTAGGAAGCTGTTAAATTCTAGACGATCATTAGAATTTGGGCAAAAAAAATAACTTTAATCCATCATTTTATCGACTTAAAATCTACCTGCAGTATGTATTAAACAATCTGTTTTGAAATTTATTTATTAACAAAGTTTATAAAATGTTTGTTGACTCCGTTTTATTAGTCCAATGTGACCACTCACTATTAAATATTTTTACCCTGACGCCAAGCCTGTTTTCCATCTTTGCAGTGAAAAATAAAATTATGTACTGGCTAGTTAAGTTAAACATTTCACTTTCACTCTTGATTTTTGAATTTTAAGCTAAATAATTAATAATATTAATAAACATCTTCGAATATTCTACAATTTACAGAAGTCAAAAATATTTCCAAGCAGGACTTTTAAAAGATGCCCCATTCCGTAGATTCATTGCCTATCATTATATAGATTATTCTATTATTGACGAACTCTCCCGGCTGAGGACAAATCACAAAACACTAACAGTTTACCATGGGCACGTATAAAAGTATCCAAATACAACAACATTCCCTGATGCTTTCTAGATCTACACCTACTAACTGTTGTTTGGTTTATTAATAACTGTATCTTACTATTAGATATATATTATTTAAACATATTAATTAGTAATCCATAGTAAATTTAATCAATGATCACTATCACTTGATGTCTTGATTAGGGCTTTTAGGCCCTATTCAATTGTCAAAGTCAATATTGAATATTTTATATTACTTACAATTACAAGCTACATTACATAACTTTTACTATTAAAATGTTAATTAAATGAATCTAATGTTTAATCCAGAAGCATTACTAATACTTGGCGCTTTAAAACTAATGTGGTTTAGAATAGTATACTACTACTCATTATAAGTACTGCCTGACTAGTGTCAGTGACTGTCCCATTACATTTGACAAAATGAATTAAACAGTGCTGCTAGACTAGGGCTGACTAGGGTAATACAAGCCTTCTAGGTAGAAGCTACAGATTTGATTACTGTGCTATACAGTACACACTACACAGTACCTGTTATCAGTTACTTCCATTAACATTCAGTTAATTATTAACATCTTCCTTCACTACTCCTTCAACTCACTGAAACAGCTAGACCATCATTCAAACTAATCTTCTTCTTCCAGCTATTACAATCTAGACTGAAAAAGAGGAAAGATTTCCTCCATGCAGTATATGATCACTCCCTTTTGCTTTAGGCCTGCAGTATTTGATCACTCCCTTTTGCTTTAGGCCTACATACCTGTAACTATACACCACATATTATTCTAATCACCGCTGATGTGTTATTCATAGATAAACAATTATCTTTTCAGAACAGGATGAACCCAGAGGTGAAAAAAAAAGCAGCCAAGAAAGCAAAAAGTGGGAAACAGAAAATGGTGTCGAAAGACAAGCCTTCACCTGCAACTCAAAAGCAAAGTAAGGCAAAATCCAAAGCCAAGGATTTAATCAAACTCAGCCTAGTTTCTCCAAAAATGAGGCGTGCTGAATCTACAGTTCAGATTAAATCTGACTTTGGGAGCAATAATATAAAAATAGATTATGAGGCGCTTAAGAAACAGAAATTGACAGGCCCACAAGGCTCCAAGATATTTGGCTGCAACGTTTGCTCGTACCGCTCAGCAACAAGAGCCCAGCTGAAACAGCATCTGATCATCCATGCGGATAAAAAATATCGGTGCCAGGATTGTAAGTACAGGTGCCACACCCCAGCACACCTGAAACGTCACATGTTCACCCACTGCGAGAACAAGCCTATGCTCTGTACCTTGTGTGGATACAACTGCACCCAAAAATATCAGTTGAAGGATCACATGTTGCTGCATGAATCTGAAAGGCCTTTTGCTTGCAAAATGTGTAATGCAACTTACAAGAAGGAAGCAAGTCTTAAAGTTCATATGCTAAGCCATGAAAATGTGACAAAGTTTCATTGTAACCAGTGTACCTATGCTTGTAACCGTCTTGGGGATTTAAAAAGGCATGTACTGACTCATTCATCAGATAAACCTCTCAAATGTAACTTGTGTAGTTACTCTTGTGTCCGTAAATGGCGCATAGAAGCACACATGAAAATTCACTCTCAAGACAAACCAATTCTGCACTGTGATTTGTGCGACTTCACATGCCTGAGTGCACCCAGCATGAAAGATCATAAAGTCACCCACGCAGGAGAAAACATTTTACGCTGTGATCGATGTAGCTACGTGTGTACACAGGCTGCCAGCTTGAAGCGGCACATGAGAAAACATACAGGAGAAAAGGAAATGAAAGAGGTTAAAGAAGAGAAACCATTTCCTGACATGCAAGTTTTACCGGTCTCAGATACATTAGTTTCTGATGTTATCATTCCTGAGACAATAGTTCAGGAAATTATAGTCCCAGAAATAATGGTCCCTGAAACCACTGTAACAATAGTTAAACCAGAGGAACAAGAGATACTGGTGGAGCCAGAATTTATCAAGACTGAGGCCCCTATGGAAGAGATGGGCACAGGTGTAAGCATTCCCCAGATTCTAGAGGTGGTGTGTGACCTGCATGAAGAGACCTGGGACACTGTCAACAGTGGTGTAGGGGACACCACCACTGTGACCACCACAGATGGTGGCCAGTCTTACCTGATCCAAACTGGCGTGTCTGAGACAGCTGTAAACCAGCCCGAGATGATCCAGCCAACAGCCAGTCACCAGCTGATCATCAACTCCAGCAAGTCCCAGGTCCTGCTCTTCTCTGCTCCAGGCCTGCCCCCTGTCAACAAGCCCCCCATCAACCATTCAACATCCAAGCGCTTCCACTGTGATGCTTGTGACTTCTCCACCAACTACAAGTCACACCTAGCTGCTCATGTGAAAAAACATGCCAGCAATAAAAAGTACAAATGTGCCTACTGCGAATTCATGTGTAACAAATCCTCTCAGATGGTTGTTCATTTAGAGAGCCACACAAGCCAACAATTTATGTCATGCAGTTTCTGCCCATTTACTTGCAGAACCAAGACTGAGATGAGGATTCACATGAAAGAACATCCTGGCCTGAAACCATTCAACTGTAAAGAATGTGACTATAAATGTCGCTCAGCTGATGGCCTCAAGTCTCACATGACCAAGCATTACGGCTTCAAACCTTTCAGCTGTGAGATATGTGGCCAAGCCTTCTCCACCAACAACTTGCTCAAGCAGCATAGATTAATTCACGGTGAGAAGCCGCTGCAGTGTGAACTGTGTGAGTACAAGTGTATCCAGAAGAGGCAGTTGATGAACCACATGTTGCAGCACGAGAACGAGCATCCGTTTATATGTAGCTTATGTGGTAAAACATACAAGAAAGTTGAAAGCTTGGACATTCACATGATGTCACATGAAAACATCAAGAAGTTTGCTTGCAACTTGTGTAATTACGCAGGTAACAGAGCAGCTGATTTCCGTCGACATGTGATGACTCATTCCACCTCTAAACCACTGCAGTGTGACCAGTGCTCGTATCAGTGTATCCGTCAGTCCCGCCTGCGTGCCCATATGTTGACCCACTCTCAAGAGAGAAGTCTGAAAACTGGCGTCCCCCAGCCCAAGTGCTACCAATGTGCGTTCTGTGAGTTTTCCTGCACCAATATCAAGAAGTTGAAGTCCCATTTGTCCAAGCTCCATTCAAATCTCCCTGACCACCTGCTCAACTAACCATGGCCCACACCACTAAGGGAGGCCAAGCCTTCAGACAAGTCCCATAACTCACTGTCTATTATTTCTTTCATACATCTAGGATGAGTGGGCCTCGCTAAGACACATGCATGTTGACCATGTTCAGACTCTGCAGCCTAGTGAAATGTAAACCAGCATTCTACAGCATACATGTCCACAGGTGGCTGTAGCTCTCTGTAATGTTGGTCACTGGTGTGGTGTGACATTCTGTCCACAGGTGGCTGTAGCTCTCTGTAATGTTGGTCACTGGTGTGGTGTGACATTCTGTCCACAGGTGGCTGTATCTCTCTGTAATGTTGGTCACTGGTGTGGTGTGACATTCTGTCCACAGGTGGCTGTAGCTCTCTGTAATGTTGGTCACTGGTGTGGTGTGACATTCTGTCCACAGGTGGCTGTAGCTCTCTGTAATGTTGGTCACTGGTGTGGCGTGACATTCTGTCCACAGGTGGCTGTAACTCTCTGTAATGTTGGTCACTGGTGTGGTGTGACATTCTGTCCACAGGTGGCTGTAGCTCTCTGTAATGTTGGTCACTGGTGTGGTGTGACATTCTGTCCACAGGTGGCTGTAGCTCTCTGTAATGTTGGTCACTGGTGTGGTGTGACATTCTGTCCACAGGTGGCTGTAGCTCTCTGTAATGTTGGTCACTGGTGTGGTGTGACATTCTTTCCACAGGTGGCTGTAGCTCTCTGTAATGTTGGTCACTGGTGTGGTGTGACATTCTGTCCACAGGTGGCTGTAGCTCTCTGTAATGTTGGTCACTGGTGTGGTGTGACATTCTGTCCACAGGTGGCTGTAGCTCTCTGTAATGTTGGTCACTGGTGTGGTGTGACATTCTGTCCACAGGTGGCTGTAGCTCTCTGTAATGTTGGTCACTGGTGTGGTGTGACATTCTGTCCACAGGTGGCTGTAGCTCTCTGTAATGTTGGTCACTGGTGTGGTGTGACATTCTGTCCACAGGTGGCTGTAGCTGTCTGTAATGTTGGTCACTGGTGTGGTGTGACGTTCTGTCCACAGGTGGCTGTATCTCTCTGTAATGTTGGTCACTGGTGTGGTGTGACATTCTGTCCACAGGTGGCTGTAGCTGTCTGTAATGTTGGTCACTGGTGTGGTGTGACGTTCTGTCCACAGGTGGCTGTAGCTCTCTGTAATGTTGGTCACTGGTGTGGTGTGACATTCTGTCCACAGGTGGCTGTAGCTGTCTGTAATGTTGGTCACTGGTGTGGGCTCAGGTGGAGTGAGTGACATTATGGTGTGATGAAATTAAACACTGCAGTTTGTTTATGTGTGATTAAGTCTATGCAACAGTGTTTACATTGTTCAGCTATTATTTAATTCAAGTTTTACATTAAGATGACCATTTGAAAATTTTGTTTGCTTTTAACTTCACTAAAATGGATGATTGAATGTTAACATTTTTTAGCACCAAACCCTCTAGTACATTATTTCCCCAGCTATGTGATGACTCTGTTATGTTGTTGTCTCCTTCAGCTTTCTCTCAGTCACATTGAACATATAGAACATATTTTCCCTTCAATATCACCACTGTATATCTCCATGCTGACCCTTGTTCAACTGTACAGGAGTAACTTTGACCATGAACCTTGTTTTTTTCATTTGTTGAATGAATGGCCTTGTACAAACTGTTATTTACCTTCATGTAAACCTGACCCATTTCATTTATGTTATGAATTAATCATCAAGGAATAAAGAATGCCAGTTTGGTTATTACTCAACTCTTTTGGTTTATTTTTTCTCATCTGGCTTGTATATTAACTATGGGCATGAGAGAATGAAATAAAAAACAATCTTGTCATTTGTTGATTAATGAAATTTTATCAGTTTAGTAGTTCTAATTTGGCTAGCCATTCCGTTAGGGAAAACAATTTAGGTTAAAATTTCAAGTTAAAAAATATCCTTTTTAGACAGGTGATACAAGCAAACATGGTGGAGGTATGCTTAACCACAGGCAATGGTAGGCTGTGATAACATGATCAGTTACTGACCCAAAAGTCACACGTTCTGGCTTGAGTTTCCCCAGCTCTGAGAAAGTAAAGGTGGCTGGGTATAGTGTTGACCTTGCTATAGGTGGCTGGGTATAGTGTTGACCTTGCTATAGGTGGCTGGGTATAGTGTTGACCTTGCTATAGGTGGCTGGGTATAGTGTTGACCTTGCTATAGGTGGCTGGGTATAGTGTTGACCTTGCTATAGGTGGCTGGGTATAGTGTTGACCTTGCTATAGGTGGCTGGGTATAGTGTTGACCTTGCTATAGGTGGCTGGGTATAGTGTTGACCTTGCTATAGGTGGCTGGGTATAGTGTTGACCAGAGTTTCTTCCAGCGAAAAATTCTACCGCCCCCCCCCCCCCCGAACGAAATGAAATTTATATAATTTATATAGAAAATATATACAGTGTCCGACCCCCCCCCTCCCGGAGAAAAAGTCTGGAAGAAACACCGGTGTTGACCTTGCTATAGTTAAGAGTGGCTGGGTATAGAGTTGATTTTGCTATAGTTAAAATGCTGAGGTGGGAGAAACAGTTGAAGACTTGCACCCATCACAAAAAGCCAGTTAAACCCTGTTTTCTTGCTTAGTGTGATTGCATATCTCCACAAGACATAATAGTGTTGAACAAAATGGGTGGATCCCAATCCATTGTTTTAAATAGCCCACAAAACATGTAAGTTCAAGCATGTAATCTTGCTAGTGAGGTAATGCACAATTTTAGATCAAGAAATCTAGTTAGTTATTTTAAAAAAAAAATTCTGTTACTTCATATTATTTGATAATTTATCAAATTCATCTTAAACATTTGTTGAATTCGCAAATCCTAAATGCGAATATTTTTTTTAATGCGAATCTTTTTTAACAGAAAAGAAGTTATTAAAAACAACTGCAGGTTAAATTAATGCCTACGGCTCAATTCATTGAAATAGTGATATTTTATTCTAGACGCCAGGCTAGTTTGTTTTAGGTTACTTAAAAAAATGCTAAATCTACGAACAAATCTAGTTTTACACGTCTTAGCACTATAACTAGACCTTCTATACGTACACACCGTTTACTAGAAAATAATAATCTACAGCCGTTAGCTGTTCTGTATTGTTGTCGCCCAGTGTCGGCCTGTCACTTGTTCAACCTCCACAGTCGACAAGTTCCACAACAAACCATCTGAACCTGCAGTCAACTCGCGACCTCAACTTTCTTTTTTTTTTTTTTAAAGTTGGACGGTATGTTCATAATCTACAACATACAGTGTTCAGTACATGTTTGTCAGTCAGAAATAGATCTAGATCTTCTAGTGTAGTAGTAGTAGACTACGTGTGTCGTGTAGGGTAGACGGTAGGGTCTTGTCTTGGTAAAATGCGAAATTGCGAGGCGGTAAAATGCGAGAAGAAAATGCGGAAAAAAACTAAACCTAATGTTAAATGTTGCCATTCTATCAAAGAAATGTAGGTTAAATACTTTTTTTGTGAATATATGGTTAATACTTAATTTACTTAATAGGGATATGGTTGCATTTTACTTTTACACTTTAAACTTTAAAGAAGTTTAAACTTTTACTTTTAGTATTTTATTTTACCAAAGACCTGTCACCATCTTACGAAAGTGAAATTTCTGATTAGCCTAGGACTATAATTTAAATTTAGGCTTGATAATAATAAATAGAAATGTAGCCTTGAACACAAAAACTTATTTTCACTCTACATTTGTAACTTTTTAGCGCAATTTCCATTCTGGAGAATTGTGTTTATTAACTCGTCAAGGATGGATGGATGTCCGAGCTTTAAGTCGTATCTCCTCCTCAATGAAGCAATATCGAGGACTAGTTCCAAAAGCAAATATGTTAAGCAAGTTCTGAGGATGATTGTGGGCCAAAAAAATTCCCGGAATTCCTTCCTGGATTTCCTGGAAAAGCCAAAAAACCTCGAAAAAATGCAGTTTTTGGCCCATATCTCGGCAACCAGACCACTTTTGGATAACATAAGGAAATTGCGCTCAAATTGTCACTAGACTTTTTATTAACTTGTTTATAATTGCTTCTTAAAATATTAAGCTTTTTTCAAGCTTAGGCCTAGGTGGGTTTTTTTTGGGTTTCTTATGTCCGTTATGAAGGCAAATTTGACAAAAACACAATTTTTATCCATGTAAACAATAATGAATAATAATGGAAGCATTCTCGTCAACTTGTTAAACTTGATGTTTATTTATTCCTATTTTTTTTTTAAATCTAGAATCTAGATAGTACAACATACAATTACTACATACATTTGCATAACTTTATGCTAGTAAATAGTCTCCAGATGTACTCGCTGGTATCTGAGGTATCTGTTTGGAAACTCACTAGGGGCCCAAATTTTAGGCTATGGTTTGCATTCTGCAGAGACTGAGATAAGGGGATTGCTTGACACTCCGATGGTCTTCCAAAAATTTGATGTAGACTATGTGCGACATTATCTTAAAGTCAATTTCAAATTTCACTACCAGAATAAATGTCACAAAAATCATGTAACCAAGTTAAGCTTAAAATTGAACTTGACCCCTATCAATGATTAAGTTGTATACATTGTTTTCTCACTGTTAATCTAATGGGTTCAAACAACTTACAAACTTCTCAAAATTAAATGACCATTCAGACTTATAAAATGTGTTTCCTAACCAAAAAAAGTAAAAACATACACTTTTTTCTGAGAAAGGAAGGAAGATCATCCATTGCTTAGTAATATTGTGTTAAAATATTATTGAGATTTAGCAACATCAGCTGAGTTTTCATTTATCCAAAATAGTTATAGGTCCCCCACAAACAATTGGATGCATTCTTTGGGTCATAGGTAATTCCTTTATTTGTCAAAGGGCTGGACTAATAATTTGATACCAAATTAAATTATCATTATGAATATGTAGCCTGGAAAATGTGTTTAAATAAAGGTGTTTGTTATTAAATTCCTAATTATAATTTATTAGTGTTAGTTACGGTTATTATGGTATTTAAGGCTCAAGTAAGAATGATAAATGTGCTACACTCATCTGTAACAAAAATCATAGCATTTTTTTAGACCAATGAATGCTATTTGTTTTAATTGAACACTTTTGATCTCTCTTTAGATTGTGTTGATGAAGAGCTCTTGGATTTTGTGGGGAAACAAAAAGTTTAGTCCAAAATGGCAGCCACTACTATTCTTCACCCCAAGTCCAACTTAAGCAGAACTAGTTTGACATTTCAAGACACATTCTGCAACACAAATCCAGGTCAACATGGCGGCACTGGGTCTCTCACGTATGACATAGAGAGTTTTAAAAAGAGAATGAACCCAGTGAAGAGAAAAGTGAAACCACCAGCACCACCCAGCCCTGCTCCTGTATGTGTTCAGGATGTTGAAGATTTTAAGCTCAAGTTTCACCCACGCAGGACCAGTAATCAGGAAAACCAGCCATTGGTCAAAAGTGGGAAGAAGGACGTGTCTAACGCAGGGAACAAAACCTCACCTAAAAACCAGGATAAGGGGGATAAAAATGTGACCAGGTTTCTGTGTGACGTCTGCAGCGCCATGTTCAAGACCTCCACCAACCTGAAGGAGCATGTGAGGATCCACTCTTCACACAAGGAGTACAAATGTCACCTGTGCGACTACGGCTGCCACAGAGAGAGGAACCTCAAGATCCATATCCTGACCCATGCTGAGAAGAAGCCCATCCAGTGCCCCATGTGTGACTACACTTGTATACAAAACTTCCAGCTCAAAGCCCACCTCTTGCTGCACCAGACCCCCACCCCCTTTCAATGCTCCATCTGTAATGCCAAGTACAAAAAAGAGGCGGGGCTTAAAGTTCACATGCTGACCCATTCCAACCAGTATAAATTTAAGTGCCAGATATGTCAGCACGAAACAAACCGTTTTGCAGACTACCGGCGCCACCTGCTGATCCACTCCAAGTCTAAGCCAGAGAAGTGCCCCATGTGCAGCTACTCCTGTATCCGCCAGTCCAGGCTCAAGGCCCACATGCTCATCCATCGCGGCCACAACTTTGCTGACAATCCTGTCCTGTCTGGCCTGGAGAAAAATGTGCTGCGCTGTGACCTCTGTGATTACATCTGTACAACTGCTTCAAGGCTTAGGAAACATAAAACTTCACATAAAAAACAAGCTGTGCGCACGTGTACACAGTGTGGCTATACATGCACCAAAGCCTCAGAACTCAAAAATCATGTACAGATCCATAGGGAAAACCCTATGCTAATTACTTTCACACAAACCCCAGACACGCATGCCCCGATAACTCCAGAACTATTGCCAGAAGTAGAGTGTTTGGTGCCTGAGGCTGAGAGTTTGGTCAAGTGTGAAGACAGCCAGGAGAAGCAAGTAGAGGAGTCCATCATTTATGCAGAAAACCCAGGGGAGATGTTCACAGATGCCAGCCACTTGTACAGCAGCGCAGAGAACCAAACGCTCCTGCTGACTGCATCTGTTGGCCAGTCAGATGGACAGGTCATTGTCCAGAGCGATCAGGGCATCTTGCTAGCTCCAGCCAACCAGAGCTGGGAGGAAGAAGGGGCGTGGTCTGATTCTTTTAGCGTTGCTGACCTCAGCGGTTTTTCTTTTGACCCCATCAGCCTGCAGCAAGCCCCCAGCCTGATTGTGACTGTGGTCAAGGAGGAGGCCACGCTGCCGCTGATGACAGAGGCTGTCAAAGAGGAAGTGGAGGAGCCAGTTCAAAGGTTAAAGATGTACCACTGCGATATCTGCTCCTTTGGCTGTGATTACAAGTCCACCTTTAAAAAGCACATGAGGAAACACTCTGAGCTGAAGAACTTCAAGTGTGCCCACTGTCAGTACATGTGTGACCAGCTGTCTCGCATGAAGAAACATTTGATCAGCCACACGGACCAGAAGCTCTTCCACTGCCAGATTTGCCAGTTTGGCTGCAAGAGCAAATCAACGCTGCAGCACCACATGCTGTCCCACACGCAGGGCAGGGCCGGCCTGAAGAGTTACCACTGCCCTCGCTGCCAGTACTCCTGCAAGAGTGCCCTGGGTCTCAAGTCCCACTTCGTCAAGCACACGGGGGTCAACCCCTTCCAGTGCGAGGTCTGTCAGGAGAGCTTCATGACAGAGTACCTGTTGAAGAAGCACAAGTTTAGCCACGGGGTCAAGCCGTACCAGTGCCAGTACTGCAGCTACTCGTGTGTCCAGAGACAGCAGATGAACACACACCTGCTGCAGCACACGTACGAGTACCCGTTCTGCTGCAGCCTGTGTAACGCCAAGTACAAGAAACAGGACAGCCTGAAGGTGCACGTCATGTCTGAACACGAGAAGAAGCACCGCTACAGCTGCCAGCTGTGTAACTACGTGGGCAACAGGGCCGCGGACTTCAGGGAGCACGTGCTGACCCACTGTGAGAGGAAGCCCCACCAGTGCCCACACTGTTCCTACTCCTGTATCCGCCCCACCCAGCTCAAGAAACACCTGCGGGTCCACGACAAGGACCCGGGCTACCCTGACCCTAACAAACCCGCGGCCAACAAGAAAAAAACTTTTGCCTGCCATTACTGTAGTTTCTCTTCGTCTCGCTCTACACGCATGAGGGCACACCTGGACAAGGTGCACCTGACTTTACCTGACGTTTTGTTAACACCTGAACCATCACATGATGAGGGCACACCTGGACAAGGTGCACCTGACTTTACCTGACGTTTTGTTAACACCTGAACCATCACATGATGAGAGCACACCTGACTTTACCTGACGTTTTGTTAACACCTGAACCATCTCATGATGAGAGCACACCTGGACAAGGTGCACCTGACTTTACCTGACGTTTTGTTAACACCTGAACCATCTCATGATGAGAGCACACCTGGACAAGGTGCACCTGACTTTACCTGACGTTTTGTCAACACCTGAACCATCACATGATGAGAGCACACCTGGACAAGGTGCACCTGACTTTACCTGACGTTTTGTTAACACCTGAACCATCACATGATGAGAGCACACCTGACTTTACCTGACGTTTTGTTAACACCTGAACCATCACATGATGAGAGCACACCTGGACAAGGTGCACCTGACTTTACCTGACGTTTTGTTAACACCTGAACCATCACATGATGAGAGCACACCTGGAAAAGGTGCACCTGACTTTACCTGACGTTTTGTTAACACCTGAACCATCACATGATGAGAGCACACCTGGAAAAGGTGCACCTGACTTTACCTGACGTTTTGTTAACACCTGAACCATCACATGATGAGAGCACACCTGGAAAAGGTGCACCTGACTTTACCTGACGTTTTGTTAACACCTGAACCATCACATGATGAGGGCACACCTGGACAAGGTGCACCTGACTTTACCTGACGTTTTGTTAACACCTGAACCATCACATGATGAGAGCACACCTGACTTTACCTGACGTTTTGTTAACACCTGAACCATCACATGATGAGAGCACACCTGACTTTACCTGACGTTTTGTGAACACCTGAACCATCACATGATGAGGGCACACCTGGACAAGGTGCACCTGACTTTACCTGACGTTTTGTTAACACCTGAACCATCACATGATGAGAGCACACCTGACTTTACCTGACGTTTTGTTAACACCTGAACCATCACATGATGAGGGCACACCTGGACAAGGTGCACCTGACTTTACCTGACGTTTTGTTAACACCTGAACCATCACATGAAGAGAGCACACCTGGACAAGGTGCACCTGACTTTACCTGACGTTTTGTTAACACCTGAACCATCACATGATGAGGGCACACCTGGACAAGGTGCACCTGACTTTACCTGACGTTTTGTTAACACCTGAACCATCACATGATGAGAGCACACCTGACTTTACCTGACGTTTTGTTAACACCTGAACCATCACATGATGAGAGCACACCTGACTTTACCTGACGTTTTGTGAACACCTGAACCATCACATGATGAGGGCACACCTGGACAAGGTGCACCTGACTTTACCTGACGTTTTGTTAACACCTGAACCATCACATGATGAGAGCACACCTGACTTTACCTGACGTTTTGTTAACACCTGAACCATCACATGATGAGAGCACACCTGACTTTACCTGACGTTTTGTGAACACCTGAACCATCACATGATGAGAGCACACCTGACTTTACCTGACGTTTTGTTAACACCTGAACCATCACATGATGAGGGCACACCTGACTTTACCTGACGTTTTGTGAACACCTGAACCATCACATGATGAGAGCACACCTGGACAAGGTGCACCTGACTTTACCTGACGTTTTGTTAACACCTGAACCATCGCATGATGAGAGCACACCTGACTTTACCTGACGTTTTGTTAACACCTGAACCACCACATGATGAGAGCACACCTGGACAAGGTGCACCTGACTTTACCTGACGTTTTGTTAACACCTGAACCATCACATGATGAGGGCACACCTGGACAAGGTGCACCTGACTTTACCTGACGTTTTGTTAACACCTGAACCATCACATGAAGAGAGCACACCTGGACAAGGTGCACCTGACTTTACCTGACGTTTTGTTAACACCTGAACCATCACATGATGAGGGCACACCTGGACAAGGTGCACCTGACTTTACCTGACGTTTTGTTAACACCTGAACCATCACATGATGAGAGCACACCTGACTTTACCTGACGTTTTGTTAACACCTGAACCATCACATGATGAGAGCACACCTGACTTTACCTGACGTTTTGTGAACACCTGAACCATCACATGATGAGAGCACACCTGACTTTACCTGACGTTTTGTTAACACCTGAACCATCACATGATGAGGGCACACCTGACTTTACCTGACGTTTTGTGAACACCTGAACCATCACATGATGAGAGCACACCTGGACAAGGTGCACCTGACTTTACCTGACGTTTTGTTAACACCTGAACCATCACATGATGAGGGCACACCTGACTTTACCTGACGTTTTGTTAACACCTGAACCACCACATGATGAGAGCACACCTGGACAAGGTGCACCTGACTTTACCTGACGTTTTGTTAACACCTGAACCATCACATGTTGAGGGCACACCTGACTTTACCTGAGCCATCAAGTATCCATTGATGTTGAGATTAAGTATGAGTCAGACCTGAGCCCATCTACCACCACATACAATGAGCATCATGTTGTGAATGTTTCCTTCACAGTTGATGCACCAGAACTGATGAGAGGTATCAGTTTAACATTGTGTACCCTATTTCTGTATAAAGACTTTATTTTTTTTGTACGTTAGATCATGATTTATGCCATGTTTCTCTTGCCTGTATGAAATTGAAGCTTGCACAGATTTGTTGAGCAATAAAATGCGTGTCCACGCCATCCTTCTGGTAAATGTAGACCTGAGACGATTTTTGTTTGTTATTCTATGGTGATTTGGGCGTGGTATGAAAGGTGGTTACAACTTTGGCCGTTTTCTAAAGCAGTATGCTCACTCATGACAATATACAATAAATTAAACCGGGAGTGATCTCCCCTAAACTTTCTCGAATGTTCTTATATTATAACACACCGGGGAATGGCAACTCTAGATATAGTTATGATTTTTAATTCATTTTTAATTACTCAAACTTTTAAAAATAGAATAGCAGACACTCGTAGAAAAAAAAAGAATTGCTCACCAAGTGAATGCCAAACAATTTGTGTATAATAGTGCGGACTATTATTAGTACTTTATAAATTCATTATGCGATTTTTGAGAAATCGGAAATAACGTAAATTGCTATTTCCGATCAATGGAAATTACTCAAAATTTGACAGAAGGCAGAGAATTAGATCTTTTACTCGGAGTTTCTTCCAGGCATCTCTTCGGGGGGGGGGGGGGGAGTCTGGAAGAAACACTGCTTTTACTTGTGTGTGAAATTTCGTTTATCTATCTGAAACCGTACTAAAATTATAGGCTTTTGAAAAACTAAAAGTAGAATAAGTCCCTCTTCCGGTTATCGGAAATCGCTAAAAAGTTTATACAGAACCTAGCTGTAACGGTACTCAAGTTATCGTATTTACATATATACACACACACACACACGGACAGAATTGCAAAGTCCAGTTTTTCCGACTCGATTATGCGTAAAACGCCAAAATTTTGATAAATCTGGATTTAGAATTTTTGCCCGATTAAATAAGTCCCCTATAGGCCTACTCAGTATATGATGAAGTACTAAGAAGTGAAACGGTGAAAACTCAAAATTTCATGTGATTTTTTGTGCACGATTACAATACTTCCTCTATACTCTATATACGAGAAAGTAAAAATTAAGGAGAATAGGAACATTCTAACCCTAGGTTTTTGTCAGAATGATAAAAACAATTTTGAAATTGATCTGGTATAACTAGTATAAGTGTTCTGTATTGAAGAGCTGAGTTTCTTCCAGGCATCTCTTCGGGGGCCCCCGAAATTTTTTTACCTCCCCCCGAACGAAATGAAATGTATATAATTTATATAGAAAATATATACTTTTAACAGTGTCCGGTCCCCCCCCCCCCCCCGAAGAAAGTCTACCCCCCCCCCCCCCCGAAAATTTCAAGTGCCCCCCCCTCCCCCGGAGAAAAAAGTCTGGAAGAAACACTGTTGAAGAGTGTGGTGTGAAAACAGCAGCAAAAATATTCCAATCAGTTGCCAGTGGCTTTACTAACTGCTTGGTGATTGGCGGGGACCAGGTGTTTGGAGAGATTCCTAATTTGGTCAGGTATGGACCTGGTTAGGGAGATTCCTAGATTGTTCAGGTGTGTTGGGGAAAATTCATAGACTGTCCAGGAATGTTTATGGTGATTCCAAGACTGACCAAGTGTATTTGGTAGGATTCCTAAACTGTCTAGGTATGGTTATGAAGATTCCTAGACTGACCAAATGTTGCTGACAGAGTTGTGAAGATTAAAAAAAATATTCTGGTCATCGCCAAGTGGTGAAGGTAAGTCTTGAATTTGTCAGACATGTGCCATTTCCAGGGAACCACATGCCAGTTAGTGTTGCACCACTGAGACCTTCAAAGTTTTTGATTGTGGTATCCCTGGTGTTACAACCAGATGTGTTAATTTAAACTAAACTACTTGATACTGTTGTTGGCCAAGGTTTAAAATAAGCAAGAAACAACTAATTTGGAGCATATTCACCGAGATGAGATAATTTATCTTACAAAAGGACACAAGTCACTGGCCCACTAATTTAACCCTAGATACCACTGCATGTATAGCAATACCGTGATTTATTTGAAAGGGGAGTGATAGTTTGTTGGAAGCGTAGCCACAATATATTGCTTTTTACTATTTTTTGTATGCATCGTTTCTTATGTTCAAAATGATTGGATAATTTTTAACGTTTTTCTAATTACGTTAGTAATCGTTTCTGATGATGTAAAAAAAAAACCAAAAAAAAAAAAAAAAAAAACAATTCTCCCGTATAAAAAATACCACCCCAAATCCTTTTTTTTTTTAAAAAAAAAAATCAGTTTTTAATTCAAAATGATGTGGGTTGAGGGAGGGAGTTTTACAAGTTGACCTATTGATAAACTATAAATAGGTCTAGTGCTTGATCTAGTCTGTTAATGTTAGGACGTCATGTCTTGTGTTTTAATGTGTATGCCCGCCCAATTTTTTATGATCTAATTTTTACAAAAAAAATTATGTTAGGGAACAGAGGCGTAGCAACCCATTTCGGCTTCCCGGGCGAACTATGAATTTTGAGCCCCCCCCCCCCCCCCATTTATATATTTATCCACGTTAGCGAAAAAGACCCCCCCCCACACACACTACACACTCACATATCACATTCCCGTTAATACTTTATTCCCACATCACACAAGCAACGTTACAACGTAGAAAGCCGTCCGTAGAACCGAGTAGCTATTTTCTTGAATTCGAATATAATGCAGCTCAGAATACATTTGTTATTTTCTATTTCTACCCAATTTAGCGCCCCTTTGGCGGCCGCCCCACCCGCTCTCCCCTAACTAAGCCTCTGTAAGGGAATCCTTAGTATGACATCGTTGCATTTAATTTAGTTTATTTTCAATCATAAATATTTTGCTTAGTCAACGACGTTAAATGTTTTTATTTTTAACCTTCTTAGTTATAAAAATCTGTACACATTTTAATAACAACTGTTAAGAGCTCTTTTCAAATAAAAACAAAATTTAGTTAAAGATGGACGTGTGGCTACTTTCGGTTTTTATTTCAGTGTGTATGTTTACACTAAGATCCAATGGCCAGATTTGTAAAATAGCAAATGTTCAAATTGATAACGAAGATGGAAAGCAACAGTACATTGAACTCAACCTTAAAAAGCTCGATATCAACGACGAAAGTATTTGCTTAGGTTGTAATATAAAGGGCGATCCATCTAAAACCGGAGGTTATGATGAGTACAGTTCACACCACAGTCACTGGACCAAAACCCCTCCCACTTTCAATATTGTATTCATTCCTAGTGAACTCGTTCCAGAATGTGGTAAGGGAAAAAAATTGCTGAATTTGTTACTGCATGAAAAATAAATTGAAATGTTGATTTTTTAAAAAAAAATTGACCTTAGTCTTAATTTTAATTTAATTTAAAATTGAAACTAAACAAAAATTTAGGCTAGTTTTATTAAATATACTCTTTTTTATAGGTTCGGTTTAAGTTTAATAATTTATTAATTTGTAAATGAATTTTAAAATTTAAGGTTAATTTTTAATAAGATCTAGATCTAGTAAAAATGAATATGGTCTTGCCTTACTTGAATTTTTACAAGAAAACTAAACTAAAAGGAAACTATATTGAAACTAAAGAAACTTTGATACTGAACTTTTTGTGTAAATCTTTCTACACAGACCTCTTAAATTGAAAAAAATAATGCAGAGTTTTAAAAAAATAATACATTCTTTTAAGATGCTGATGATTTTGCATCCTTGCCAACTGGATTGTGTGCCCTGACTGAGTCAGATGAAAAAATTGCTTGTCAGGAAAATGTATGCAGTCTCCCAGCTGTTGAGGTAGTTTTTAAATCTTGAACAAAAGTTGGTGGATCTATCACATCTCAGTTGGTTGTCTTGTAGTGAAGTTTGTTGTATGCTGATGTTTACCTCTGTCTTATAGTGAAGTTTGTTGTATGCTGGTGTTTACCTCTGTCTTGTAGTGAAGTTTGTTGTATGCTGATGTTTACCTCTGTCTTGTAGTGAAGTTTGTTGTATGCTGGTGTTTACCTCTGTCTTGTAGTGAAGTTTGTTGTATGCTGATGTTTACCTCTGTTGTCTTGTAGTGAAGTTTGTTGTATGCTGATGTTTACCTCTGTTGTCTTGTAGTAAAGTTTGTTGTATGCTGATGTTTACCTCTGTCTTGTAGTGAAGTTTGTTGTATGCTGATGTTTACCTCTGTTGTCTTGTAGTGAAGTTTGTTGTATGCTGATGTTTACATCTGTCTTGTAGTGAAGTTTGTTGTATGCTGATGTTTACCTCTGTCTTGTAGTGAAGTTTGTTGTATGCTGATGTTTACCTCTGTCTTGTAATGAAGTTTGTTGTATGCTGATGTTGTCTTGTAGTGAAGTTTGTTGTATGCTGATGTTTACTTCTATATGGCTGTAGGAGCTGGCTGAAGCTATTGAAGAAAAACATTTCAGCTCCCTCTTCATTGGACACGCCCACCTGGAGCATCAGCTTGGTAAGGAGGAAATAACTGTAAACAGTTTTTTGTTTTGTTATTTAACAGATGTTAATGTATGACGTGTGTAAACTGTTAGGGTAAATGGATGACTTAACTGTTAAGGTAAATGGATGACTTAACTGTTAAGGTAAATGTATGACTTAACTGTTAAGGTAAATGTATGACTTAACTGTTAGGGTAAATGTATGACTTAACTGTTAGGGTAAATGTATGACTTAACTGTTAGGGTAAATGGATGACTTAACTGTTAAGGTAAATGTATGACTTAACTGTTAGGGTAAATGTATGACTTAACTGTTAGGGTAAATGTATGACTTAACTGTTAGGGTAAATGTATGATTTAACTGTTAGGTTAAATGTATGACTTAACTGTTAGGTTAAATGTATGACTTAACTGTTAGGTTAAATGTATGACTTAACTGTTAGGTTAAATGTATGACTTAACTGTTAGGGTAAATGTATGACTTAACTGTTAGGGTAAATGTATGAATTAACTGTTATGGTAAATGTATGACTTGGTAAATGTATGACTTAGCGTAAATGTATGACTTAAGGTAATTGTATGACTTAAGGTAAATGTATGACTTAGGGTAAATGTATGACTTAGGGTAAATGTATGACTTAACTGTTAGGATAAATGTATGACTTGTGTAAACTGTTAAGGTAAATGTATGACTTAACTGTTAGCATAAATGTATGACTTAAGGTAAATGTATGACTTAACTGTTAGGGTAAATGTATGACTTAGGGTAAATCTATGACTTAATGTTATCAGCTGCGGCTGTTGTACATCTAAACCTGGGCCACGCTGACAAGGCTGTTGAGGAGTTCAGCTCTCTCATTCATGTGAGTAGGTTGTAGGCTAAATGTCAATAACTGTAACAAAAACTGTAGGAGTTCAGCTCTCTCATCCATGTGAGTAGGTTGTAGGCTAAATGTCAATAACTGTAACAATAACTGTAGGAGTTCAGCTCTCTCATTTATGTGAGTAGGTTGTAGGCTAAGTGTCAATAACTGTAACAAAAACTGAAACAGGTGGTGGGTGGTGTCATATTGGGACACTTGTCATCTTGAATACAAATTCATTGCTGATCTACATGTCATGTCATTTGCTGATCTACATGTCATGTCATTTGCCGATCTACATGTCATGTCATTTGCTGATCTACATGTCATGTCATTTGCTGATCTACATGACTTGTCATTTGCTGATCTACATGACTTGTCATTTGCTGATCTACATGACTTGTCATTTGCTGATCTACATGACATGTCATTTGCTGATCTACATGTCATGTCATTTTATGATCTACATGTCATGTCATTTTATGATCTACATGTCATGTCATTTGCTGATCTACATGTCATGTCATTTGCTGATCTACATGTCATGTCATTTGCTGATCTACATGTCATGTCATTTGCTGATCTACATGTCATGTCATTTGCTGATCTGCATGACATCTGGTCACTTGTCACACCCTTGAAGTTATTCTACCAATTAGTAGATTTTAATTACCCTGTGTGTGATCAAATGTGTCCAACATTAATGAATATTATTTCTCATTTACCAGACCAACCCAACTTTAACCATCGCTTACTTTGGAAGAGGCCTGGCTTATGCTAGAAAAAACCTTCAGGTATTCAATGCTTTGTTTCTTTAAGGTTTTGTACTTGCTAGAGTTTGTGTTTTTATCTGAGTTGTGAATGAACTTTGTTATAGAATGGCTTTGTTTCTTTAAGGTTTTGTACTTGCCAGAGTTTTTTTATCTGAGTTGTGAATGAACTGTGTTACAGAATGGCTTTGTTTCTTTAAGGTTTTGTACTTGCCAGAGTTTGTGTTTTTATCTAACTGAGTTGTGAATGAACTGTGTTACAGAATGGCTTTGTTTCTTTAAGGTTTTGTACTTGTCAGAGTTTGTGTTTTTATCTGAGTTGTGAATGTTACAGAATGCCACCAGCACACAACTGGCCCTGAATGACCTGACTAAAGCCATTGAGCTGGACACAAGTCTAGCTCGGCCAGACCTCTTGATGCACCGGACTCAGGTATTTCTAGCTGGTATTTTTGAAATACACACTGCTAACTTGTCCTTCAACTTGTCCCTCAACTTGTCCCTCAACTTGTCCCTCAACTTGTCCCTACAACTTGTTCCTACATGTTACTACAACTTGTTCCTACAACATGTATCACATAAACAAGTTGTGTCAAACAGCCAAATAAAAACTCTGATTTCGCTCTCAAGTCGCCCAAATGTAATAGCCTTTCATTTACTAGTTTTCTATAAAATAAAGGGCTCATGTAATAATAAGCATAGTACCATTTTAAAGTAAATTTAAAACCTTCTAATTCTGCCTAATTTTTATGGTAGTTGACATTACACAATATATCTCATTTATCGATTGAAAACTATCACCAAGTGGATTTTTCATGCAAATTTGGACCCTCCTCACATTCAACTCCCGGGCCTTTTTTTTTACCATTCAACATTTCTTTACAAATACTTGTAAAATGTGCAAATTGAATAGCCTTTAGTGGGGTACTAAATTTAAAAACTCCATAAAAGACTAAATATTCTAAATTTTAAAAAAATTAAGCAATTGTTAAACTAGTACGTCATCCTGACATCGTATAAATTTTTAAATTAGGATTTTCAGAAAGATGGTCTATTTTTCTGTTAAAACACTGAAATTTTTTCTGAGTATGGTAAAAAAAAAAGCCAAGCTCGACAAAACACACTATTGCAATAAATAAAATAGCTCTAGACCCTGGAACAGGAAATGACTGTTTTCTTCGTTAACAACGCACTACCTAGCTTTTCAAAATTGATTATAGCAAGTTTTAGCTGCTTGATAGTTCAGTAAAATAAATAAAAACATGTAGCTACTTAATCAACCAGTTCGTCTGTCTATTTTTCATAGTTCATTTCTTCAATATAGATCTATAATTAAACCTACAACTCATGTTTTAGCTTTGTTCATTTCTTCATTATCTATTTAGTAATAAAACTATAATAACTCCATTCAGTGATTAGACTTCCATGTAATTTTACAGCTTCGTCCGATGAACTAAACCCCACTTCACTGTGTATCGGAGTCTAATTCTTTTTTCCGATTGTTTAGTTCAACTATTTTTTCTTTTCTGACAGAGGGTACTTTGAAAATTAATTACAACATATTTTTGTAATCTTTTTAGAGTAGCTGAATATTTTAATCTGTTAAATCTAAAAGGTCACGTGATCGTACATTTTGTCACCAGTGTCAACAATATATGGGTATAGTTTTAAGTAGAAAAACCCGCCAAGTTCATGGATGGTTTGGGTTTTAGTGATGATTTAAAACTGAATAGTAAATTGTGTGAAGCTTGAAATACTTTACATTACCAAAGAAATTGACCATTTGACTTGTTAGTGTGTTAGTGTATATTTATTGTGAATAATTTCAACTTGAACTAGATCTAGGCGATATATTATGTTAATACCTCAAACACTCACCTGGAGTAGAGGGGGGGGGAATAAGCAAGATCTCTACTACAGTTGTAACAATGTCCATATATATTAATGATCAGTGCACGAGTGCTGATGTATTTACACTTTCCAGTCAGCTTGTAAATAAACCCATAAACCCTTATTAGAACCCTTTCAAAAGAATGTATGTCTATGAAAAAAAAATCTTGTTAAGTCCTCAATTATATCGACGTTTAATGTGGTTATTGATTACATAATTAAATGTTATAGTTGTGAAGAACAACTGTTAAGACACTAAGGGTGAGAATGCAAGACTAGCATGGTTATCTATTTACTATTTAGCCTACGTAGTTGTATTTATATTAGCAAGTGTATTTTTGGTGTAGCCCTATCATATCGCAATACTTGTTGAACCAGCTATGTATAAATACATATTTATAGCATAAAGATAAATCAACTGAGGCATTCTAAGTAAATGCTCTTACTTTTAAATGTACTACTGGTTCTAGAGACTAATAATTATTTCGACAAAAAATATTTTCTTTATTGGACCCTTGCACTGTTCCAGCCACCATTGGATCGCATATAAATTAATCACAGAAACAAAGACTATTTACCTGTTAAGAGCTATGGTTATTCTGTATTTCAATACAGCCAGATCTACTGTAGCTTTCATAATTTTTTTTTAAAAGAAGCATTTTGACAGATTGTGAACCCCTGCACTCTTCTGATCAAACATGTTATAGGCATACATGTAACTTAAATTCAAAGAAGCGTTGTTCCCCTACATTTTGATATATTTATCAAGTATGCTCTTTCATCAGACAATTTTTTGGTGATTTTTCAAAAATGTACAAAATTTGTGTTTTCTACTTCCCTCTTTTTTTTAATCAAAAAGTGAAAAATCCCAATTTCAATGCAATTAATTTAAATGATGTACTTATTTTTGAGATCTGAAAAAAAATTAAGTCTGTTCTCTGAATAAGTGTGTTTGTGTTGAGTTCAAAAGATTGTGTTTGTGACATGTACTTTTACAGATATAACGTCTCAAACATGTCGAAAAAACAACAAGTTTTTAAAATGTAACTTTTTTACTACTTGAGTTCTTCACATAGCAATTTTCAAAAAAGCTCTGGGACTGTTTAAAAAAATCTGTTTGACATACCTACATAAATGTCTTAAAACATGTTCCTACAACTTGTTTCTACATGTTCCTACAACTTGTTTCTACATGTTCCCACAACTTGTTTCTACATGTTCCCACAACTTGTTTCTACATGTTCCCACACCTTGTCTCTACATGTTCCTACAACTTGTTTCTACATGTTCCCACAACTTGTTTCTACATGTTCCCACAACTTGTTTCTACATGTTCCCACAACTTGTCTCTACATGTTCCTACAACTTGTTTCTACATGTTCCCACAACTTGTTTCTACATGTTCCTACAACTTGTATGACATAAACACGCCCTACTTGTCCACCAACCAGGTCCTGTTGAGACTGCATCAGTACCAGGAAGCTTTGAATGATGTCACATCGCTGCTCAAACTTCAGCCGTCTGCTAAGATCTACTTTCTGCGTGGGGTCATCCACCTTATGATGGAAGTATGTTTAGAAAATTTTAGAACCATCAGCTTTGGTTCATCAAAGTTAGCAGAATATAATTCAAGAGTTATTAGTTTTTTAGTTAGCTATCTATTTATGACTGATATGACATTTGTTTTTTTATTTTCTAGAATTTTTCCCAAGCTGAACAAGATTTCCGCAAAAATTTGCTGTCGTCAGACGCCAAAATTCAGTCTCTCTCACACTTCCACCTGGGGCTGGCCCTCTACTACAGGGGAAAAGTTCGGGTATGTTTTTGTTCTTATGTCTCGCCAGAAAAAAATTTTTTTCAAGAAAACTGGCAGTTCAATAGTTCTGTTAGATAAGAGTGGTGTTGGATCCAGTTACACAAATTTGTTAGTTGATGAACTCAAGTTTGCCATGGCAAGTTTAGCTGTTAGAAACTTTCCTCTGACATTCTACAGAATGCTGTGGAAGTGTTTAAAGAAGTGCTCAAGGAAAATCCTGCTCATCTGGAGGCCTGTCTTAGCTTAGCTCAAGGATATAAGTAAGTCTTGAGCTTAGGGCTATGGGTAGTTCTTAGATTAGCTCAGGGATATAAGTAAGTCTTTAGCTCAGAGCCCTAAGCTCTTATAATTGTAACCAATGCTCAGCTACAGTCAGCTGTGATACTGTCAGTTAAAAAGGCACCCCCATAACTTTATAGTTTTGTCGTTCCCCCCCAGAGACCTAGGTAATGTACGTGGAGCTTTATCCAAGTTTAACCAGAGCCTGCACCTCAACCCTAACCATGCCATGACGTACAACTTACGTGGGAACTTGTTTTACAGCAGTGGGGACCAGAGATCTGCCATACTAGATTACGAGGTAAAACATTTCAAAGATCTGCCGTCTTAGATTGCGAGGTAAAACATTTCAAAGATCTGCCATACTAGATTACGAGGTAAAACATTTCAAAGATCTGCCATACTAGATTACGAGGTAAAACATTTCAAAGATCTGCCGTCTTAGATTACGAGGTAAAACATTTCAAAGATCTGCCATACTAGATTACGAGGTAAAATGTTTCAAAGATCTGCCATACTAGATTACGAGGTAAAACGTTTCAAAGATCTGCCATACTAGATTACGAGGTCAAACATTTCAAAGATCTGCCATACTATATTACGAGGTAAAACATTTCAAAGATCTGCCATACTAGATTACGAGGTAAAACATTTCAAAGATCTGCCATACTAGATTACGAGGTAAAATGTTTCAAAGATCTGCCATACTAGATTACGAGGTAAAACGTTTCAAAGATCTGCCATACTAGATTACGAGGTAAAACGTTTCAAAGATCTGCCATACTAGATTACGAGGTAAAACGTTTCAAAGATCTGCCATACTAGATTACGAGGTAAAACATTTCAAAGATCTGCCATACTAGATTACGAGGTAAAACATTTCAAAGATCTGCCGTCTTAGATTACGAGGTAAAACATTTCAAAGATCTGCCATACTAGATTACGAGGTAAAACATTTCAAAGATCTGCCGTCTTAGATTACGAGGTAAAACATTTCAAAGATCTGCCATACTAGATTACGAGGTAAAACGTTTCAAAGATCTGCCATACTAGATTACGAGGTAAAACATTTCAAAGATCTGCCATACTAGATTACGAGGTAAAACATTTCAAAGATCTGCCATACTAGATTATGAGGTAAAACATTTCAAAGATCTGCCATACTAGATTACGAGGTAAAACATTTCAAAGATCTGCCATTTTAGATTATGAGGTAAAACATTTCAAAGATCTGCCATTTTAGATTATGAGATAAAACATTTCAAAGATCTGCAGTGTTAGATTACGAGGTAAAACATTTCAAAGATCTGCCATTTTAGATTATGAGGTAAAACATTTCAAAGATCTGCCATTTTAGATTATGAGGTAAAACATTTCAAAGATCTGCCATTTTAGATTATGAGGTAAAACATTTCAAAGATCTGCCGTCCTAGATTATGAGGTAAAACATTTCAAAGATCTGCCATACTAGATTACGAGGTAAAACGTTTCAAAGATCTGCCATACTAGATTACGAGGTAAAACATTTCAAAAATCTGCCATACTAGATTACGAGGTAAAACATTTCAAAGATCTGCCATACTAGATTATGAGGTAAAACATTTCAAAGATCTGCCATACTAGATTACGAGGTAAAACATTTCAAAGATCTGCCATTTTTAGATTATGAGGTAAAACATTTCAAAGATCTGCCATTTTAGATTATGAGATAAAACATTTCAAAGATCTGCAGTGTTAGATTACGAGGTAAAACATTTCAAAGATCTGCCATTTTAGATTATGAGGTAAAACATTTCAAAGATCTGCCATTTTAGATTATGAGGTAAAACATTTCAAAGATCTGCCATTTTAGATTATGAGGTAAAACATTTCAAAGATCTGCCGTCCTAGATTATGAGGTAAAACATTTCAAAGATCTGCCATTTTAGATTACGAGGTAAAACATTTCAAAGATCTGCAGTCTTAGACTTGACATTTAACCAGTTGATTGTCACATGTCACTGGAGATGACATTTAGTAAATGCCAACTTGTTTCTGTCAGAGGTGCCTGGCCAGGGACCCCCACAACGCCAACTGCCAGTACATGAAGGCTGCCTCCAAGCTCATGCACGGACGTTTTTATGACGCTCTCAAGGACACGACAAAGGTAGGCTGGAGGTCAACTGTCTGTATGTTGAGGTCACGTATGCCGCCTGAGCTGGTTGTAACCCTTGTTGTGGTCCAACACCTTTTACTTTGTCCTGCCTCCGTATTCTGATAGAAAAATGAGTGGATGATTGTGTTGTAGAAGTCCTGGTGTAAGGCCTGGGCCATATGTTAAGAACTAGGTCTTGTTCACGTTATCCATTCATATACTGGGGGTCATCTGCCCCATAGAGCACCAGGTCAGAAAGGGTAACTTTGATGTCTGTCAGCTCAGCTTGAAACATAAATGTATCTTAACACCTGATTTAAACACCCGACCTAAACACCTGCCTCCATTTGAAACTTTCAGTTGATGGTGACCAACATGCCAACCATGAGAGCATCCCCAGAGTTTCTAAGGGCTCAGTACTTGAGAGGTAACCACACACACACACCCACACAGTATTTGAGAGGTAACCACACACACCACACTGGTTCAGTATTTGAGAAGTAACCAAGAATCACAAATTAAGAGGGGGCAGATAGTCTTTTAGAGAACACAAGCAAATATTTATAGTCGTATATATTGTCTACATCATAAAGCATAATGGCATTGCAAAGAAATAAACTCATTGTTTTTGAAAACTTTAATTAAACTACAAAAAAAATAAAATAAAATATAAAATGCCGATATAATAATGAACACTTAATGCAACAAAAATAAGAGAAGAAAAAATTGTTTTCTTCAAAAAAGTATTGGTTGCTCAAGTGATGGCTGACATATTTTAGCGACCAATGCTTTGATTGAAGAAAGTTTGATTGGTTTTATTTTCAGTGCATTAAAGCTTACTATTTTTATTCTCTCTACAATTACTCCAGATATTTAATAACTTTATTTTCCTGTGCACTATATTTAAACAGAGTACGCGAGGTACGTCCACGCTCGTCTAGACAGCCCCATATCTTCTATAGAACCAGGCGCAGATTTTATTCCGGAATATTTAAATTCTTGGACAAAATTGAAACCTTTGGATTTAAAAGTGAGAATTTTTTAATAGCAACTTTTGTTGTAACTCTTTTTGTGATCTACATCTGTGACATGCTTTTGTAGTTGACAGATTGTATACAGAGTTGCCATGGTAACCCATTGTTGACTCCATGTTTTTTGTTTGTAGAGTTACAAGGAGCAGCCAGGTTTAAGGCCAGACATCAGGTGGGTGGAAATCTTTCCCTGCTGTCATAACACATCCAGCATAACACATCCAGCATGTGTCATAAGTTGTCTCTTCCCTCACAAAACATCACCATGTATTGCCAGAACAAAACATTACAATGTTTTTGCCATTTTTAGTTCTTATAAAGTTTAACACCCACCAATAAACTGGCCAGTTTTGTCATCTTTAGTGTAGGTAGTCCAAACTGGCGAAAAAGTGCGTTTTAGGGTCAGTTTTTGCGGTTTTCAAAAAAAAAATTTCACTACTTCTAGTTGTCCTATAAGAATAAAAATTATATGTCAATAAAGTTTAAGTCTTTATCTGTCGTAATCTGGTATTTTTATATCTGTAACACATGTCTGAATGTGTTTTATATTTGTTTGAAAAGTATCAGTTACGTCAACAAATTTCACCGTTTTGCGTGTACCGATCGACCCCACACTGTTTTATTTGGTCGCGGCTTCGCGACGAAGCATCGTAGAAGCATAATCTTAATGTCATTTTAAAGATCGAATTCTAGGCTATCGTTTGATGTAAAAATTGAAAAAATAACTTGTTTATTTCATTTAAAAAATACAGATTTTAAACTTTAAATGACGATATATACACGGAAACAAACTAATTCTGTTTCATATTTTACACCTATGTAAAGTTCAGTTTTATAACTACTTTGTGTTGTAAATTCAAGTATTTCTGATTTACGGTCGCGAAGCCGTACCACCAATAAACATATAACCCTCGAGTCGACTTTAAGCCCCGAGTAAGTTGCTCGCCGAACGGTTTTAAAGGTTGACGACCGATGATGCTAAACGGATTTTACCCTTGCTAGAGCCTTCAAACAAGTTGTAAGTATCATTTTTAAAGTTTCATTTCCATTTTAATAAATGAATTTTAAGTTTGAATGTCAGTTTGGTTTAATTAGTACACGTTATTAATGTAAATTTGAACGCTTCAAGTCCACGGTTTTAGCGTGTGAACTACGCTTGTACACAGGGTGTGTTTAGACGTGAAGCTATTTAATTCAGGACATTCTAGGGACTTAAAATATGGATGCACTTAACAATTAGATGCTAGTGTTTACTAATTCTTTAAAATCTATTGACTGGGATCAATGATAGGGTCGTATTACTACAGTTTATCTGGACTATCACGTCAAAATTATGAATCGACAAATTCAAAATGGCCACCAGACTATCCTGGTTACTATGTGGACGAACTCAATTATTTACAGGGAACGAAGGTTAAATACTTATAAAATATTAATGAAACACAAAAGAAATGTATAATTATAATAACTATACATTTTTATCGATTTATTTAAAACAAAAGACACTAAATTTTAAGGACTAATGTGATTAATTTTTTTTATTTTCTGTTGTGTGCTCTGATTCTGATTCCCCTGCTAAATAATGTGAAATGGTCTGCGCCAGTCTCCGTAATAAAATGTACCAGATCAATTTTTAGATGGTGGTGCAATTTATTAAGATTCTACATGTTGTGACTTAGTTTTAAATGTTATATTAGTTGTAAGTGTAAGTAGTACTAGTAGTATTTCTCATTATTTATTTATTTTATATGCATATAATAGTAACAATGAAGGACAGTTAAGTTGTCCTATAGGAAGTTGAGAACCACAGTATGGCATCTTCATCATTGGATATCTCAACCAGTGTGGCACAAGCAACGAATATTTCATATTTCATTCAGTAGAATTACTCTTAAAAATATATATATAAAGTATAAATTACTTTTAACAAAAAGGTGTTTTCAGGCTTTTTCATATGTTTCCAGTTATAGTCATAGGACAAATAGTAGGCCTACACAATAGGCTGGTAGTAAATTTAATTCTATTTTATTAATCACTAAATCAATTGTTTATTCCATAGCTGGAGACATTTACAGTGGCCTATCCAGAACTTTCCTTACAAGGGAAGGGAAGAAGGCCAAGACCCCCCCCCCCCCCCCCCCAACTACAGTTCCCAAAACATATCACTTACTCTTGATGCTCCACAAGATCAAGGTTGAGGGAAACAAGACGTACAAAGATGTGGAGTTGTAGTTTTAAAAACTGTTCCCCCAAAGCAGTTATCAACCGTATAGGTTTGAAAAGAAACCAAAGCATGTGGCATCAACTGCTGCATCACTTGTAGGCATCACGTCTTTATTAAACTACATTACATTACATTTACTCTACTAAATTTTGATTCTGTTTCTCCTGCACTAGATAACTGTGGTATTTTTTAAAATAATATTTTAACTCATGTGATTTTTGAAAATAATTAACACATTTTTCCACGTTGATGTTACCAACACAATAGTTTTAGAGTTATTCCAAAGCAAAAAAAAAAAAAAAAAACATTGAATTTTTTTTTTTTTTATGAAAATAAAAGTGACCAAAACGCATTTTTGTCATTTTCAATTATTTTTTTACCTTAGAAAGACTCATTTTAGATGACTGAAAAAAATTGGGCATATATATTACAAACTTTGCAGCAACTTTACCAATTTCTACACTTCTATGTTATTTAGTTTAAAAAATATGGGTTCTCAAAAATGGCACTTTTTGAAAATCAGTTTTTTACCAAATTTTGCTTTTTTAAAAATCGCATAACTTTTTTATTTATTGAGATATTTTTATAAAATTTGTGGCATAGACCTTACAATTAAAAGTTCTTTCATGACATACTCACTCCAGAAGTCTGCAATCAATAGTTAATTTTAGTTTGGACTACCTATTTAGTGGGTCAGAGGTCATGTTAAATACACAAATGATGTTCCCTGTGGCAAACATGTGAACAGTGAAATTAAAAATAGATTGATGCATTGAGACTAGAAATGCTAATCCTGTAGGTGTTGAGAAAATGTCTTAGAGTATGAAGTAGATTAGTTTAGTCTGGGTGGTGCCATCATCGTCACATGGACTGCTCTGCAGGGATGCTGACCCCCAGTTTGAGATCCCTCCGGCCCTGGAGTCCCTGATTTGTCGTGCCGAGGCCCTGGGAAAATTGTCACAAGTCAACGCTGACGGCGTCCTGACAGACCGACGACTCAACCTGGCCATGGGGCTGGCATCTATCCACATTGGCCAGTATTTTGAGGTACGTGGCCAAATTTAATTTTTTGGCAGTAAATTCATTTAGTTGAGATGTAGCTCTAGTATTGTCATAGCCTTCATCAACACAATTTTTGTCTTTGGTTTCTGAAAGAGATTAATTCATTTAATGATTATTTAAAAAAATTATTATACCTCTATCTGATTCAAGCAATCAAGGGAAATAACCTAGATATAGTTTGTGTTGCTTTCTTTTTTCCAGGCCAAATGGAAATTGTTGAAGGCTGTACAAAAACCTGGAACAGCTGGTGAGTTGACAATTCAGCTTGTGAGAGGTGAACTGGTGAGGTGAAGTGGTGTGGTGAGGTGAAGTGGTGAGGTGAAGTGGTGTGGTGAGGTGAAGTGGTGTGGTGAGGTGAAGTGGTGTGGTGTGGTGAAGTGGTGTGGTGGTGTGGTGAGGTGAAGTGGGGAGGTGAACTGGTGTGGTGAGGTGGTGTGGTGAAGTGGGGAGGTGAACTGGTGTGGTGAACTGGTGATACTATTTCTTAATGAAGCTAGGTAAACATACACCAGAATTGATTTAAAAAATGTCAACTGATACATTTGCCTGTCCCCACAACTGATACATTTGCCTGTCCCCACAACTGATACATTTGCCTGTCCCCACAACTGATACATTTGCCTGTCCCCAGCAGATAGAGTTGTCCACAGCTGGAGAGAATTGTTTAACATAGGCGTGTACTACAGGAGACTTGCCAGCTTGGACCAGCCCTTCCTCTGGGTAGAAAACCTGCCAGATTTTAAAAGTAAAGAGGGACATAAAGCAGACATCCCATTTGTCAGGTAGGCTTAGAAAACTTTTCAAAGCTGGACTCCTTGAATTGAACATCTATTATTGTGAATTTTTGTAAATGAACTAGCGATAGAATCATTGTAAGCTTAATTTGTTCAATCTTTCAATAACTAGTGCCATATGGCATATCTTCATCAGTGGCACATGTATCTATAACAATTGTCCTCAAATAGGACATGTAACAATCAGGCAATCTATTATTATTGTCCTCATGTAACACTGTATAATAATAGTCCTCCATCTTACCAGAGGCTCTGTCACCAACCTGAAAATGCTGCCATATTTTGATCTGGCATTCAAGCTGGCTAAGACAATGTTGGAACATTATACAGGGTAACTTGAGTTTAGTTGTAACATACACTTGTTTTTAAACTGTTGGAACACTATACAGGGTAACTTGAGTTTAGTTGTAACATACACTTGTTTTTAAACTGCTGGAACACTATACAGGGTAACTTGAGTTTAGTTGTAACATACACTTGTTTTTAAACTGTTGGAACACTATACAGGGTAACTTGAGTTTAGTTGTAACATACACTTGTTTTTAAACTGCTGGAACACTATACAGGGTAACTTGAGTTTAGTTGTAACATACACTTGTTTTTAAACTGCTGGAACACTATACAGGGTAACTTGAGTTTAGTTGTAACATACACTTGTTTTTAAACTGCTGGAACACTATACAGGGTAACTTGAGTTTAGTTGTAACATACACTTGTTTTTAAACTGCTGGAACACTATACAGGGTAACTTGAGTTTAGTTGTAACATACACTTGTTTTTAAACTGCTGGAACACTATACAGGGTAACTTGAGTTTAGTTGTAATATAAACTGCTAATGCTGGCCTCAGTGCTACAAACTACAATTGAAATCTCAGTTGATTGTGTTTGACAGTGATGGTGCTGTGAGCTACCCTGGGCTGGCAGAAGACATTTCCAAAGCTGAGACCTGTGAGGATCTACTGCTCATTTCTAGGGTGAGATGCTTGTTGTGACTGACACAATGTTATCACCATGACAACAGACAGGAAGTGACATCACCAAGGCTGTGGTCTGAAAGTTTCTGGCTAGGGAAGACAGGATTACAGTTTACAGATTGTTCAAATATGGGGTCATCCAGTTATGATGTTCAAATTCTGCTTGGTGGAGCATGCTGGGGACATCCATAAGTTAAATTTAACAAATTTAACTTATGGATGTAAATTATAAATACTTATAAACTTATTAACTGGTAAATACTTCAGTTTGTATATTTATAAAAACAGTCGCTAAAAGTGTAAGTGATCTCATGATCTTTTTTATTAAAGAAAGCAAGTTTTTATTTTCATATTTTCAGTTAGCTTATAAAGGTTTTTAACATTGATTTATTAGCCAACCATTGCAAACAGTACACCCTTAATGATTTCATAATTTGTGATCCAGTGGGAAATATTTTTAAAAAGTTTCTAGTTCAAATAATTTTTTTTCTCTGAACAGAAGCGTCAGATCAACCCAAGAGGTTTTCTGGTCTCAACACAAGTGCCATCACTACATCGTGGGAAGGTGGACTATAGGCTGGATGGGGGGGTGTTGGTGCTGACAGAAGATCTGTAAGTGGGGGGGGGGGGTGTTGGTATGACAGAAGATCTGTAAGTGGGGGGGAGTGTTGGTGCTGACAGAAGATCTGTAAGTGGTGGGGGGAGTGTTGGTGCTGACAGAAGATCTGTAAGTGGTGGGGGGAGTGTTGGTGCTGACAGAAGATCTGTAAGTGGTGGGGGGAGTGTTGGTGCTGACAGAAGATCTGTAAGTGGGGGGGGGGGTGTTGGTGCTGACATAAGATCTGTAAGTGGGGGGGGGGTGTTGGTGCTGACATAAGATCTGTAAGTGGGGGGGGGGTGTTGGTGCTGACAGAAGATCTGTAAGTGGGGGGGTGGGGGGTGGGTGTTGGTGCTGACAGAAGATCTGTAAGTGGGGGGGGGTGGGTGTTGGTGCTGACAGAAGATCTGTAAGTGGGGGGGGGGTGGGTGTTGGTGCTGACAGAAGATCTGTAAGTGGGGGGGTGGGGGGGTGGGTGTTGGTGCTGACAGAAGATCTGTAAGTGGTGGGGGGGGGTGTTGGTGCTGACATAAGATCTGTAAGTGGGGGGGGGGGTGTTGGTGCTGACAGAAGATCTGTAAGTGGGGGGGGGGAAATGTTGGTGCTGACATAAGATCTGTAAGGGGGGGGGGGAGTGTTGGTGTTGACAGAAGATCTGTAAGTGGTGGGGGGGGGTGTTGGTGCTGACATAAGATCTGTAAGTGGGGGGAGGGGGGTTGTGCTGACAGAAGATCTGTAAGTGGGGGGGAGGGGGGTTGTGCTGACAGAAGATCTGTAAGTGGGGGGGGGGTGTTGGTGTTGACAGAAGATCTGTAAGTGGGGGGGGGGGGTGTTGGTGTTGACAGAAGATCTGTAAGTGGGGGGGGGGGGTGTTGGTGTTGACAGAAGATCTGTAAGTGGGGGGGTAGAGGTGGAAGGTTTAGTTTTTGTATTTTGTTTGATGCAGGCAGCAGCGCATTGTTTTTGTATTTTGTTTGATGCAGGCAGCAGCGCATTGTTTTTGTATTTTGTTTGATGCAGGCAGCAGCGCATTGTTTTTGTATTTTGTTTGATGCAGGCAGCAGCGCATTGTTTTTGTATTTTGTTTGATGCAGGCAGCAGCGCATTGTTTTTGTATTTTGTTTGATGCAGGCAGCAGCGCATTGTTTTTGTATTTTGTTTGATGCAGGCAGCAGCGCATTGTTTTTGTATTTTGTTTGATGCAGGCAGCAGCGCATTGTTTTTGTATTTTGTTTGATGCAGGCAGCAGCGCATTGTTTTTGTATTTTGTTTGATGCAGGCAGCAGCGCATTGTTTTTGTATTTTGTTTGATGCAGGCAGCAGCGCATTGTTTTTGTATTTTGTTTGATGCAGGCAGCAGCGCATTGTTTTTGTATTTTGTTTGATGCAGGCAGCAGCGCATTGTTTTTGTATTTTGTTTGATGCAGGCAGCAGCGCATTGTTTTTGTATTTTGTTTGATGCAGGCAGCAGCGCATTGTTTTTGCCATGAACATCGTCAGCACACCAGACAGGACAGCCTCGTACACCGCGGAGATGGATCACCTGCTGGTGCTACTACAGGAGGAGATACGCAAGTCTGGTCTCAACAAGGTCTCAGTAAGTTTTGGTCTCAGTAAGTTGTGGTCTCAACAAGGTCTCAGTAAGTTGTGGTCTCAACAAGGTCTCAGTTAGTTGTGGTCTCAACAAGGTCTCAGTTAGTTGTGGTGGTCTCAACAAGGTCTCAGTTAGTTGTGGTGGTCTCAACAAGGTCTCAGTTAGTTGTGGTGGTCTCAACAAGGTCTCAGTTAGTTGTGGTGGTCTCAACAAGGTCTCAGTAAGTTGTGGTCTCAACAAGGTCTCAGTTAGTTGTGGTGGTCTCAACAAGGTCTCAGTTAGTTGTGGTGGTCTCAACAAGGTCTCAGTAAGTTGTGGTCTCAACAAGGTCTCAGTTTGTTGTGGTGGTCTCAACAAGGTCTCAGTTTGTTGTGGTGGTCTCAACAAGGTCTCAGTTTGTTGTGGTCTCAACAAGGTCTCAGTTTGTTGTGGTGGTCTCAACAAGGTCTCAGTTTGTTGTGGTGGTCTCAACAAGGTCTCAGTTTGTTGTGGTGGTCTCAACAAGGTCTCAGTTTGTTGTGGTGGTCTCAACAAGGTCTCAGTTTGTTGTGGTGGTCTCAACAAGGTCTCAGTTTGTTGTGGTGGTCTCAACAAGGTCTCAGTTTGTTGTGGTGGTCTCAACAAGGTCTCAGTTTGTTGTGGTGGTCTCAACAAGGTCTCAGTTTGTTGTGGTGGTCTCAACAAGGTCTCAGTTAGTTGTGGTGGTCTCAACAAGGTCTCAGTTAGTTGTGGTGGTCTCAACAAGGTCTCAGTTAGTTGTGGTGGTCTCAACAAGGTCTCAGTTAGTTGTGGTGGTCTCAACAAGGTCTCAGTTAGTTGTGGTGGTCTCAACAAGGTCTCAGTTAGTTGTGGTGGTCTCAACAAGGTCTCAGTTAGTTGTGGTGGTCTCAACAAGGTCTCAGTTAGTTGTGGTGGTCTCAACAAGGTCTCAGTTAGTTGTGGTGGTCTCAACAAGGTCTCAGTTAGTTGTGGTGGTCTCAACAAGGTCTCAGTTAGTTGTGGTGGTCTCAACAAGGTCTCAGTTAGTTGTGGTGGTCTCAACAAGGTCTCAGTAAGTTGTGGTGGTCTCAACAAGGTCTCAGTAAGTTGTGGTGGTCTCAACAAGGTCTCAGTAAGTTGTGGTGGTCTCAACAAGGTCTCAGTTAGTTGTGGTGGTCTCAACAAGGTCTCAGTTAGTTGTGGTGGTCTCAACAAGGTCTCAGTTAGTTGTGGTGGTCTCAACAAGGTCTCAGTTAGTTGTGGTGGTCTCAACAAGGTCTCAGTTAGTTGTGGTGGTCTCAACAAGGTCTCAGTTAGTTGTGGTGGTCTCAACAAGGTCTCAGTTAGTTGTGGTGGTCTCAACAAGGTCTCAGTAAGTTGTGGTGGTCTCAACAAGGTCTCAGTTTGTTGTGGTGGTCTCAACAAGGTCTCAGTTAGTTGTGGTGGTCTCAACAAAGTCTCAGTTAGTTGTGGTGGTCTCAACAAAGTCTCAGTTAGTTGTGGTGGTCTCAACAAGGTCTCAGTTAGTTGTGGTGGTCTCAACAAGGTCTCAGTTAGTTGTGGTCTCAACAAGGTCTCAGTTAGTTGTGGTCTCAACAAGGTCTCTGTTAGTTGTGGTGGTCTCAACAAGGTCTCTGTTAGTTGTGGTGGTCTCAACAAGGTCTCAGTTAGTTGTGGTGGTCTCAACAAGGTCTCAGTTAGTTGTGGTGGTCTCAACAAGGTCTCAGTTAGTTGTGGTGGTCTCAACAAGGTCTCAGTTAGTTGTGGTCTCAACAAGGTCTCAGTAAGTTGTGGTCTCAACAATGTCTCAGTAAGTTGTGGTCTCAACAAGGTCTCAGTAAGTTGTGGTCTCAACAAGGTCTCAGTAAGTTGTGGTGGTCTCAACAAGGTCTCAGTTAGTTGTGGTCTCAACAAGGTCTCAGTTAGTTGTGGTGGTCTCAACAAGGTCTCAGTAAGTTGTGGTCTCAACAAGGTCTCAGTAAGTTGTGGTCTCAACAATGTCTCAGTAAGTTGTGGTCTCAACAAGGTCTCAGTAAGTTGTGGTCTCAACAAGGTCTCAGTAAGTTGTGGTGGTCTCAACAAGGTCTCAGTTAGTTGTGGTCTCAACAAGGTCTCAGTTAGTTGTGGTGGTCTCAACAAGGTCTCAGTTAGTTGTGGTGGTCTCAACAAGGTCTCAGTAAGTTGTGGTGGTCTCAACAAGGTCTCAGTTAGTTGTGGTCTCAACAAGGTCTCAGTTAGTTGTGGTGGTCTCAACAAGGTCTCAGTTAGTTGTGGTGGTCTCAACAAGGTCTCAGTTAGTTGTGGTGGTCTCAACAAGGTCTCAGTTAGTTGTGGTGGTCTCAACAAGGTCTCAGTTAGTTGTGGTGGTCTCAACAAGGTCTCAGTTAGTTGTGGTGGTCTCAACAAGGTCTCAGTTTGTTGTGGTGGTCTCAACAAGGTCTCAGTAAGTTGTGGTGGTCTCAACAAGGTCTCAGTAAGTTGTGGTGGTCTCAACAAGGTCTCAGTAAGTTGTGGTGGTCTCAACAAGGTCTCAGTTTGTTGTGGTGGTCTCAACAAGGTCTCAGTTTGTTGTGGTGGTCTCAACAAGGTCTCAGTAAGTTGTGGTGGTCTCAACAAGGTCTCAGTTAGTTGTGGTGGTCTCAACAAGGTCTCAGTTAGTTGTGGTGGTCTCAACAAGGTCTCAGTAAGTTGTGGTGGTCTCAACAAGGTCTCAGTAAGTTGTGATGGTCTCAACAAGGTCTCAGTTAGTTGTGGTGGTCTCAACAAGGTCTCAGTTAGTTGTGGTGGTCTCAACAAGGTCTCAGTTAGTTGTGGTGGTCTCAACAAGGTCTCAGTTAGTTGTGGTGGTCTCAACAAGGTCTCAGTTAGTTGTGGTGGTCTCAACAAGGTCTCAGTTAGTTGTGGTCTCAACAAGGTCTCAGTTAGTTGTGGTGGTCTCAACAAGGTCTCAGTAAGTTGTGATGGTCTCACGAATAGCCCTATAGAAAGTGAGTGGTCAACCTCCAGTAACTCCATTGTATTTATTCCTCAGGATGTAGAGCTGACCATCACACACATTCTCTCCATAGTCTACTATTTTTACAATTTGCTGCCATTGACTAAAGGTTCAAGGTCAGTGTTTTCAAACTTCATTTGATGGAATAAATTTACTTTAATTACATTGTCAAATTAAACCAACTCCTCCCACTGATCCCACACCAAGGCATGTGACCCCTGTTTTTATCCACCATGATCCCTAGATCCCCTCACCTCCACTAGAGCCCTGTACCCCCTAACTACTGATCTTATCCTACCCATACATTTATCCTGAGCCCTATAATCTCCCAGACAAAAATGTTTAAATTAAAATCTGAGGTGACTTGAGAAAGAAATCATACATTCATCCCCTAATCTGCTACAACTTGATTCACCCACAACAGACAACTCTCAGGGTATAAAAATAGTTTTGGAGTATTCTCCCCTTGGTAATGAACCTTTGCCAAGACATTCCAGCGACATTATGTGCATAATCTCCCCTAGTTAATCCACTTAAATATTTTATTTGATTGTTTAATGTCTGTCTGCCATATTCCCCCTCATTACCTGGAGGGTAGACACAGGATTCTTTTGAAATTGTGACAATGAAATTAATGTTACCTGTTAGATGGCTATCTCCCATATTGGATGGTTTAATGCATTCCTGCCTGGGGCAAAAACATAGCAGTCTGGTTTTTGATCAGTTTGAAAACTTGAGCAAAGACATCAGTTTTTGATCAGTTTGAAAACTTGAGCAAAGACATCAGTTTTTGATCAGTTTGAAAACTTGAGCAAAGGCCTGTTTAAAAAAAAAAAAAACATAGGTTACTTCTGTACACACAATGTTTTTTTGTATGTAACTAGCTCGTCACAAAATAGTTGTTGTAACAGCTGGCTATTTACACATCTGTTCTAGTGCGGTGGCCTACTCTGTGTTGATGGGCCTTCTTTTATCTGTTGGCCGACAAGTCACTGGCCGGATACCAAATGGACGGGTCAGTCTTTTGTTTCATGTCTTCATTCATTTCACATTTTCATTGACGAGGTTGTTCAAGAAATAAATTAAAGTTTGCTTTACTTTCTCCTGTAGCTAATGACATTTATTAGACCAGTTGTTTGTTGTCAGTCTATAAATAGAACTTCTCCCTACAGTTGCTGGACATGGAGGCCATCTTGGCCGGGGCTCCTGATGCATTTGTTATGGTGGCCAAAAATTGGATGGCCATAAAAAAGTGAGTTGCCACAATAAAAAGTGACTAAAACAACAGCTGCAAATTTATATTCAATTATCTGTAATTAATGAACCTGGCTAATTATAAAAGTAGTCAAAACACAAATTGTACATCTATTGATAGTGACGTCCCTTGAGTCGCCTACCATTAGTCAAGTGCTTCTATTTTTATCTGTCTTTGATTGGGTCTGTGTACATGTGTTAATTAATTACAAACAATCACCTGTCAGATTTTAATGACAGGTGTTGCAACGCACACAAAAGTCTGTCTGTCAAATGTAACGTCTGTCTCACACAAATGTGTCCAACCACACAGCCACAACTAACCACACAGCCAACACTATTCACACAACTCATCTGTCCACAGAACAACTGTGCCAGTATCTACACTACCAAAGGTAAAGGACCTGCTGCCAACTGTGAGAAGTGTCTTGGAGATTCTGACCGTCAATACAACCAATTGTTTGCATTGATTCATTCAAGTTTATAATTTTAAAATTCTGAAGAGAAAAAAATGCTGAGATTTCAAAAAATTAAAATGATAAGCTCCAGCTGTTGAGTGTCTGCTTGATGAAACTAAATGTATGTCAACATTTTAAAACGTGTTGTTAATTTGATGGCTACCATGCTACTGACACACACTACAGCCCCACCCTACATCTTTCCCACACTACACCAATCTCTCGCCCACACGCCCCCTCCTTAACTACAGCTTCCACCCCCCCCCCCCCTCCCCCACGCCATCATGCCATGATCTGCCAATGATGTTTGTTACATTATTCTTACTTGCCTGCACTTTGGTGTCAGGTTGGAGAAAAATCTGGCCACTGCCACTTAGCCCCGCCCATTTCCTAATCACAGTAAGCAAATAAACAGATTGTCGGGTGTCGTTGTCAGTCCGGCCATTAACTCGCGCGGGAAGGCGAATCTTCTAATTAATACTTGATTGCAACAATTAAGCGGGGTCACAAAATGGCGGTTTAATATGCAGTTTTAATTGCTTGATTCTGCCACTCGTGCTATCGTCTGCTGGGGTGCGAGGTGTTCACGTGCAGACGGGGGAAGGGGCGCGATAGGGCGGCGTGTGTTGATACAGGCAGCCATGTTTTAGAGTGGGCCGATAGATAGCCTCAGGAAATATTTCTAATTGTCAGACGGAGAGTCCAGCTTGTGTAAACAAACAGGAGGGGGGGTAGTTTGACTGTGACAGATGACCAGATGAGTGGTCAGACAAGTGGTCAGTTTACACTAGCAACACTTACTTGTACAGAATGGAGGATGCTTGTTCTAGTCTCTAGATCTAATCATCTAATGGTGACCACTGAGTGTTGATGGAATGGAGAGTTATCTTCCCCTGTCTTGAACCGGTGATTGTTTTGTTTTTCTCCCCGAATAGTTTTTCTAGGTCAGTGGTGCTCAAACTGTCGCCCTAGCTGTATGCAGATCTTCCAAAGTTGCTTTAAAACAAAATGATAACAGAAAAATGTATTTTATTACATTCATTGACCAGATTGCATTAATAAAAGTATTTAGATGCACAGAAACTTACCATGGTGAACACGTTCTACCTCGACCTCTGCAAATATGTCGATGTAATAAAGTGGTGAGTGGTTCACGTTGTGTTGGTGAAGTCCAAAGTTCGAGATCTGCTCAGACGCCACACATCAACCAGACGCCACACATCAACCAAATGTTGCTTAAATCGCCCTGTGGATTAGATTTGAAACTTTACCAGCTCCATGTATCAAACTTGACCAGCTGCATGTATCAAACTTGACCAGCTGCATGTATCAAACTTGACCAGCTGCATGTATCAAACTTGACCAGCTGCATGTATCAAACTTGACCAGCTGCATGTATCAAACTTGACCAGCTGCATGTATCAAACTTGACCAGCTGCATGTATCAAACTTGACCAGCTGCATGTATCAAACGTTGCCAGCAATTGATTCATTCATGTCATTTACATTTTAGGATTCAATACTTTCTGCAGGAACATTTTATAGAAAAATCATTCAACAAAGTGGCGGTGTTTTTTTAATTTTTTTATTTTTATATCCATCATTTACATACGGCTAACCTGTAACGTTCGGGAAATATTGTAGGAACTATCCCCCCCCCTCACTTTTTGTGATATCATATATATACAGGGTTAGGCCTATATAAATAAAGCCTATATATCACAATGTAGTCATGACAAATTTTGGTCTTTATAAAAAAATTAACGAACTTAATAATGTATATAATCGGGATAAAAGTTTTACACAATAAATCTCATTCAATTGATGAAATCCTAATCCCACGATACTGCTAATTAAACGCTCGTGACGTGCCAAACCTAATCAAATTAAAGCTATGACGTATTACATAACTTGACATGCGTAGCTAGGCGTTCATTGGCCTGTAATAAAACAAAAAACTTTTGAACGGGTAGGTTGGTCTTACACATTGTCTTTGTTCTCCCCCCTAGATCTGTGTCAATATAATAGAACGTTGTTTTGGTGCCTGACCAAGTCATTAGTTGAGTGGACGATGTGATGAGCACACACCTCACGTCTGCTTGGGCTTGACCTCCCACGTGACGCCGGGAAATATTTGCTTCAGCCAACCGTTGGGCTTGGGCAACATGGCGCTGGCCACGCCCACACAGACGCAGCAAATGGTGGCGTGGTTTATTGAGCTGTCATCGCGCGAGATTATCTGACGCGAGCACTCACGTCCAGAGGCGTAGCGAGGGGGGGGGGGCGGGGGTGCGGACCGCACCGGGTGACACCATTTAGGGGGGGGGGGGGTGACACCAAGGCAAAAAAATAGCAAAATATATAGAGAAAAATTATAATTCCACTTAATTAGGTGATTAATTAGACTGTTAAATAGTCTTTTAAGAGGTGCAAATCGAAAGTTTGAGGGGGGGGGGGGTGCTAATCGAAAGTTTGAGGGGGGGGGGGGTTGCAAATCGAACATTTATCCCCGGGTCGCTACGCCTCTGGTGGGGGGGGGTGACACCATTAAGTGCTGCACCGGGTGACACCCGACCCCGCTACGCCACTGCTCACGTCATATGGCCCGGGGGTCGGGGCGGGTGATTTTAGGCTAAGTCTTGGGACTGTTCCGGAATCTTGTAGTGTGTCTCAGGCCTATGTCAGTATTGGACTCCGGTCTGTGTCTCAGTTTTGTCTCTGTGTCTCTGTCTCGGACCTGTGTGTCTCGGACCTGTGTGTCTCGGGCCGTGACTAAGTCTAATGCCAGTGTTTTGGGCCTGTGTGTCTCAGTCTTAGGCCTGTGAAATTGAAGACACCCTCAATTAACCCAGTGAGGTCCTAGTGACTAGACACAAAGAATGGACACGAGAGTCTAAAAATGGACACGAGAGTCTAAGAATGGACACGAGAGTCTAAGAATGGACACGATAGTCTAAGAATGGACACGAGAGTCTAAGAATGGACACGAGAGTCTAAGAATGGACACGAGAGTCTAAGAATGGACACGAGAGTCTAAGAATGGACACGAGAGTCTAAGAATGGACACGAGAGTCTAAGAATGGACATATTGACATTGTTAGATCACACTAAACGATTTAGAAAACATTGTTGTCATTATTAGCCTTCACCGGAAGCAAAACAAAAACAGCGGCGAGAATTCTGGGAAAACTCAGTCTATTGTGAACCGTGAAAACATTTCACACAATAACGGACGAATTAATTAATGGACGAATTAATTACAACCGATTATCACCGCTCGGTCCTATCTTATACATTTTTTTCGCCCGCAACTTAACGTCTCCCACTTCTGCCACTGAGCACATTACACTTTACGCCTCGTCTCGCTGGGTAGAAAAACCTCGGCGTTATTTATGTCACTTTCCTCCCTTCTGGGAGGCCCGCGGTTTTTTTCCCGCCTGTAATCAGCGTCTGCCCGGGGTGGCTTCCCCTGAGTTGCATCATTGGCCAGATAAGCGAGGCTGGTGTTTTATCGCCGGTCTCGCCGGGATGTTAAACGTTGTAAATACGGGCATCACGTGACTTAGAGCGGTCAGCTGTAACATGGGGGGGGGGGGGGAATGACGTGTGGGGCTGGTGGTTATGATGGGGGGGGGGGGCACACAGTGAGGTTGTTTGGGTGAGGTGTTGAGTGAGTGAGTTCGTGTGTTTGTGTGGGTCGATGGGTGTATGTGTGGGGTGTTTGTGTGGGTCGATGGGTGTATGTGTGGGGTGTTTGTGTGGGTCGATGGGTGTATGTGTGGGGTGTTTGTGTGGGTCGATGGGTGTATGTGTGGGGTGTTTGTGTGGGTCGATGGGTGTATGTGTGGGGTGTTTGTGTGGGTCGATGGGTGTATGTGTGGGGTGTTTGTGTGGGTCGATGGGTGTATGTGTGGGGTGTTTGTGTGGGTCGATGGGTGTATGTGTGGGGTGTTTGTGTGGGTCGGTGGGTGTATGTATGGGGTAGGTATGGGGTGTTTGGGTAACACCGCTACCCCTTACCTCTACAATAACAATTGTCTTACCATAAGCTAGTTATCAACTCGGCAGATCTACAGGGGTGGACGGACCCGTATCACTTGTAAAATTTTGAAAAAAAAATCTCAATTGGTATAAAGTATAAAGAGGTAGGGAGGGGGGTATGATAATTCTTCACCCACAATGGCGTATCTAATCCGATCCAGTTATGGATTAATCCCACTAGCCAGCTGTCCATCTGGCCGAGTCTACCCCTCGACGTGCCAACGGTCCGCGCCTGCACGTGGGGAAAGCGAGTAATTTGGTCGGGTCAGGTCGGTGTCAGAGTGCCACGAACACCTGATTTCCCCGGCCCTGCCCGCCGTGCGCATTGTTTCCGGTGCGAAGGTTTTATTGGATTACGGCAGGTGATAAAATAGCGGCCAGATAAATTTGGCATCTAGAATCAGCTTTGATATGACGTCTGCACGTGTTACGTAAACGATTGGTTGGCCGCCCGAGGCCAACGAGGGTGATAGATTGATTCGTCTGCGCCGAGTTGCAAGAAATTAACATCTCGTTTTTAGCGCATCCACTTAACGGGGTTTCAATCGTTAATTGGCTAGCTCTTTAAAAAAAGTAAAGCCTTAATTAAATTTAAAGCTAAGTGTTAGAAATTAGGGGTTGTTGCAATTAATTTTGTTTAATTAGTCTAAATATGTAACTCTCATCAAACTTTCATGAAAGTGTATGGAGAGGGGGGGGGGTTAGGTGAGGGAGATATGCTTTAGTAAGGAAGTGTGGGGAGGGGGGGGGGGGGGGGTTAGGTGAGGGAGATATGCTTTAGTAAGAAAGTGTGGGGAGTTTGAGATCGGCTTTGTAGCTTAGCTCAGTATCCTAACTGATGATGATAAAACTTGGCAATACGTTATCGTATAAAGTTGCTCGTTTGATCTGTTCGTGTAGTGGGAGTGATAGGGTTAGGGTAAGGATCTGGGCTAATTAGTGGGCTTAGGGTAAGGATCTGAACTAATTAGTAGGCTTAGGGTAAGGATCTGGGCTAATTAGTGGGCTTAGGGTAAGGATCTGAACTAATTAGTGGGCTTAGGGTAAGGATCTGGGCTAATTAGAGCCTCATCTTCGGCATCGTATATGTCAGAAGGACATTCTCACAAGTAACCTTAAGGGTGGGGTGAGGGGGGTAAGCTTAATGTTTGAACTAGAACTATAAGCGATGCTAGCTTTTCGTCTGTAGTGGGTACGGCTAATCAACAACTAGAACTATAAGCGATGCTAGCTTTTCGTCTGTAGTGGGTACGGCTAATCGACAACTAGAACTATAAGCGATGCTAGCTTTTCGTCTGTAGTGGGTACGGCTAATCGACAACTAGAACTATAAGCGATGCTAGCTTTTAGTCTGTAGTGGGTACGACTAATAGACGACATTCGGTTCAACACCGTCATGCCCTCCTCCCTAATGCCCCCCCCCCCCCCCCCCCCCACTGCCGTGGTCTCAATGACTTCCGCCCTGCCCGTCTCAACAAGTGTGTGATCATCGCTCACAACGGTTACTTCCCCTGCGGCTCCTACCTTTCCGTTATCCCCTTGTCTCCGCCCACCGCGAGCTCTCGTCTAGCCCCGCCCATTTCCCCGTCCACTTGTCTCAGCTAGCAGACGTGTCTAGGGTAGATGGTCAGACACGCTTCAATCGATCGGTGAGAGGGTCTAACGGATGTAACGGTCAGCTACCAATATTAGCAGAAGGTAAGCCCAGTTCTAGCGGTTAGTATTGTGTTGTTGGGTTTGTTCTAGCGTTGTTTACACTAGACATGTGAGTGGATATGTTAGTACAAACTTTCGAGATTTGAAAAGTAGGGTGGCCCTACATCGTTAATAATAGTTGGTGCTCTATGGTTACCTGCCTATGCTATGCTCGTATAATTATAATGACGTCAAACGATATATAGGCCATATTATATATATATATATATATATATATATATATATATATATATATATATATATATATATATATATATATTACCGGTAAAGTATGAAATAGAATGCCTAGGCACAGAGGCGTAGCGACCCTTCCCGGCGCCGGGGACATACTTTCAGTTTGGCGCCCCCTTGGGAGCAAATTTTCGATTTGCACCCCCCCCCCCCCTCAAACTTTCGATTTGCACCCCCCCCCCCCCCCTCGAACTTTTCATTTGCACCCCCCCCCTCAAACTTTCAATTTGGCGCCCCCCCCTAAGGTCGGCGCCCGGGGACATATGTCCCCCGCCCCCCCCCCCCCCCCCTCGCTACGCTACTGCCTAGGCAATATGTACAATCCCTGGCGTTTTCAGGCAAAGTATAAAATATCGACGTTGTTAAATACTTTTCCTAGGCATTAGATAAAATGCCAAGGCATTGTATAGAATGACAAGAACTGCTGTAGCATACTGTGAGATGCCCATACTGTAAAAGTCTTTAGTAACAAACAGTTTAAAAATGAAAGAAAAAATTAACAACAGGAAATCTTTGATAAGCTATCAAAGGAATACAAAATGTTATTTCTTACTATTTGTTGCCGCAGATAAGGCAAGAATTTTTAGGTGCACTTAATTTTCTGTCTAACCCTAACCTAACGCTAACGCTAATCCTTAGCTAACAATAACCCTAACCTAACGCTAATCGTTAGCTAACAATAACCTTAACCTAACAAAGGAGCAGGACTGATCAGCCGTGAAAGCGTGTTCTACACTCTGCCTCTCTGTTATGTGATATTCTGACTGGAAATGTAAGAAATATTGTTGTATTTCATACGTTGACAACTCGTTTCAGACATAATTTTACGCATATACACATTGCCTTGGTATTCTATTGAATGACGGATTTTACACTTTGCCGGTAATAAAAATAATAATTGTGATTTATTTTCGGGGGGGGGGGGGGGGGGGACGGAGACGACGACACCATATGAGGCTGCACCGGGTGACACACGTCCTAGCTTACGCCACTAATAGAGGCCTATCAGAGTAAAGCTGATGAAGGCCATTTTCCGAAACCCTGCATGCTTTGTTTTCAAATCTTGGCACACTTCTCGTGTCGATAGAATCAAATCTTGGCACACTTCTCGTGTCGATAGAATCATTAGATCTCTGCTGATTGATCGCTTTATCATAATTAATGTGTCATTAGTCAAAGCCAATCTAATTAATTGTCTCCACAAGGGAGTTAATCGCCTGCTCGTTAACACCAGTGGAGCAGACGACAGTGTGGCACGTGACACCACCGCACGTGACACACCGCACGTGACAGGCGGGATGGCTCAAGCGGAAGTATCCACAGAACCAGACATGGAACCGCCGGCCACATTTAACCGGCTGCCGGCAAGCTGCGGCTATCCGCCGGTCATGAGATTATTAATGTTTGCTGCTCTATTCGTTACACGATTGAAAGCTTTAAAAACTAGAAAGATTTTATTATTGTTCTGTTGCTTGGAAGGCTTTAACCCCCGTAGAATGTTGGTTCTACTCGACTAAAGAGAAATGCCCCGGTTACCATGGCGCCCCGGTTACTATGGGCACCCCGGTAGCCCTACTTTGAGTCGATATAATTCTAGGAACTAACGCCAACTCTAAAGCAAAGACCGGCTCTAACTCTGGCAGCGGCCATAACCTAACACAACACTGAAGAAACTGGAAAATTGTGTTTGCTTTTATTAGCTTAGAAGTTGACCCCCATATTTCCGACGCCATTTAAAGCACCACTCCCATCCCCATCCAGCATTTCAATTTCATGAACATTTAAAAAAACAAACTCGCCGGTATATTTTTTTATTGTTGGGGGGGAGGGGGTATATTACTTTAACATAAAATAATCTAACAAAAAATGTTCTCATCTAAATTAACTGCTAGTTAACTTAACCCGGCAAGTAGATTAAGCCTCTAATCTTAAAGAGGGGGGGGGGGTAGTTCTGGTAGCTCCAGTTGATGTGGGGGTGGGCTACATCCATACAACTGACCGGCTAGGTCACACGGCTACACGGACCGGCTAGGTCACACGGCTACATGGACCGGCTAGGACTCACGGCTATACGGACCGGCTAGGTCACACGGCTACACGGACCGGCTAGGTCACACGGCTATACGGACCGGCTATGTTTCTTTACCTTACCAAAGACGCGAACATATCCCGCCACAGAGGGGTCATGTTTCATTTGTTTCGTGCTTTTCGCCGTTGGTTTAATTGGCAATATTTTTAACTTGCTCGCGCAGACGACGGAACACCAAACAACGTCTGGTGAGGAGAGAGAATTGATGAGATCCTTAATGAGGTACACGCTGAGGTAAATTGAATGAGGTAATATCCGCACTTGATTGCCGCCTTCTGTTCTTGGAGCGCCGATACCGGATAGTGCAGAAGGTCGGCACTAATGTGCAGACGTGGGCACTAATGTGCAGACGTGGGGATGATGTTGCAGACGATCAGCAGCGATCCAGCAATCAAACAGGTTTTGTTGTGTAAGGTGTGAGCGCGGGGTGTGTGGGGGGGGGGATCAAACCTAACACCCCCAGTTGCTACATCCACAGGCAGAAATGATACCGCAATAAACTTTTGTTTTCTTTCCTCAGCTTGATTTCATCTGGTTCTGGGAGGATTATTAGTCTGGAACAAAGTTCAAGGTCACGATGAACATCTATGGCTGTCTACCGGCCTCTTACTTTCCATCGCATTCGGCCTTGACCTATTGGGCTCAGGCCGCCTCACTCGCAGGCCTGCCGACCGCCGAGTCGACCTTGACCCCGGCTGGTTTGGCCTTGACCTTAAAGAAGTCTCAGCTCCAGTTTAACCTCAATGACGTATTACAGAAGTCACGCGGAGCCGCGTCACTGCGCGCCGGCGATGACGTCACGCAAACGTTTCGGGTGACGACGAGTGACGTCAGCGTCAACCATCACGGCCACCTCCAGCTCCACACACGTCTCCCCATCCACCACCACACACACACACACATACAGCACCGCCCCTTTCCCGACACGCCACCCCCGGTGGGGAGCGGACTGGCGCCCCTACAAGCCCTCTGTGATTCGGATGTAACGACCTTCACCTCCAAGACGTCATCAGGGGCCGGCAAAGACGGCCTCAAGTTCGGGATTAACCGGATACTCTCGGATGATTTCGGAAAGGTCAAGTGTGAAAAAGGTATGTGACGTCATTTCCTGTAAACAAATCATTTGTGACATACGCATCAAACATAACACACAGCCATTAGTTCACATACCCTTCACATACATTGATGCACTCGTATTCCCAGCAAATTCTTGACCAAACAAAACATTTAAAAGTTGGACATGAACACATTATTTACAGATCTTTTTGGGTGCAGCCCATTTTTTCCCCACCCAAACGGGAAAGTTTATTTGTGTAATAAAATCTGGCCATCGCGTCATGAATAGAGCCATTCATGGCCAACAACTGCAGGATATTTCATCCTGTCAACAACAGGGTGCGCGCGCACACACAAGACAGGGAGGTGGTGTAGAACACAAGGGGTTAGGACACATCTCTGGTGCACTCTTATCATGGGGGGGGGGGGGGATTGCGTCACATGATGGAAGGAAGGATTGGGGTTTGAGGGGGGGGGGACAGTATATGTGTATGACCGCTGGGTGCGGACTGTCTACGTCACGACTCACGTGGTGACCCCTATCATGACCCATGTTTAGACCCCTATCATGACCCATGTTTAGACCCCTATCATGACCCATGTTTAGACCCCTATCATGACCCATGTTTAGACCCCTATCATGACCCATGTTTAGACCCCTATCATGACCCATGTTTAGACCCCTATCATGACCCATGTTTAGACCCCTATCATGACCCATGTTTAGACCCCTATCATGACCCATGTTTAGACCCCTATCATGACCCATGTTTAGACCCCTATCATGACCCATGTTTAGACCCCTATCATGACCCATGTTTAGACCCCTATCATGACCCATGTTTAGACCCCTATCATGACCCATGTTTAGACCCCTATCATGACCCATGTTTAGACCCCTAACATGACCCATGTTTAGACCCCTATCATGACCCATGTTTAGACCCCTATCATGACCCATGTTTAGACCCCTATCATGACCCATGTTTAGACCCCTATCATGACCCATGTTTAGACCCCTATCATGACCCATGTTTAGACCCCTATCATGACCCATAATTAACAGTTTTTTTTTGCTCATACATGAGTTATATCAAAAGATAATGAAAATTAAATAAACTGGTTTTATCAAATATAAAGAAATAAACTGGCTTTATAAGGTATAAAGAAATAAACCGGCTTTATAAAGTATAAAGAAATAAACTGGCTTTATAAACCTAATTTACCGCTAGACTTAGGGTCTAGTTGAGAGTAAATGTGTTGTTTTTTCCATGTTTTTTTTTAAGATTTTAAAAACATTAGAAATAAGAAGATAAGACAAGTTGTTTCTTTATTAAAAGTATTAGTCACTAGTATATCACTTTTAGAGACCAACGTTTTTGTAAAAGAAAGTTTGCTTCATTTTCTTAACTATGGTGAATTCAAAGCTTAATATGGCGAGTATTGTTAGTTTCATCTTCTAATTAACAGTTAGACATTTTTTGAAGTAAGTCGATACTTCAGTTGTTAAATCTATTCGTCCAAATTTAGTTTTTCTAGTTTGTTGATTACTATATCGAGTTAACAGCACACATGACAAAAATATTTGCTGAAAACCCGATCAGTAGCTACCGGTCTTCTATCTGAGCAACATAGGGTTGTCCGTGGACGGTCGACTGTCGTCAGACGCAAGGAAGTGTGTACCTGACCGTCGCCCGCCTCATCGAACGGTCGCTCAATTCTGTTATCTCCCCTTTTTATTTTTTAAATAGAGTCATCTAAAAACTAATTTTAATGACCGATTTAATATCTAATTAGATTTTACATTTAAAATTAGAAATTCTTGCGCTATCATCGGAAACAAATGTAAAGAATTGGTTGAAGTGAGTGAAAAGGAGTTACAAAATTTGACCACAACCCCCCCCCCCCCACCTACATACCCACAATGTAACTTCAGTTGTAACAGCTTGTAACATTAAAGCCTTGGTTGCAGTGGGAAAATTTTCTTTATACCATTGTGTGAGCAACGCTTTTTATTACTGCAGTATTTTATATCTACTTATTTATTACTGCAGTATTTTATATCTATTTATTTATTACTGCAGTTTTTTATATCTATTAATTTATTACTGCAGTTTTTTATATCTATTAATTTATTACTGCAGTTTTTTTATATCTATTTATTACTGCAGTATTTTATATCTATTTATTTATTATTGCAGTATTTTATATCTATTTATTTATTATTGCAGTATTTTATATCTATTTATTTATTACTTTTCATAATGTAACTGAGACAAGATTTAATTTTTAAAATATTTTTCCTTCTGAAAACAAACTTTGCTTTATTCAATAAAAATAAATATCCATCTACCAGCACCCAACCGAAGATTTTTTATCACATAGACTTGCTGAAAGTTGTAGCACATACATATTTTGCGACTCAGCTAAAAGTTGTAGCACATACATATTTTGCGACTCAGCTAAAAGTTGTAGCACATACATATTTTGCGACTCAGCTAAAAGTTGTAGCACATACATATTTTGCGACTCAGCTAAAAGTTGTAGCACATACATATTTTGCGACTCAGCTAAAAGTTGTAGCACATACATATTTTGCGACTCAGCTAAAAGTTGTAGCACATACATATTTTGCGACTGATTATTTTTCTCGAATTTTTATTCTGTACGGGCCGATACAATAACAGAAAAGAAAATAAGGCGATGGAATGCGAGTACGGTCATCTTTGATCAAATTTGCTTCAACGTTAAATAAATAATTTGATTACAATAGAGCTAGTCTAACTTGTAGACTTGTAGTAATAGTTAAGAAAACAGCATCAAATTTTATTCTTATCACTACAAAAAAGGACCATACTCCATACCATTCTAAATTTTCATACATTCTTTCACTAAAACAAATATTCTTACAATAGATTATATTTATATAGATTAAGGCATCTATTCTTTATACTTGATTTTATAATCAGCCCCTTCTTACTTATTGCACCTTTTTAAAAACATAAAACTCAAGCATCCTAATATATAAAAGCCCATGTGTGCACTTCTCTCTCTGTCCGCAACATATTTTCCGAGGCTATGGGATCAGTATGTTCAGCGATATATGGAGAACTTAAAGATACGAACTATTGTTGAAAATAATATGGTGGATGTAATAAATGTAAAACAAACAAAATTTTATTTAAAGGAGGAAAAAAAGGCATATTCAAAAGTAGAAAAACATTTTTAATTATGCAACCGGAGAAGTGTTTATGGTTGTGACAAGAACGATTTAGAATATATAAGTAGCACAAAAACTATCACTGGCAAAAAGAATGTCACATGAAACAAATAGAAAAATATATTTATGTTTTGTTAATAAAAAATTTAATATTACTGAAAGTACACAATACTAATGGCGTCATCTTCCCACATCTTCCAATTTTAGAATGTGAAGAAATTAACTCTAGATCTATAAATCTACTTATCAAGACGTACGCTATGAAATGTATACCATTTTCTCAGCCAAAAGTAATACAACTTACTTTAAAAAATAACATAATTAACATTGAACAGCCGTGTTTTTAACGGAATCATCTAGAAAAACAGGGCAACCCCGCGAAATTTTTTTTAGGTCCCCCCTTTATATAGGCATATTATATATATATATATATATATATATATATATATATATATATATATATATATATATATATATATATATACACACACACACAAACACAGCATACGAACATAGGATACTCATTTCTGGCCTGATCGGGTTTTGAAAAAAAATGTCTGTTTTTTTTTTAAGGTACTTAAAAGGGACCACAAAGCACCAAAGTTGGGATGGTCTCAACTTCTTTTCTTAAAGCCTTATTATTATTTGTAGATTACAGGATAGTACAGAATAGTAGTTCTACCAATCAGTTTCTTCCAGCATCTCTTCGGGGGGGGGGGGGGGGGAGCTACCAAAACAAAAACCGTACATTTTACAACGTTATATAGAAGCAAAAGTCGTCTTAATATCTAGCGGCCTCTCGCGCAATGGGCTTTTAAATTTTTTTCAAAAGAATTTTGCCGACAACAGCGTTTCTTTGATTGTAGGAGAAAGAGGACTCGGCTTTCACAATGCTTTAAAAACAAAGAGAAAAAAAATGCAACTTTTCCCTCTACTCAGTTGCCAATTTGTGGAATAATTTCCTAGTAGACAACTTAACTATCTGCAGTGGAATAATTTCTTAGTAGAAACTTAACTATTTGAAGTGGAATAATTTCCTAGTAGACAACTTAACTATTTGCAGAGGAATAATTTCCTAGTAGACAACTTAACTATTTGCAGTGGAATAATTTCCTAGTAGACAACTTAACTATTTGCAGTGGAATAATTTCCTAGTAGACAACTTAACTATTTGCAGAGGAATAATTTCCTAGTAGACAACTTAACTATTTGCAGAGGAATGATTTCCTAGTAGACAACTTAACTATTTGCAGTGGAATAATTTCCTAGTAGACAACTTAACTATTTGCAGTGGAATAATTTCCTAGTAGACAACTTAACTGAGTCGTTGCAATGTTTCTCATTCATCTTATTCTGTTTCACATTTTTCACATTTGAGCCAAACTTTGTAAACATTTCTTTGCTCTACACTTGAAATGTTATTTTATTAAAATTCTTTAGAAAAAAAAAACTTTTAGGCCCTAAAAACTAAAGGCTGATATGACATATGACACCATTAAAGTATAATTTGATTATAACTGTTTTATTTATTGTTATTATTATTGATATTGTTATTGTTATTATTGTTGTAAAATCTGTGAGGTGTTGGTAAAAGAAAACCTTGACCCCAGACATACAGTTATCCTTTAGGCTCCTGCTGTCTTGTACATTTACACTATAGATTTATCTTATACATTCATCCTGTACATTTACACTATAGATTTATCTTATACATCCATCCTGTACATTTACACTATAGATTTATCTTATACATTCATCCTGTACATTTACACTATAGATTTATCTTATACATTTATCGTTTACATTTACACTATA